ATTCTTCTCTCTTACTTAATTCTTTTTTTTTATTTCTTTCTATAAAGGTATCTTTTTAAGACTACCTCTCTATTTGGTATAAAATGAACTAAAGAACAGCCCTAAGTTGAATGTCTTTTGTTTTTACAAATAAAACAAAATTTTGATATACAAGATTAAGATGTTAGTAGATTATGAAATTTTTAGTTTTCTAAATCATTTTGAGATAATATTTTATGAAAATAAGTATATGGAATAGAAAGTACACTAGTAAAAGCATTGCTTTTATATATAAAATTTGGATTGTATTATTAATTGACAAATTCTTCAAGTCCAAAATAATCAAATCTTTCAAGTGTTTATATAATTTTCTAATAATAATATTTATAATAATAATACTTTTTTATACAAAACTTCAACTTATCCTTATTCAATTATATGAATGAAAAATTCATCTTTTGATTAAATTGTTGCTCCTGGTTAAAATATTTAGAAATTGACTTCTTCCAATAGTTAATTCAATATTTCATTTGAAAAATTTTCACTAAAAAAAGGGCATTTATTTATTAGAGATTTTGCAGCTTCTATCCTTAAACTATGTTATAATTCTTCTGGAAGCATAGATATAATTTCTGATTATTCATTTACTTATTAAACCACTTCTTATTTAAGATAAAAATACAATTATTCTCGAACTCTATAATATTTAATTTTATTTTACTTAAATTATAATGTTGGACTAATTTATTTATTATGCATATATTAATTAATGGCTGTAAGTTTAGTTTTTATTTTATCACTACTTTCTTTTATTTATGTAAGTATACTTCCTATAGTATTTACAGTGTATGAGAATAATAACATACATAAAAACATATAAAAAATAGTAAAAATTTATTCAGGAGGATCTAAAATATAGAAATATTATTACTTTTTGGTGTCAAATCACCATATCCTACTGTAAATGTAGTAACACAAATAAAATAAAAGGATTATAAAAATTAATATGACCATTAATCATGTTCAAATTTATCTAACCAAGATTATTATTATGTATCCTAACATTAAATACCAAATACAAGCCATACACAACTGAATACATGTTAAACTAAAAGTATTAATGTTATTAATTTAATTAATTCTACAATTGATGTTGACATTCTACTGAGTTTGAAAGAATATTAAGAAATATCTATAAACTTTAATATATTGGCCACTTATATATATAATAAAACTAATATAAATTTTGGCCAACCATCTCCAATTATATTTTTATCAATAATGTTATCTGATTATAAACATATTATTATTGTATAAATAAAACTAAATAATTCCAATAATGTTGAAAAGTTTAGTTATTTTTTATATAATAAATATCTATCTCTTACAGGTAATCCTTAATCATATGTTACAGTAAATGCTCTTAAAATAATATCATAAATTAAAGCAATAGAAAATAAAATTAACGGAATTTATTGTTTATCAATGAAGTTTTAATTGTGGAATGCCATTAATATTGGGATTACCACAATTAAATATATTCTAATACCAAAGCACATCAAATCCCAACAAAATTTTAGATTACTCATTGGTTCAATTAATGGAATTTAATTATGAATATGTTATAAGTAATGTTTGCATTTTGTTTTTATTGTTCTAAATTTTAATCTTAATTGAATTCTTATATCTATAAAAGAGATATATTAATGAATTAAACTCTTTTAAGTTTCATTAAATCTGCCAACTTAGTATTTAAAGGAAGCTCCTAAATCATTGATTAAATTGAAATGTTTTAGAGTAAAAGATGTTGTTAATTTGTATGGAGCCAATAGTATTTTTATAAAGTCTTTTTGATGAAAATAAACAATCAATTTTCGAAATGATTTTGATTATTTGAATTACTCTGTCTAAGCAAATGTTTAAAGTCTTTCAGTAATGTTTTCATTTTTAGGAGTAATGAGTTATTATGGATTATGGTATTATAAAATAAGTTATTCATGATGTCCAGAATTTGATCGAGCAACTGGAGATAGTTTATCTCTTCTTCTCTTTTGACCATCCATATTTAAAATTTCAAAACCTGATCTATCTTAAATTTCTTGAACATCTTCTTAATTTATTTTTCTTGAAAAAGAATTTTAAGCGAAAAGTGAGACTGGTTGTTTCATTTGTAGTAAGATAATAAATAAATTAATTTAAATTTTAATAAACAATGATATTCATACTCTGTATTGAAATAATATGACATTTTAAATAACTTTAATCTTATTGAGGTATTGATATCAATGTAGATTTTATATCTCAGACTTTATTTTAAATATATATATATATATTTTACAATAAAGATTCAATAATACTAAATTCAATATGTTTATATTAATTAATTTCATAAATAGAATTATGTATTTTCATGTTATTTAGTAAAATCTTTAATATATTAATACTTATATTCTAGTGGATATAAGTATTAATATATTTCACATATTATGAATCAAAATAATTATTATTTCCAATAAGTTTTAAATTAAATATAATATGAAAGATTTTAATTTTGGAATTACTAGACTATTGCTTAGTTATTTTCATTTATGCCACATATATTAAATCATTATTTTATATATTTTAAATTATATCTATGAATTGATTTAATACAGTCTTCAATCATCAATTTTCATTTCTAAATATTATAGCATGCATTTTGTTTTAGTTATTATTATATAATTATATTATTAAATTATATTTGAAAATTATAATTATATAAATATACTTAAAGAACCTAAAATCATAATGTATTCTTCTTAGAGAAATAATAGATAATACTAAGATTTGGAATTTGTCATAATAAAATTGGATTTATACTATAGAGATCAGATTAAATGTTTTGTTAATTTTAAATTGAGTTAATCATCTTCTACCTTTACTAGATTTTTTTTATTGTTTTTATAATTATTTTTGTTATTAAATGGCTAATTGTGATTATCTTAAAAATTCCTATTATTATTATTTCTATTTTTCAACACATTCACATTATAAATATTTTCCTCCACAAACATAACAAAATTAATATCCACATCTACATGTCATATGATTACATCCTTAATTCTTTTCAACCCAAAATTTACATTTTGTACACATCTTAAATTTATGACCTTTAACAAACTTTTCAAATTTCTCATCATTTTAATCTCTTGTATTTGTAATTGAATATTCTTTACATGTTTATCCTTTATGAAAAGTGACTCTGCAATTCAAACAATATGATTTTTTACATAATGGACATTCAAATTGATTATTATCATCTTCATCTCCTAATACAAAAGCATATTAACAATCAGGAGTTGGACACCAAGACATATCAGCAGCATGATCATCAACAAATTTATTAAGTGTATAATTAAGAAATTCATCTTTTTTCTCTTTTCCTATAATATGTGATATATCATTTATAGCAATATCTTTTCCACATTTCTATTCAGGACATGTTATTTAATTCCTCTTGTCTTTTATACACTATAATAATAATTCTTTAAGACAATTTATATGGAAAATATGAACACAAGATTCTAATGGTATTACATCTTCTTCCATAAGATTTGAAAAACAAATAGGACAATCCACTTATTCAACTTCTATTTATTTTTTTTATGCAAATTTCTAATCTTCCTCTTATAATTTCTTTATTAATGCCATTGTAGCTTCTTCATTTGGATCTTCATATTAATATTTTTATTTTTAATCATAATCTTCATTTTACAAAACAGGTGTACCACCATCACACTCTTATTATTAGAAATTATAATTTCTAGGTTTTTCAAGATTGCTGATTAGAGATTGTACAAAATCATCAAAATAATTCCCTTTAACTAATCCATTTGTAATCATTTCTTGAACAGCTTTAATTTAATCTTTTAATGCTATAATCGAGCAATCTGAATTATTTTATAAAAAATATCCACAAACCATTCCTATAACAAAAGATTAATGATTATCATTTATCTTTAAATCTCTCAGAAATTCATTTGAAGCAGATCTTAATTTCTAATAAATGCTCATATATATATATTTATAAATCTGATTAATTTCTTAATGTCAAATTTTTAAGTTATATAATTAATTATATGAATATTATTTATTCTACATCATCCCTTAAACAAATTATCTAATTTCAAAACTCTTATTATATTTCTCAATCAAATTCATAGCCTATTAAATTATTAAATGTATCTCTGTAATTTAAATTTTAATTGATTAACTTATAATCACACATGCAATTATATATATTCTAATTTACTATAAAAAGGATCAAAAACAAAAACCATTAAATCTATTTATATATCTCTTAATTAAATTTTATAATTCTTTCTTTTGTAAAATAATTATTAATTAATTTCATTAAAGTATTTTATACTTGAATTAATTATTCTATTTTGTAAATTTAGAAAATTATTTCAATCTAAAATAGTTTCATCTTTAAAATTTACATCCAATCCAATATTTTAGAATTATCTTTAGATTAAATATTTATAATATAAATTATGATAAATTTGTTAAGTTTCAATCTAGGTTATTTAACAATCATCTATTTAATATGATTATTTTTAATTCATAAATTATAGTGTATCTTTATTCCACTTAATCCTAGATAAAATTCAAAATTTTGTATTATGATTGGATAATTTTATCAAAAATCTAATAAATTTATCAACGTGCATAAAATATATATACCTAATATAAAGTATCATTTCAAATATTATCAAAATAGATTCTATTTTAATGAAAATTGAGATTCTTTATCTCAATGAAATTTATCAATAATATATGATTTACTCTTTCTTTGATTCTGGTTTCTATTTTTGAATTAAGTTTGATTACTTAAAATCAAAATAATTATTATTTTTCTTTTTGAGTATGGAACTTTCTACATGTTTATATACTGTTATACATTTTAAAATAAATATGGAAACATACTGTTTTAATTAAAATATTGAATGATTAAATGATAATATTAATATTTTAAACAAAATAAATCCATATTCATGGGAACTTAATAACAAAAAGCACCTCAAACTAAATAGATTACTCAATTTTAAATTGAAATTGCTTGCTTAAAAGTATGTCTTTTTCCATAATTTTAGGTTAAAGGCTATGTGGAATTGAATAGAGATAGAAGAACTAATTAAGCATTATTGAAAGAGAAAGCTTTAAATGAAATGTTACGTAGTCCATCTAGAGTAATGGTTGAAGAGTATCAGAAATTTCAACAACTAGTTCAAGATGTTCGATTCATTGAGACATGCAACATAGTACTAAGGTATACTAATCTCACATTAACTTAGATATTGTGATATTGTTAAAGATTAATCAATAAGAATCTTTAGATGTGGAGGAGATTATTCTAAAATAGCAGATCTTATGCCATACATAGAAAGTATCCTCTTTGCAGCAGATAATTTGAACTTAGAATAAGTAATGGAATTTAAAGATCTTATGATATACTATTTTGGACCTGGCTTCAATGACACTAATAAACTAATTAATGTCGATCAAGATTTGAAAAAACTCTATAAAACTCCTTTACCTGATGCATATGAAGTCAATGAATTTGCTATTAAATTTGCAGAAAAATATGGATTCAGTGAAGAACAATTAAATGCTTCAGGACATTAATTTAGCTCAAAAATTTTAAAACCTGCTCAAGGAGGCATTTTAGTTGATTAATAAGCATTAGGATAATAATAATTTATGCCATATTCAAATTAAGGATTTGGAGTACCTTTTGGTTCTCATCCAGAATAATTCTCATAGCCAGGTAATCAAGGATTTGGAGATTTTGGAACATAAGGAGGCTTTGGTTAACCACCTATCGGAGGTTTTGGAAATCCACCTTAAGGAGGCTTTGGTTAACCACCAATTGGAGGTTTTGGAAATCCACCTTAAGGAGGTTTTGGCTAACCACCTATTGGAGGTTTTGGTCAACCACCGACTGGAGGTTTTGGTCAACCATCTACTGGAGGTTTTGGTTAACCACCTACTGGAGGTTTTGGTCAACCTCAAGGAGGCTTTGGTTAACCATCTACTGGAGGTTTTGGTTAACCTCAAGGAGGCTTTGGTCAACCACCCATTGGCGGTTTTGGAAACCAACCCTAAGGAGGATTTGGTTAATCATAACCAGGAGGTTTTGGTAATTAAACTTAAGGAAACCTTGGAACACAAGGAGGTTTTGGAAATTAACCTTAATAAAATGGTTTATATAATTAACCAAGTAATTAATTTGGGAATCCTCCTGCTGGAGGTTTTGGAACACCTGGAGGTAATGGTTAAGCAAATGGATCTTCAAATCCATATTCCTGTTTAAATTAAGGTATTTTATTATTATTAATTTTAAGGCCCTCAAATAATGGCTAGCTAAAGTATGAAAGTTCCTTAGTAATATTAAAATCCTTAATAACAATTTTAACCATAGGTTCAGCCAGTAATACCACCACAATAATTTTCTGGTCAATAATAAAAGAATAACAATCCAAACTCCCAAGCTCTTGATGATTTAGAAGCAAGATTAAGAGATCTTGATAAAGCTTTATGATGCCATAATTAAGTTAAATCTATATACATCATATTATTATTAGAAATTTAATATATTGATATCTTCATTTATTTCTGTCTATATTATTAATGGTTCAATTAAAATTTGAAACAATAATTGATATTATTATTCTAATTTTTATATTGTTATTGAATATTATTATATATATTATATTTGATTCTTTTAGATGAAGTTTTGGTTAAAAGATTGTATTATATATTTATTCTGATAATTTTAAGTTGAATTAGTTTTATATCCATATTAAATATAAACAATATCAATTAATCCACTTCTCAAACACTCCATCTCTCCAGATTCCTCTCCTTTTCTTTTTGCCAATTATAACATTCATTTCTCCATCCATTTTACCTTTAACAAATTATCCTGAAATTAACTTATCTCCAATATTCAAATTTCCGTATCCTTAATATTAATCATTCTAAAACTCTCCTTCATATTATTAATTTATCCCTTGATATTTTCCATACCCATGTCTCTTGCCTTCTTTCCATCCTCCTTCATATACTTTACCATCACTCCATTTATATACCCCATAACCATCGAATAGATTATTATAGAATTCGCCTTCATACTGTTCTTATTATTTTTCATTTTCTTTGAATGGCCAAAGTAAAATACCTTTTCCTTATTTTTTACCATTAACAATTAATCCTTAATACTAAGTTTAATCAGGCCATTGTTCAAAACCTTAGCCTGTAATGGGTATAGGTTCTTAAGATTCGTTAATCATGAATGATGAAGTGAAAAATTAACCTAACTATACTACTCCATTAGTTTGCATATTTTAGGTTCTCATTGCACTTGGTAGCTAATTTTATGAATTATCTTAATTTATATGAATAAAGGAATCTTAAATTATTAAAGGTTATTTATCTTCAATTAAGTTTGGCTTAGTTTCAATTGAAATATTCACAAAGGTATTACCCTCATTTTCTTCTATTTTTGCATAAGGAGGGAAGACCTTTTTAAATTTTAAATCATGTTCTTTACAAAATTGATTAGTGTCTTTTACAGCATTTCTTAAGATGTCCCAATATGCCTTAACCCTGATAGTCATTTATGCTTTATTAATTAAGTAGGGTCTTAACCAAGGATACGTTTTACTTAAATTTGGATATTTTTAATTGAGGAAATCCCTTATTTTATCGAGGATTGGGGACAATTTTATAATATATCCTTCAAAAATGTAATAAATAATTGTCAATAGGAATGGAACATTTATTAAGATTAATAAAATAGATACTATTATAACTAAATATCCAAATTGTGAATCTTAACATGATTTCAATAAAACCCCCATAGCTAAAGAGATAGACAAAATGATAGTTGAATATCTATCTATCATATTGAGTCTCTTATTACTGTAAGGTGATATTTGAATTTAGTAGAACCCATAGAGAAACATTATTACTACCAGTAACAAACCTTTAACAGTAACTTGATCTTCATAATAAACTAGAATAATAACCATGAATTCCTTTTAAAATAATTTAACAAATTCCCATAGATAACTATTTAATTAATATTCTAGATAGAAGAATCCATAAATTAATTTGGTTTATTTGGTGTTAATTGTGGCTCTATTCTTGTAAACTAAAAACATAAATAATAAAGGTAACAATAAGACCCAAATAATTAACATAGGCATAATAAATCTTAGGAGATAATATTAATGTACTGCACTATCATATTTATATGCAACATCTCTCTATACATATGGAATACCACTTATGGTTCTAGAGGATGCTAAGACAATAAATCCTTCAACATAAGTGGGCTATAAATAAAGAAATTAATAGATAAGTGCTGTAGTAATTATATTAATTTTGTATGGAAACCTTTTAGTTGCAATTCCAACAAAATAGATAATATAAAAACCTATCAAATATATTAATGGTTATATGAATGCCCAAACCATTCTAAAGTATAAAATATCTAAATCAGACATTGTTATNACCATTAACAATTAATCCTTAATACTAAGTTTAATCAGGCCATTGTTCAAAACCTTAGCCTGTAATGGGTATAGGTTCTTAAGATTCGTTAATCATGAATGATGAAGTGAAAAATTAACCTAACTATACTACTCCATTAGTTTGCATATTTTAGGTTCTCATTGCACTTGGTAGCTAATTTTATGAATTATCTTAATTTATATGAATAAAGGAATCTTAAATTATTAAAGGTTATTTATCTTCAATTAAGTTTGGCTTAGTTTCAATTGAAATATTCACAAAGGTATTACCCTCATTTTCTTCTATTTTTGCATAAGGAGGGAAGACCTTTTTAAATTTTAAATCATGTTCTTTACAAAATTGATTAGTGTCTTTTACAGCATTTCTTAAGATGTCCCAATATGCCTTAACCCTGATAGTCATTTATGCTTTATTAATTAAGTAGGGTCTTAACCAAGGATACGTTTTACTTAAATTTGGATATTTTTAATTGAGGAAATCCCTTATTTTATCGAGGATTGGGGACAATTTTATAATATATCCTTCAAAAATGTAATAAATAATTGTCAATAGGAATGGAACATTTATTAAGATTAATAAAATAGATACTATTATAACTAAATATCCAAATTGTGAATCTTAACATGATTTCAATAAAACCCCCATAGCTAAAGAGATAGACAAAATGATAGTTGAATATCTATCTATCATATTGAGTCTCTTATTACTGTAAGGTGATATTTGAATTTAGTAGAACCCATAGAGAAACATTATTACTACCAGTAACAAACCTTTAACAGTAACTTGATCTTCATAATAAACTAGAATAATAACCATGAATTCCTTTTAAAATAATTTAACAAATTCCCATAGATAACTATTTAATTAATATTCTAGATAGAAGAATCCATAAATTAATTTGGTTTATTTGGTGTTAATTGTGGCTCTATTCTTGTAAACTAAAAACATAAATAATAAAGGTAACAATAAGACCCAAATAATTAACATAGGCATAATAAATCTTAGGAGATAATATTAATGTACTGCACTATCATATTTATATGCAACATCTCTCTATACATATGGAATACCACTTATGGTTCTAGAGGATGCTAAGACAATAAATCCTTCAACATAAGTGGGCTATAAATAAAGAAATTAATAGATAAGTGCTGTAGTAATTATATTAATTTTGTATGGAAACCTTTTAGTTGCAATTCCAACAAAATAGATAATATAAAAACCTATCAAATATATTAATGGTTATATGAATGCCCAAACCATTCTAAAGTATAAAATATCTAAATCAGACATTGTTATAAAGAGACAATCCATAGCTGTAGTAGTACTTTCAGTAGGATTGCCTCCAATCTTGGTTGTTTATTTAAGTAGATCAGGAATAGATATCTAAAATGAAGCAATAAACTAAATGATTTAAAAATAATTAGTCAGAACTTTCATCAAAACAGCTAAATTACTCTCTGAACTTTTTAATAATACTCCCCATATATCAAAAATTTCTTCAATAATAAATTACATTGATGATTCATAACTACCTTTTACTGCTAAAACCATTGAAATAAAGGATATTATAGATGTAACCACCAAAACTATATAATTTAATTACATAGTTGGTCCACATTTTGCACATTTATATGATGAAGTTTAAGTATAACTTTCGTAATTATATATCTAATAGAGATCACATGATTCACATAATGCTCCTATATGTCCAGTATAACAAGAAGGATTACCAGGAACCCAACCACCATTGCAATTAGAATCTAAATTTTCACAATACAAAGATTAATCATTATTATAATCAGGTCTCCAATATCCAGGTTTTAACTAAATTGATGATTTTTTTATGGCTATCATGTAGTCAGAATTAAATTATGAACATAATACAGATCCAATAGTAACAGAATATTAATTTAATTTAGGACTGCATGGTATACAACGACCAAGTTAATAGACTTCACCTTTTTAGCAGGGAAATGTTCTCACATTTAAAATTAATTCATATTTTTTATTGTAACCAAGAATTTTAGAATCTGGAGGATTAGCATATATTGGAATAGCCATTTTATCACATTTAACTAATTTATGATAGAATATTATTACTTTTTAATTCCAAATAAAAATCTTTATCAAAATATGGATCAAAAGACAATTACATATCATCTAATACATATCCTTTTAAATTTTTGTTATAATGCATTTCATTAGGAATTGTGAAATTATTTGTAAAAGATATACTCTCAGAATAATTCTAAAACTTTTGTATTCTACCAAATATATAACACTTATCCCCATCTTCATCATTAACTACAGGTTCATTGAATCTATTCAAATTAATCACTCTAAATATCCATTCATAAGGTATGTATTCTTAGGTATCTTCAAAAAAATATTCATATGTATTAATAGATTACCCTGAAGGTAAGATAAGTAGATTAGTCTTTTCAGGATAGTTACCAATCATATGATAATCAAAAGTTATGTTTTCCCTTATAATGTTATTAATACTATCTATGTTTCCATCAAGATTCTCATCTCCACTTAGATTTAGATATACCTGAATCTAATAATAAGAATCCTCATTCATTTAAAGAGTTTATCTTCTTGAATTCTCATGAATATTATTTGCTTATATTGTTGCATAATTGTATTCAAATTTAATTAATAAGGAATTTACATTTGCTAATTCTTTATTAATTAAGTAGAATGCTGCTCCAACTTATGCTTTATTACTTTAAAATGATAAATTGTAGACATATAATGAAGTTTCTAAATCTCCACCAATGTTCATATAATAAACACCAGCTCCAACAAGACTTGCACTATTATCCGAGAATATGCTATTTTTTATTAAAGCATTCAATCCTAATAAACTAATGCCAGTTCCAATACTTGCTCTATTGGATGAAAAAATCGATAAATCTATTTATACAGTTTATTCTTAATTTAATTACAACAATCTGTTAGAAAATTAGGTAACATTCAAATCTATCAAATTCTAATTTGGTATGAAGGTATTTATAGTTTATGATTATTAAATTAATAAACATCCATAATAACCTATGAGATTATCTTTACAATTAATATGAGTTAAAAATAGTTTAGTATCTTTTTGGATTCCAATATTTACTCCCAATATTTAAATTAAACCTCCATAACATCTTAAACATCTATTTGAAATGATACTAATTTTTTCAAATTTTAATTAGGAATTACTAAATAGGTTAGTTATAGTAATTATAGAAGTAGTTATATCTTAATTAGCTTCTAATGTTAAACTAAATATATGTTATAATATAATACTTTAACATATTTTAGAGAATACAATTGATTAAATTATTATTGGGTGTTGAATTAAATCTTTAAACAATTTGAATAATTTTTGCATAATAAAAATTATATGAATAGATAGATCCATACTTATCTTATTCAGTTAAATAATTATAATATTCTAAATATTCATCACTATTCCAAATTATTTAATCTTAATTTACAAAATTCTAAAAATCAATAATGTACATAATTTAATCACAAGTTTATTAATCTAAGGTTGAATTGAGACCTTTTCTAATATATCCATCACATTTATTTACAATTGGATTGATATTTGTAGACCAATTATCTATAAATTCAGATGCAATAATTTATATTTGATTCGAGACAGTTGGTGTCATTTAGAGATCTAAAAGAGGCATTAAAAAGAGAATATTTTTAGTAAATACACATTGAGATATAAATATATCAGTCATAGCAATTGCTTTAATGATACTTAAGTATTTAATATTAGTAAAGATAGAATTTCTTATTATTAATTTTCCTGTATGTTAATAATAAATTCCAGAATTCTTAGTTAATTATAATTATTCTAATAATGATAAATCTGGTAAATTTTAAATAAAGTTATTGTAATTATTATCTTCTACATAAATGTTCAAAAATTCAATTATTGGTTGATCAGTAGATTCTAAATAGGGATTACTGAAAAAAGAATATCCTAAAGATTGGCAAAGTTAAAATTATGAATCTTTTAATAAAATGCTTTATTTAAATTTTGTAGGATATAAATGAATGCATCCTCCTCTAATTCTTGCAGTGCAATTAGTCATAATAACTGAATATAATTCCAATTACATTTAAGAACTATCTGAATTTATTGTTAAACATCCTCCTTCTGTATTATCAATTTACTATAAACTACTTTAGATATTTTTAAAGTTTGATTATTTGATAATGACAATTCCATCTAATAATTCAAGGAAAATTCCAGCAGCAGATTATCCATATGATTCAATAATTTATATGTTATCAATATATATAAATTTACCTATTATATATAAATTTGATCCTTTAGATAAAATGTAAAAATATTATTCTAAAAATTATCAATATTCATATTACTTAGATTTATAAAGGTTGTTTATGGATCACTTTTTGTCAATTATTATTCTTCTAAATAATCTAACCATTAAATATCTAAAATATTTGTATTTTTAAAATAACAATTATTAAGAATAAATTAATCTACTTTAATCCAAATTAATCCATTTGTTGATTTAGAAATACGATTATAATTAAAATAAGAATTCAATAAATTAAGTATAGAATTTGGAGATATAATTAATATAAGTGCTGGTGTTTGGGATGTTTATGAATCAGTTATTTAGTGTAAATGATTTTCATTATATTAAGCATTTATTATAGTAATGTTTTAAATTTATTATGAATCAATTATTATTAAACTCATATCTTCTCCATTTAATGTTGATGCAAGTCTATTATTATCAAAACTTAAATTCTAAAGTAAAATAGTTTCCATTTACATTTATAATAAGTTTTAATAAGATTTAATAAATATAGCAGATCTATCTATAAATAATAAATTAAAAATTTCAATATTATCCATTACAATAGATCCTTAAAATCCTTCAATGTATATGAGATATGAATTAAATTAATATGCTGTTCTTTTCCTATTAGCACAATCAGGTGAATTAGGTAATAAATTATTGACTGGATTGGTTACCATAATATAATTACTTAAATTAGGATCAATTTCAAAATTTTCTATTATTTATTCATCATATTCATACAATAAATCATTTGAAATTTCCAAATAATAGTATACGTTATTAATCTCAATGGATTATGATTATCCAATAAAAAATATAGATAAACCTTAAGTATTTTTAATTGTTAATTCATTCATAGTGATATTTCCAACATTTTAAAGAGAAATCAAGGCTGATGAAACTTTTTCAATATTCTTTTAACTTATAGATTAAATTTGCAATTCTTAGATTATTAATTATTCAATTTAAATATTGGAACTTATACCATAATTATTTAGAGGAGTGGAAAGAATTATTAAACAATTAATATTTTAACAAATATTATTTCTAAATGTAATCAATTTGAAAGTGAATAATAAAATACTAGATTTCTGATCTGAATTATAAATTTAATTGTTTGAAGCAATAAGTTCAGAGTGATTAGTAAATAAGGAATGATAACAAAACATTTTTTCAATTGTGAATGTAGTACTTATAATAAAATTAGACCATTTTTAGTATAAAGTTAATATACTTTCTAAATTTTATGCTTGAAATGATTTAACCAAAGCTAAATTAAATATGCTTCCATTTGTTATTGTACATTTGATCAGTTTAAGATCATTTATTATTACATTGTAACTAGGAGTAGTAATTAAATCTGAAAATACAGCTGTATTAGTAATATTAGTATTTGAGAACTTTAGAGAATTGATTTATAAAATATTATTAGCTCCTATTTAATTAATAGTAATAAGAATATCATTTATTTCACTATTTTTTACATGAACATCTTCGAATATATATTGACCTTATTCTTAAAATGAATTAGTTGAAGTTTACTTAAGGAAATTTTCATTTTTAAGTTTTTCAAATTCAACTTATAATAATTTGAGGAATATAGTATTTTATAATACAATATTAAATGAACTTGCAACATTATCTTTAACAATTTTACAGTTTATCATTGTTAACATAGTCTTCTTACCTAAAATCTCTAATCCAAATATACTAGATGTTTTATCTTTGAAGTTGATATTTGAAATTTAGACATAAGAAGAATCTAAGAGTATCATTCTTCCATTTTGTTTAAATATTGAATTTTTACCATTTATAATAATTGACAATTTTTATAAAGTAAAAATATTCTTTTAAAAATTTGATTTAATTTATATAGGTTTATCAAAGTTACAAATACCATTATTATCAGAAATAAAATTAATATTAATATCTATTTAGTTAATTGTTAACTAATTGTATTCATTATAAATTTATGCATTTTCTAATCCTTAAAGATATAAAGTAACAATTTTATTTTTCTATTTTTTATATACATCTTTCAATTATATTTCATTTGCTTAAAGGATATCATTTTTATCTCCACAATATACATTAAATGTTTTAACTATTTTTTTATCACATCCTTTAGAATTAGGATCATTAACACAAGTAATTGGAACTCCAAAAAATGAATCAATATAAATCTTTTGATTGATTTATGGTTAAATTGTTTTATAGCAAAAATTACTGTATTTTTTAAATTATTCAAAATCAGGATTAAAAAAGGGATTAACTCTATTAATTTCATCCTACATTCTTTCTCTGCAAGCAATACAATTATTAGGACATTCATTACATTCACTATTGTCAGTAATTAATGATTATTATAATGAAGGTATAGGACATTTTGCACAATAAGCAGTATCATCTAAATATATACATTCAGAGTTATATTCTTAAAAACTTTCAGGTACACAACTATCAGTACAACCTTTACATTAATTGTTGTATAAATTAAATCCTAATTGACAAATTGAACATAAGGGATCATTAAGTTTTTCAATTTTAATAAGTTCTAAATCTTATTTAAATTAATCATAATTTATTCCAGCTAATTATAATTGTAAATATGAAGTTATATTATAACTATTAGTATATTACCAACATTCATCACATCTAGATTAACATTGTATACATAGATTAGTAAAGATATCAGGATAATATCCTTTTTGACATTTAATACATTAATATTATTGAATGGAATTGATATTATATGAAATGCATTATATACAATATTTAATCTTTTTATTGCAATATTAATCTGTAAGACAAGAATTAGATAAAGTAATTCCATTTTCATATTAAAGTACTTTATTATCTTTACATTCTAAACATAAGTTTTTATCTTAATCAAGAGTATTACAATTAGGATCTATATATATAGTACAAACTTGTCCATCTGTTAATTTATATCCTGATTTACATTTATAACATTTTTATTTAGATGAATAATCTACAACAATTTCAAAGTCTAAATTATATGTCTATAATTTATTGATTCCATCTTTTGAATATTCATAGTATCCTATTTCACAATTATTATTTTATTAGTATTCACATTAAGATCCTTGATTATTTACAATATAACCTGTTTTACATTGAGTACATCGTTTTTATTCTATTCCATTCACATATATAACTTAACATCTTAGACATTAATAATCACATTATGAACAATCTAATCCACCCTATATCAATACTAAATAATTATCTTACTCTTTAATACACTCTAAGCATATTATTCCATTATAATACTCACATTTTGCACAACCTTAAAAACATGGTATGCATTTTTAAGTGTAATCAATTGTATAACCATCAAAGCATTCAAAACATGCTTTATTATCACAAGATTTGCATTTATCAAATGGACAAGTTATACACAAATTATTTTCAAAATAATAACCATCAGAACATATTACTCCAATATGTATAATATCATCCTGATCTGATAAGATATTACATTCTTCTTCTTCATCATCATTATATTACTCATCACAAAATGCTAAACATCCTACACATAATTCAGTTTCATAACTATTCTTTACTCCTTCTGATAATACTTCATGTATATTAAAAATTTAAGTTTCAAGTATTTTAATCTTTCTAAATGCCCCATATTTATCTCCATCTGTTATAGCATAATTATATGTGCATTATCTTTAATTTTACCAAGTTTCTGAATTCTCTCGACAATCCATACATAAGTACATCATTTCATCCACATTTGATAATGGACTTTTTATTTTTAAATCATATTCAATACCATCTCACACAATAATTCTCATTCTTAATATTTAATTTAAAATATCCATACTCACATCTTATATTATTGTTATCTTCACATAGTTAATATCCTTCTTCACATTTTTTTAAACAAGGATTCTATGCAATCTAACAACCTGTTATGAACTCTTAAGATTCCTCATTCTACTTTTATTAATTCAATGTTTACAGTTATTGATACAAGAATCAGAAGAATAGTTATGTCTATTTTCATGAATTTAAATTGTTTTTATAATCGAATTTTAATATAACATATATTTCTTTATCCTTAATCTGTTTTCATTTAATACTACAATATTATTATTTTGAAATCCTTTTTACTTTCTATTTAAGTAATATTTTTATTTAATCATTTATAATTTAAATGGGAAATACTTGTTGTTCACAAGATGTAATATGTATTATTGAGTATTTAATTTAAGCTAATACTCCTGAAATTGAAATTAGACCAAAAGAGCTCAATAATAATGATAAGTAATTTAGCACTTAAGCAACAAGTAAAACAATGTTCCTATTTTTAACTTTAGAGAAGTCTACCTATCTAAAACTCAGTCCAGATCTCTTTATACAAATGAAGAGAGAGGATATTTTTAGTCAATATTCAATTGGCAAAGCACTTGGAGAAGGTACTATTAAGTTAGATTTTCTTAGGTGCTTATGGTTAAGTGTCATTAGTAACCAATAAAAGAACTGGTAAACAATTTCATTTTATTATGTTAGGAATTGTTAGAGCAATGAAGGCAATTAAAAAAGATTGTTTATTCGAAGAAGAAGAATAAAGATTATTTTAAGAGATGCACATTTTAAAGAACCTTGATCATCCAAATATAGTTAAGCTTTGTGAATTATTCTAAGATGAAAAGTGTTATTATCTTATTACTGAGTACCTAATATCCTTTTATATTAGATATCTTTATGGAGGTGAGTTATTCGATCGAATACAAAAAGCAAAAACCTTCAGCGAAAGAGATGCAGCTAATATTATGAAACAAATATTATCTGCTGTTGCTTATTGTCATACTAAATAAATTGTACATAGAGATCTTAAACCTGAAAATATCATTTTTACTTCTACTGATGATGATGCCTAATTAAAAATCATTGATTTTGGAACTTCTAGAAGATTTGAATAAGATAAAAAGATGACCAAAAGACTTGGAACAGTAATTTATTAATCTCATCATAGCCCTATTATATAGCTCCTGAAGTACTTCTTAAAAAATATAATGAAAAATGTGATGTATGGTCATGTGGAGTTATCTTGTATATTTTATTAGCTGGTTATCCTCCTTTCTATGGTAAAAAGGATATTGATATTTATTAAAAGATCGTAAAAGCTAATGTACCATTTTATAGTATTACATATTTATATTCAACATATAGCTGAAGAATGGTCTAAAGTAAGTGATTAAGCAAAATCATTAATTTTAAAAATGCTTTGTAAAGATGCAGAATAAAGAATAAGTGCCAAAGATGCTTTAGATGATCCTTGGATGATAGAACATAATTAAACTAATTTAGTTGATTAATAATTCTTAAAAAATCTATCAGAATTTAGTGCAAAAAGTAAATTAAAATAAGCACTTCTAACTTTTATGGCATGTTAAATGATTTAATAACATGAAGTAGAAGATTTACAAAAATTATTTAAAGAATTAGATACTAATAGTGATGGAACAGTATCAAAGGATGAATTAAAGAAAGCATTTTAAGATAAAATAATGAATAAAGATTATTTTGTTGAATCCATAGAAGAAAAGATAGAAAATCTGATTTAACAAATAGATATTAATTAATCTGGTAAAATAGATTATACTGAATTTATAATTGCAAGTTTATAACAATAACGTTTAATAACAGAAGAGAAAATCAAATAAACATTTAAAATATTAGATATTGTATTTAAATAATTTTATATATTATTTAAGGATGGAGATAATTATATATCAAAAGCAGAATTTTAAAGAGCAATGGAAGGAGTAGATGATGTTATATGGGGTGAATTTTTAGAAGAATGTGATGATGATAAAGATGGTAAAATTTCAGAAGCAGAATTTATTTAAATAATATTGAAAAAAATATGATAATTATTCTTATATTAGTGTTTTTTTCTAAATAATTAATATTAAATTATCTATTACATATAAATCAGATCTCAATATGAAGAGGCTCATTTAGAAACTTTTAAAGAGTTTCTAATCCTGAATTAGTATCAAAAATAGTTTCTTCCATAAATTTTTAATCTGTCTCTTATTATTACCAATATTCTATATTTTATTTTACTTAATCAACACAAGTTTTTTGGATATTTTCACTATTAATCAAATAAACTAATATACTTTTTCAATATAGTTGAAAATGCCTCAAACATAGGTAATACTATTGCTTTTAAAAAACCTTCCTGAGATTTAGAAACATTCTAATTTCTATCACACATTGGTGATATAGGTACTTTTAAGTAATGTTCTAAATCTCCTTATAAAAAGAATTCTTCAACAATTCTTCTACTCCATAATTTGTGTAATTTTAATTCTTTTGCTCCATGTCCAACATCTAAAATTATAATATTAAATAATAATAATTACCAGCACATTTAATTCCAATTGACATAATTAATTATTAATCTATAGCTGGAGATTCATTTACATTTAAATAATTTTAGAATTTGTTCATTAATTAAAAGTGTCTAGTAAGATCAGTATCAAGAATTAAATTTAAACAATACTTTCTGAATCCTTTTATTTCATTAGAACTTAGATTCTCTATTATATTACAATTACTTTAAGTAAGAACTTAAAATAATAGAAATGAATGATAATTCTCCAATACACTTTAATCATTAAATAATAAGGCTAATCTACATCTATTTGCTGTCATAAATCCATTATTTAATCCAGGATGTCCAATATCATGTGCTAATGATGATATTAATAAACAAGTAGCTTAAAAATCATCTATTAAAGTAGATAATCCATTTTATAAAAAAAATGCTGTTGAATTTGCAACATCTATAGCATGCATTGAATTATGATAAAAATTATTTTAATATAAAGATTCTATTTTTACACTAAATTCTCCAAGTATTTCTAAATTAGTAATTTTCAATGTTTAGATAACCTTAAATATCTTAAATAAATTAATAGATCCTTCTATAAACATCATTCTTTATGATTAATCTAAATTATTTAATGTATAATCTTATTATAAATAATTGATATTAAAATCAATTAGAGTTTTTTCAGCAATATCATCCACATCATCTTATATATCATCAATATATTAAAATGAAGCTTCTCTTTAAGTAAAATGTGAAAGTATAAATCTAAATATAAATATTATATATATTTACTTTTTTGCATCTTAACTAAATTAATCTTCTTTTGATGTTTATTAAATACTATTATTACTATTTTAACAATCTAATTAACGATGACTTCTTAAAAATTTTGGTAACCAAATATTATCTTTTTTACCTGTCAACAAATTCAATAGATCATCTATTTCATCTATTGTAATATAATTATCTCCTTAAACTATATCTTAATCAGAATGAGATTATTATTAATCAAACATAAAGTTTTTACCTTTTAAATCTGAATTTTATGATAAAGTTCTGCTTGCTCTTCTTTTAAAATTCTCTAATTTAGGTGAAGTAGATTAATTATGTTAATTTGTAACTTCATCAATTTCATCTTTACCTAATACTTCTGTTATTGACACCATTGATTATAATTTTTCTTATTATTATCCAACATTTTTTAACATCTGATTTTTTATTTCACATTATTACTTAAATTTTATTAATTTTAATTTATTCACTAAGTCATTAGCTCTTGATTATAATTATAATTATGATTTTGAATCTATTTCCTCTTAATATTTATTTATCTATTATTATTATTACTACTTCATTTAATCCAATTCTTAATTGAATTACTTTATTTTATTTGATGTCTCATTTAACAGTCTTTATTATCGTAATTATTTTGATAAAATAAAAACTGATTATACTGTTATCAATTTTATTGTACTAACAAAATGATCTCCCCAAATACTCTAAAATACCAAAACACTACTGATTCCAATTACTTAATGCATATAATGTAATTTCAAAGAAAATCGATTATAGATATATTGGTTGATTATTATGAAAAAAGTAAATTGATCTAATACTTATTCTGATCTTTTATGTATACTAAAAAACATATAATAGATTTTACTCTTCTATAGTTAATATTGTGATTAGACCATTTATCAATAAAATTACTAAACCTAAATTCAAAAGAGACTCAGGAGTCTAAGTAGTTCTAATATTTTTACAAATGTTTACTTTTTCTTCAAATAATGAAATACAATCCAAAGAGTCTCAATAATTTTAATTGTTAATTCTTAACGATAATCACTTAATTCAGTATTTTAAAAATTGGCAATCACATTCCAAATTATATTCCCAAATACTATTAAACAAATTACAATAGTTTATTCCTATTTAGATGTTGATGTATTAATATAATGACTTTAAAATACTTCTGATACCTTCATTTTTATCTAGTCATTGTAATGTATATTCACAGATTAGTTATTCATTTTATTATTATATTTTATATCATTCAAATCACATAAAATTTAATATATCAAACCCAAAACAATACTATTCAAATTTAATATTCAAATTTCAATTGCACAATGTTAATTACTTTCTAATTCAAAAAAAATAAAATTATTTAAATCTATTAAATTCTTCTTAAAATACCATCCCTAAATCAACACATTCATTTTTTTTAATTAATGTAGAGTATGAATTTAAAACCAATTATTAAAGAAGAATACTAATTAACTAATCAAAATGAATCTCCTATTCTATTTTTTTTTCTTATTTATCAAAACTCCAATATTCTTACAAATACTGAGATCAATTTAATTAATAAATCATTTATTTTTATGTTCTTTAAAATAATGTTCTATTGAGGAAGTATCCATGATTAGAAAATGATTTTTTCATATATGAATTGTAACAATCAGATTATTTTTATTAATTTTATGACAAAAGAAAATATTTATAATTATTTAATACACTAATATGGATTGAAATTTAAAGTGTTCTTCTTATTAAATTTAATCCTTATTCTTGGGTTTAAAAGTTTAAAATCAGCTTTATTATCCCTTCTCTACATAATAAACTATAATCAATATATATTAAAATTTCATTTTAGTTCTATTAAATATCGTCATTTAATATAATAATTTTATTTCAATATCAAAATTATATATAAATTGAAAAATAAAGGATTATCAAGAGAAAGAGTAAGATCTAAAATATTTTTGCTATAAAATTCTTTTTTATAATTAAAAATCAATTAATTGTTATACATAAATTATATTGAACCAAATTTTAAAACCAGCAATACCTTTTTAAAAATACTTATCTATTATTAATTCAATATATTTTTAGACTTAAAATTAAAAAAGGATAAATTTTCTTGTTTATCAATTAGGATTAAAATTAGAATTTATTAATAAATGTAAAATGAACAAACTTAATAAATTTAATTAATTTTTCAGAGAGATAAATTATTGTTATAATTCAATTTTTATCTTTTAAAAAAAAAATATTATAGTCTGATGATTTGATAACTTAATTAAACATAATGGTTGGAAGAATAATAAAAAAATAATATAAATTTGATTTGTTCTAATAATTATTATTTATTTAAATAGTTTTAATTATTTAGAAATTTGCTGAAGTGATATTCTAAAGAACATATCTTTATGATAATCTCAGATAAATACTTATAATCGATTCTAAATAGTATCTAAAGTCAGTTACCATATAATTTTAGGCATTATTGTAAATATATCTCAATATATTGAATAAGAATTAAAATATCTAAATTATGGATTTATTAGTGTACATATCTTTGGATTATCTAATCTATCTACTAATACTTAATAAATGAGTTAAATTCAAATATATTAATCAATTTTTGAGGTGAATTATAATACATTTTTATGGATATTTACTTATAATGTAGTGTATCTTACTTTATTTTTAGGAATAGATTTGTAATATCTTTATTTAGATATTAACAACATCGGGGAAATCATAAAAGAATTTAATATTTAAGTTTTTTGTCTATATTTAAGAATTAAATGATTTATAATAAGAATAAACTAAATAAATTTTTGATAAGGGTATGACTCAAGAGAAAAGGAATTTTATTTAAATTTGAATCTAACTAAGAATTTAGTGATATGATTAAATTTCTTAATAAAAGCTAAAAGAGAACTTATGTNAATATTTATAATTATTTAATACACTAATATGGATTGAAATTTAAAGTGTTCTTCTTATTAAATTTAATCCTTATTCTTGGGTTTAAAAGTTTAAAATCAGCTTTATTATCCCTTCTCTACATAATAAACTATAATCAATATATATTAAAATTTCATTTTAGTTCTATTAAATATCGTCATTTAATATAATAATTTTATTTCAATATCAAAATTATATATAAATTGAAAAATAAAGGATTATCAAGAGAAAGAGTAAGATCTAAAATATTTTTGCTATAAAATTCTTTTTTATAATTAAAAATCAATTAATTGTTATACATAAATTATATTGAACCAAATTTTAAAACCAGCAATACCTTTTTAAAAATACTTATCTATTATTAATTCAATATATTTTTAGACTTAAAATTAAAAAAGGATAAATTTTCTTGTTTATCAATTAGGATTAAAATTAGAATTTATTAATAAATGTAAAATGAACAAACTTAATAAATTTAATTAATTTTTCAGAGAGATAAATTATTGTTATAATTCAATTTTTATCTTTTAAAAAAAAAATATTATAGTCTGATGATTTGATAACTTAATTAAACATAATGGTTGGAAGAATAATAAAAAAATAATATAAATTTGATTTGTTCTAATAATTATTATTTATTTAAATAGTTTTAATTATTTAGAAATTTGCTGAAGTGATATTCTAAAGAACATATCTTTATGATAATCTCAGATAAATACTTATAATCGATTCTAAATAGTATCTAAAGTCAGTTACCATATAATTTTAGGCATTATTGTAAATATATCTCAATATATTGAATAAGAATTAAAATATCTAAATTATGGATTTATTAGTGTACATATCTTTGGATTATCTAATCTATCTACTAATACTTAATAAATGAGTTAAATTCAAATATATTAATCAATTTTTGAGGTGAATTATAATACATTTTTATGGATATTTACTTATAATGTAGTGTATCTTACTTTATTTTTAGGAATAGATTTGTAATATCTTTATTTAGATATTAACAACATCGGGGAAATCATAAAAGAATTTAATATTTAAGTTTTTTGTCTATATTTAAGAATTAAATGATTTATAATAAGAATAAACTAAATAAATTTTTGATAAGGGTATGACTCAAGAGAAAAGGAATTTTATTTAAATTTGAATCTAACTAAGAATTTAGTGATATGATTAAATTTCTTAATAAAAGCTAAAAGAGAACTTATGTAGATTTTTAAATTGAGAATAAAGACTAATTATTTCTTTGGAGAACTCTTTAAAATAGAATTATGATATGTTAATGAGACTATCTATTTATAGTAATAATGTATCTGGTTCTTTTAGATTATTAAATATATTTGGATGGAGGCATATAAAATATGAATTGAAAAAGTAGAAGAACAATGGTTATTAATGAGGAATAAATAGAAATATAAAATTTGCATCATTATAATATATTATAAAGTGTAAATTGTATTTGATTGCATTAAATTTGTAAATGAAAGTACTTAAGTAAGAACAGAATATAAAGAATATTATAAAGTCATTATTTATTTAGAATTCCTTCATTTTAAGCATTACTTTATAGTTGTCTTTTTATTATCTACAATTTAAGTAACTTTTTCTTTTTGATGAAAAAAGCAGATCATAATTTCTTCATCAAATCTCACTTTGTTTATTATAGTATTATCAGAATAAAGACGCTGATAATTTCCTTCATCAATATCTCCGTATGATTTTTGAATGAAAACCAAGTGAAATGAATTTAGACCTAATCCAGGTTTGCTCATTAATATTAATCAATTTTTATTTAATAAATTATATATAAAAATAGATTTGATTTTCAATTATCTAAAACTTAATGCTACCATTATAAATATATAACACTCTGGCAGATTAATATTTAACAATTTCTATTTAGTCCTTCCTAATTATTATTATTAAATAAAGCAAAACTGTTTTAAATGGCAGAATTGCAAATTGAGCATTACAATATAGAGCGCCTGTTGACAGAATTGGAATATAAATTTTATTAAATAAAAAAAAGATTGAATGGTAAGCCATTAGATAAGGTAGCAGATATTTGGAATGCATTTATTATATGGAGTAAAATGAATTTAGATATTGATAGGACAATATATATACCATTCTATCCTAACGAGAATTTTTTGAATAGATCTAATTACGCTATAGAGTATATATAGAATTTTTAATATTTATAGGGAGAAATAGAAACACAAACCCCAACCATCAAAATCAGTTATCATTAAATTGCTAAATTATGTGGAGGAATTGAGACTCAAGTATAATAGACACAAAAAATAAATGATAAATAATTTGTGTTTACTAAATAGTTTGGCAGATCTTTGATTCAAGCAATTGTGGAGGGAGTATTCTAATCTTTAATTTAAAAAATAAAAGCAAAAAATTAAATTGAGGTTAATTAAGGTTATTTTGGAAAATTTTTAAGATTTGATTTTACATTTACATATGAACCACTTTTGAAATCTAAAGTTTAATCACAAATCAAATAAGAATTATAAATAAAAAAGACTGTAAGAAATTTGATTGAATAATCAAAAAATGCTATTGCTTTATAAACAAAAGGATAAATAACAAATTTTTAAATTATTAAAAATTCAATGTAATAATAACAATAGGAAAGTAAATAATTTTTTAATATTTTTTAGTTATTTAATAGTCAATAGAATAAAGTTAAATAATTCAAACAAAAAAGGCAGTCTTTGAAATTTTTAGTGAAAATTCTTAATAAAAGATGATGTAAAATCCAACAAGAAGAATTGGAAAACTAGAACAGTAATCGATTTATATATATATAAGTATTCCAGTCATGTCTGAAATATTGGGAGCTGATACTAATTCCTTATCTAAGAACCAAGATTTTTAAAAATTGGTCGAGAATCCTTTTGCTTTAATGAGTTAATAATTTTTTAAACCATAAAATGCTAAGATTCGTTTTCCACCTATATTGGATAAGTTTGTTAGAACATAAGCAGCTCCAATTTCAGGAATCAAATATAATAGTAGTGTAGTAAGTAGAATCGCATCCAATTGAAATCCTGGAGCCAAATGATTGTATTTCGATTGTGAGTCAAAGGGTGAAAGAATATTGAGCCATTTGAATCAAAAGTAAATTTTACTGCAAATCCAGAGTTATTATAAAAGCCAGCAAGTTTAGAAGAAGAATTATTGAATGTTAAAAGTAAATTAAGAACAAAAGAATTGAAAGAGATATTAGAAGCTAAGAATAATTATTAGCTTATATTAATAATGAAATACCATATGAATTTATAGCATAAATCAAATAATAATGGATATAAGATATTATAAGAATTATTAACAAGAGATCTAAAGAATTTGGGAGATTAATTAAGTCAAAAATATTTAGAACAGATGATTATGTATTAAAAGATGATGAAGAAAGATTAAGAGTAGGTATAGTGGAAATAATTGATTAAATTCCAGAATATGGATCTACTGTTTATAAAAGAATAGAACCTAGTGAAGAATGGAAAAAGAAAGTGAATGAAGCTAGAGATGCTATGGTGTAGAATTTGGTAATTAATAGTTAAACAACTCTTTAATTATTAAAAAGTTGGGATGCTAAAAATTCAAAAATAATATTTTTTAGTTTTACCTTCTGCTAAAGATTAACCCATGAATATTAATTATTTTACTAAAGTTTAATAGGATAGAATTTAGAAAGTGAAGAATCACTTATAAAATGAATGGCATATAGAAGTAGTTGATCTTTATTAGAAAGAATTACATGTAGCAAATAAAAGACATGCTATGTTATTTTTTGAAAGTACTGCTACATTAATTAGTAATTTTGTTGAGAACTTAAATTAATGAGAGTTTAATATAGCTGAAGAGGATGATTTCGATAAATCTATTGAAGATGTATTTCTAACTGTTAAACTTAAACATGATGGTAATAAGATTGAATTTGCTGATCATCTTTAAATGAGTATTAAAAATGGTATTTTAAAATTACTTGATGATATCTATAAATGTTCAGAGAATTTCTAAAGACCTGAAAAAACATCATTTTTGAAAATACCTGATGATGATGATACCTTTGTTTCAACTTATAAAACTATTAAAGAAATTGTGGATATTAATTTAAAGAATGAAGAGAGTACTTTAGAAATTAATGAAAAAGTATTCATTCTTATTAAAAGAAACAGAAAAAGCAACATAATAGGCAAGTGTTTCTAGAGCAAGAAATGAATTTATTTAAGCATTTAACAATTATTCATAATTAAATGAATAAGTAAATGAAGCAATTCCATTTTTTGTACGTGTTAATATGATTTTGGTTGATGGATGTGAAGTAAAGAAAAAGTATTTGGATATCATTTAAGAGATTATTTAATTATTAGAAAGAAATATTCATGATTATATAATGACTGCAAATTAAAGAATTAGTAAAGAAATATAAGCACTTTAAAATAATATTTAAGGTAGAGCAGATGCTACTGAAAGATTGGTTGAATTAATAGCAGCTTTGGAGTAGATTAGTAATACAGAAAATAAGAAAGTATAAAACGATTTTATAGATTTACAAAAGTGGTTGTATTAATTATTTACAACAAATTATTATATTAATGAAGATGATTTAATCTAAATTTCTAATACATACAAATTTGTACATTCTTTGATGTTTAAAGTTGATTAAGAAGAAATTCATATTCAAAAAGATAGAGATTAATTAGAATAATTTATTATAGAAAGAAGATAGAATTTTTAACATAATTTTGATGAAATTACTCAGAATATCACTAAATTAAAAACATCTTATACATATACTTATTTAAAAGATTATAAGAATATATAGCTATAATGTAATGTATTTAAATGAGAGAAGAATAATTAGGATGGTAACCTATTGAATTTGCTAAACTATAAGATGCTTAAAATAGTATTAAACCTTATGAAGAATTATGGCATAAATTAAGAGATTGGGAATAAAATTCAATTGATTGGTCAAAGACTAAATTTATCTTCAGATTAGATGCAGAATCAATTGATAAAAATGTTAAATATATGTTAACTTAAGCTAAAAAATTAACTTATTAATTTCCAAAGAATAATACTCCATAAGGGACATTATAATTAATCAAATAATTGTCAAATAAAATAAATGATTTCTAAGGATAATTGCCTATGATTAGTATATTCTCTAATCCAGGTATGATAGAAAGAGATTGAGAAGAGATTTCTTAAATTATGGGATTCCCAGTTAGATCAGATAATAATAATAACTTTCGAAATTAATTGAATTAGATTTGAAAAAGAATATAATTTAGAAAAGATCTTAAATAAAATGTAAGAAGATTGGGATAATATAATTACTGAACTTAAACCATGGAAAGATACTGGTACCTTTATAGTATCTGGTGCATCAACTGATTGAAGCCTAAACATTGTTAGATGATCAAATTGTTAAGACTATCACAATGAAGGGTTCTCCTTATGCACGAAATTTTGAAAGTAGAATTGCTGAATGGGAAGCATTTTTATATTATTCTTAAACTTTGTTTGATTATTGGCTTAAAGTCTAAGGAGTTTGGATGTATTTGGAACCAGTATTTACAAGTCCAGACATTTTAAAACATCTTGCTACAGAAGGGACAAGATTTAAAGAAGTTAATGCAAGTTGGAAATCAATTATCAATATTGTTAATTAATGTATTTCATATATTCATTTTTGTTATTTATTTTTTTTTATTAATTTAATTTAATTTATAGGATGTCAGACGAGGAATAACCACAATGTGATTATCAAAAGTTTCTTAATTAACTTCAAACAGTTAAAAAAATGGATGATGTTGAAGTCTTAGATTCAAGTGATGAATTTTAAATGGAAAAAAATGAGACTCAATACAGTTAACAAAATATTTACCATTCAGGACTGGATGAATTTGTTATTCCACCTAAAGAATAGGACTCAGTTTCAATAGATACTAAGCCATATGAAAGTACATAAATTGTTAAACCAAAGATTCAGCCCGTCTAAGTATTCTGTTTAAATTTTAAGTAGTTACCTCCTTTATCAAAAAAGATAAATAAAGCTATAGAAAGAAAATTTTGTTTTAAAAATGTTGAAATCAATTAATAGTTGTTAAAATATGAGACTGTTTTTTATGAAATTGAAAGTTATATTGATGAAAATGATAAAGCACTTGTTACAAGATAATATTCTGATTTTGAATGGCTATTCGAAGAACTATTTGAAAACTTTCCAGGTATAATAATACCTTCGATTCCTTAAAAGAATATGCTAGCTAAATTCAATATAACAGGCTATACTAATTCTATTAGATCATAGAGATAAAAAGGCCTTGAAGAATTTTTACGAAAAACTTTGAGTCATGTTTAATTAAAGGATTGTGAAATTATTGAAAAATTTATGACATTATAGGATTAAGACTTTAAGAAACTTGTATAGAACTATTAAACATAAAAATAATAGAAACTATTAATAAATGTCAGTAAAAATATAGTTGTAAATGCATTTGGAAAAATAGGAAATATATTCTTTAGTATTTAATTATCTATAATTAGATCCATAAAATAATGACAATGAAATGGAAAAATATTGTTAAATTGCTGTTTAAGAAATCAATATATAGAAACTTAAAATCAAGAATATTAGGGATTAATTAGAAAAGACATTTCTCAATAAATTTGAATAGAGCAAATAATTTATGAAATTATCAACTCTTTTTGATGAAATTTAAAATGATATAGGATATAAAGAGCATATGAATACAAAATGTGAAACAATATCAATAGCATTAAGAGACTCATTTGCTAGTGTTATGCCAATAATATATACAATTGATGTAATAATATATTGAAAATTAGGCTAGTAATACTTATTAGATATGGAAGTAGTTTTGAATATTGTGAAATATAGGGCAGATTTACAATAATCTATAACTGATCATGCAGCTGCATTAACAAGTGCTAAATACACTGTATTTATTTATCATTATTTAATAAGCCTGAATAATAAGCATTAATATAGACATAATTAAATGATCATTAAAAAAATATGAGTAAATTTGTAGAAAACTTTAAAAATGAATATGAAACATTTACTGATTAATACAACAAGCATTTTAATAAAATGATGTAGACAGTATTATAAGTGTGGTAGTAAATCAATAATCAAATGTAGGAAACTTGGCTTTGAATTTTTTTAATAAAGAACTAATTTATTAGTTAGAAAATATATTAATTACTTATTTTTCTATTTTTCTCCTTTCTATTTTTTTTTTTAATATTTTATATTATATACTTATGGTTCCATTGTTAAACTGAGTTATTATTCATAATAATAAATAGGAAATTTATAATAATTTATTGATTATAGCAAATTTGGAATATTAATTTATTGTTTAATACATGAATTATATACAAATAATGTATAGTTATAAAAAGAGTAATAAAATAAATTTGAAAGCACTTAATAATAAAAGATTATTAGATTGTATTACAAAAAAGAAAAGAGATAGTATATGTATTTAAAAATTGATTATATAATTTTGATTATATAAATTATAATCAAAGTCATTAATTTAGTTTAATTCTTTTCACAGAAGACTCTTTTTCAGGATCTCTTCTATGAAATTCTGAAATGAAATTTCTGAAATTAGGTCTAGCTTATGAGTTACCTTTTTTAAAATATTATTTCAGTTGAAAACTATGATCTTCATTTAATGGTAAGAATACTTCATTCATTTGATTTATTATTACCTCATTTTAAGGCATAACAGTTTCTTTATCTTCACAATAGAAGAATTCATGAACAATTCTATCCTATTTTAATAATTTAGTTGTTATACTTTAGCAGTATTAAACCAATGAAATTAGTTAAATCTACATATGTATTTCTTCACTTAATAATTAGCATTTTCTCTGCAAGTGTGTAAATGTTAGATGAACTAATCTATAGATTTATGTGAATGAGATTTGTTAATTGGACATAAATAAACATTTTATTCAAGGATCTCATCAAAATATTCTAGTTCATATTATTTCAATTTTTATTACATTTATTTAAATACTAAACTAAGTTTGAGTAATATCAATATATAAAATAAAAGATAATTAATTATAAGATGAACAATTTATTTAGATAATAATCAATCTTAGAATACCTATTGAAAAAATTGATGATGAATTAATTTTCGTAATGGCATTCTTTCTTCAGGATCTATACAAAGCATCTTTCTAATTAGATCAATAAAAAGGGCATGTTTTGCTGGTATTAATTCTTCGAAAGTTTTCAATTTCTTTACTCTTTCAATAGCAGAATCACTTGGTGCTACAGAATTCCATTTGAAATAGGATCGATGCTAATCAAAGTACCTCTAATTTCAATAAGTGTACTTTTAATCATAATTGAAGGATGTTTTATATTTGGAATTCTTGAAATGACGGTAATTCATAGGTCCAATAGCTTTTTCAATCATGGCTATATGTTCTAAATCATCTTTATTTTAGAAATACAATTCACCTAAAAAGTAATTAAAAATTATATAATACCAGTATATAATTCAAGTAAGACACATGCTATACACCAAATGTCACTATTTTCATTCCATTTAGGATAACCCATAATGACTTCAGGAGCACGATATTATCTTGTGTTAATTACTGTACTATGATATTCATAATCAAAGGTAGCTCCTCCAAAATCTATGATTTTAAGAATTTCTCTTTCAGGAACCCAAATTCTAAATAAAATGGAATATAAATTAATACTATTTTCCTTTAAAAGGAATAAGTTTATATTCACAATTGGTAGTTAAGATATTTTCAGGTTTAAGGTCTGTATGAGTGAGTTAATTTTAATGAAGGAAAGCAACAGAGATGATAATCTATTTAGCAAATGATTAAACATATTTCATAGGGAAACCAATATAATTATTCTATTTTATTATGTCATATAATGATTTCCCTAACTTAATGATTATTTTAGAAATACCCTCTCAAAAACCATGAAATAATTGTCATATCTTTCAAACGATGTAAAAAGTCTAACAATATTAAATGCACCACTCTTATCCTTATCTTAAATATACCACAATATTTTAGTTTCTATTTTTGCCGATTCTATGTACCTTTCTACAGCCCTTATACACTTATAAATCCAAATAATATTACTTTCATGGCATAATAATTATTACAAGTATTATTACAAGTTTTAACTTCTAAAACACGACCAAAAGTACCATCTCCTAAGAATCGTGTGATTACAAATTATCCTGCTTTTATTTTCATACCTATTTGATATTCAAAATGGCCAGCATCTTAATCCTCTTTTTATTTGTTTTTTCTTTTCTGTTGTTTTTTGTGAGAGTATCTTGATGAAGATGATGAACTTGAAGAAGAGGATCTTGATGAAGATCTCGATGATGAAGAACTAGATGAAGAACTCATTAAAAATAAATTAAATTAATTATATTTATTATCATTCTAATTATAAGATTATATCCTACCTTTTTCATAAAAGATCTAAGTAATATTATTTAATTAATATATTCATTTCTTTTTTTATACTAATTCTATTACTATATATATATATAACTTTAATATAATTATTATTACTCTCTTTAAAATTAATAACAAATTATATATTAAAGAATTTATATTAGTTTCCAATAATTATGTATTATAGACAATTATTTTTTATAAATTTAGAAATCCTTTATTTATATTTCTTAAATATCCATATCATATTTAAAGTATTGTTTCATAATATATTAAATAATCAAATTAACTATATTATCATAGAACTACAAAAAATAAATATTTTAATTAAACTTCAAGTTATATTAGATGTTATTTAATTGTTTATAATTTTTAGTTAATTATGTTCTATGTATTCAGAATATAATTTTAGTAATTGATAAATAATACAAATGATTCTTAATTCAATTATTTATTAATTAAAATTTTATATAATTTATTTAAATTAATGTCTAAGAGAAGAAAGAATAGCTCATCTTCATCATCATCATCGTCTTCATCTTCCTCTCCAGAGAAAAAGATCTTTATAAACTAATGTGACAAGTATAAGGAAGAAAAATAGTCTGAAATTCGGATACATTTCTACTTCAAAGATTTGTACATTGGAGGATTGAGAGAAGATGAATTTTTGTTTTATTTACATGGAAGAATATAAAAGGCTGTAAGAATCTCTCTTTCTAAAAGAGGGTCCATGCGATTTGTTACAAATTAGTTCAATTAATAAGGAAACATAAACAATTGATGTAGCTGTGGGATTCAAATACGATGACGATGCACTCAAAGTTTATTAGGGAAAGGTCTCTGTAAAAACAAAAGATAAGCTTACCCCAATCTTATCTAAAGTGTACACCGAAATGCTCAAAGAATAAGGAAATATGATTAAAGAATAATAGAGTGATTATCGTAAGTCCCAATAAAAAGAATTGTCCCGTGAAAAGGAGAAACCATAGTAATATTTACCAACATATAACTGTATCAATATAACAAATTTAGATAATATATCGAAGGAATAATTATACATCTTTGGAATTCCTAAAGAATTTACTATAGAAGAATGCATATCCGAAATTAAGTAGGTGTATGACTTAGTGGTTAAACCTGAAGGAATCTTTAGATCTGAAAAGAGTGGAGATATATTATATGAATATTTGGAATTGTAAGTGGAAAGGATACCTTGCTAATAGATTTTAAAGAAGTAGCCATTAGTATTAAAGAATATTTCTTTATTATGTATATAAAAGAAGAAGCGAACAGATCCTTTTAATGAAGTTTTAAAACCTTATTAGGTGATCCTAAATGGCAAAGTAAATCTATCATAAGTCTATGCTCATATGAATTCAATAGGAGGTGTATTATTTCATTAAATTAGGTAATTATTTATAAATATTTACAAATAAATAGTGAAACCAAATATTGTATAATTATGCATAGTGAATAATCAGTGATTGACTTAAAATTGCCATGCAATATAGAAATTTAAAAAGTTTAATGTTAAATCAATTAAAATTCTGACTTTACTATGCCAATGGGAAGACCTAATTTAAATGAAACCACTTATTATAAGATTTAAGAGTTCAAAAAGAAACAGGAAGAAATGAAATTGGCTCGTTTACATTCGAGTTCAAGTTCGAGTTCAAGTTCAAGTTCCAGTTCAAGTTCTAGAAGTAGAAGTAGAAACAAAAAGAAGAAGAAACATCATCACAAAAAAAAGTATTGAGGTTTTATATATAAATATATTGATCTTTGATAATGTTGTTGTTTTGCATTTAATCTGACTATTAATTACTAAATGATTTTATTTATGAAAATATTATGAGTTAATGCATCAACTCCAATATTAAGAAAGATTAAAATAGTTTTTGATTTTTCAGCTTTAATTTATAAAAAGCATTTATTAATTATGAATTATTATTGATATGAATATGCTGAAGTTGCAGATTAGTAAACAAAATATATTAAAGTAAATCCTATAAATTTTGGAATACTTGTTTGAAATTTTAATTTAAAAACTCCAAATTAAATTAAAGAGAATACTAATTATTAGTTTTCTATTCTCCTTAATCTTGTTTGAATAGAAATTGAATTATTAAGTTTCTTAATTCATTAAAGAATCTAGTTAATATACTAAAATCTCTAATACTATAGAGTCAAATAGAAAATGAAATATGATTATTGGATATTATTTCTATATAAATTTAAATCCTTATATATATAAGCAGATCTAAATTTTAAAAGATCGAGTAACATTTGATTTAACAGAATATCATTCAACTTATTATTTGTTCTTCCGATTTTATTTAATTTATAAGTAATTATATACATATAATTATTTTTTTATTGATATAAAATACAATACCTATTGCTAAAATGATGAAGTATTTAGTAACCATATCTGGTTTTGAAACAAGAAACGATATAATATTTTATAAAATCACTATCAATGGATTGCATCACTCTAAAGTGATTTATAAAAGATACTCAGATTTAAGAGCTTTAAATGAGCAACTTATATAAAAGAATCGTGAATTCAAACTTAAATTGAATCTACCTAAATTCCCAAAAAAAAAATTATTCGGAAGAACTAAGCATTCTGAGCCTGATATTGTAACAAGAGTAATAATTATTAAGAATACTTTAGGGATTAGAGTTATAGTAATACTTGGAAATCATCTTGAATATTTCTATGCTATGGACATTCTCATTTATCAGAGACCTTTAACCTCTAGATGAAGAATTTGAAGAGTCAATTAAGCAAATAAACACAAGTCATTAATATACTAAAGATGTTTGTTGGCCATAGATGTAAGAATTAAAGCAATAATATTTGTAACGTCACGATGTAAGTTCTTCTCCATCAAAAAGTTAAACCAAAAAATCAAACGGATATAAATAAAGATACTATTTTTAATTTGGAGAATATGTGAAACAACAAGACTTTGTTTTATATTTTATTACTTTAACTGACTCAAAAAAGAATGTTTAATATTTATTTAATACTCGATACAGCAAGCTTAAAGATTACCATTCTTTATTAGAAAATAAGTAATTTAAAAATTAGCTTCCTCCATTTCCTAAAAGAAAACTTATTGGATAAACTTCTGATAATCCAGATGAGATTCAAGAAAGATAAAATTAATTAGAAAGATATCTAAATGATATTTTTAGTATAAAAGAATTCGTAAATAGCGAACCTTTAGTTTATTTTATCATACGTATTAAGCTTGAAAGTAAGACTATTTAAGAATTCGATTAATAACATTAAAAATGTAGTCGATATTCATAATAAGTAAATTGCTCTTCTTTTGATAAAGAGCCCTTTGAAATACCAAAAAATATTCAATCCTATTGAATTTAATTCATTTTGTTTATTACTCATATTTAATTAATTCTTCCTTAAAGTCTTAACATTTAATTATTGAATATACATTAATTAATATAAATTTCAAAATTTTTATCAGAAATATCATTAGAAAACCAATAAAAATTTTTAGTTATAAATTATATTTTTATTTTCTTTAGAATTTCTTTATTAAAAATAATAATGATCAAATTCATAAAATTAAATTTTATCTTTTTATTTTTTAATATGAATTCAAAATTTTTGGTTTCTTGTTCAATAATAACCTGCAAAAAGTAATTCTAGTAATATCATTATTTTTCTATTTAATCTATTAATATATTTGACTATCTATTTATGATATATTAAAACATTTTGAATTTTTAAATTTATTTATTTTAATTGATATTTTGTATGTGATCAAATTTTAATAATTTGTTCTCTATCAAAGTTATGCATATGAAATTTATCCAATTTTCCAATAAATTATAGCCTTATTTGATTGTAAAAATACTAAATTTATTGTAATTTTATTTCATAATTATTGATTTTCATAAGAAAATAAAAGTATTGACTTTAATTTATTTTAAATGTAGCATAAATTAATAAATTAGAAAAAAGTAGAGTTGATACTATTAAGTATATTGTAGATAATAAGTTTATTTACTAAATGAAAAATCTTCTTATTTAAATTCAATATTGTATACAAGAGTGTTGAATATTTAAAAGTAATGTAGAGTTAAATAAATAAAAATTAATTTTTAAAAAAGGAAAAATTAATTAATTTATATTAAGAGATTGAAGGTGATCATGACCATAATAAAATTATGATGAATAATATATGAATATAATAAAGTTAAAGCATATATTTGAATAAAATAAACAAAGAAAAGTATTTATTCAAGATCTAAATGGATTTCTGAGTTAAGGAAAATCTAATTGTCTCAATCTACAATATTAAAAATAATTTACTGTGTGCTTAGATCTTCTATCTAAAATTATTCTTCTTCAAAATATAAATGCTGCAAACAGACTGCAGCACTGGGTCTTTCCTTAGCGACTGATATCATTGATTATAATAATTCAAGAGCATTGAGATTACTAATTTAGGACAATGAAATAGTGCTATTTCTATTCATTATTAATAATTCTGAAGCTTTAGTGGATTTTGGTGTTTGATATAATTTTCTTCCAGTTAATAAAGCATGGAACACACACCCTAAACTATAAATATCACATAATTCATTATAGTGATTCATATTTAAAATTTCTGGAGCAATATATCCAGGAGTACCACATCTTTAATTAGATAAACTCTTATCATCAATAAAAGTTGAATAACCAAAATCCATAATACGAATTGAGTTTGGATCATTTTTTCTCAGTAACATGATATTGTCTAATTTTAGATCTCTGTGTATAATTCCAAGTTTATGGAGATGATTAAGACCCATAAGTAACTTTTTCATTATCTCTTAAGTCACTAACTCTGATAAATTTAAATCATTCTCAATTAGATATTCATAAAGTGTTCCTCCTTTGCAATTATGCATTATATAAATGACTGACTGATCACAAGTGAAAATTTACCTGGCTCCTAAAAGATATTAATGGGGATTGTAAGATAATTTCATATATATCTTAGCCTCTTTCATTACAAAAGACTAAATTTTTTGGAATTATTACATTAAGATCTAAGTCAGCAAGTTTAATTTTATGAAACTTCACTTATTTAGCTATAACAATCTCATCTGTTAATATATTTTTACATATCATAATCTATATATGAATGATTGAGATTACTTCGACATTTTTATGAGATCTAATTATCTCTAATTTCTGGTAAAATGATTTAAAATTTCTATAGTATGCTTTTCCATCAAGTTTATTTTGTAAGTCTAATAAAATCTCATGCTTTTCACAATATACAATTCTTTAATTTAATTTTGTGTTATACACCATCATTTCTTTGATTATGTTATCCCTAAATATTATTTGGCTTGGTACTCATAATGCCATTTGATTTGGCAATCCATAGAAGTCAAATCAAATTTCCTATCTATCAAATTATGATCCTCTTTCTAAGAAATTATAATTTGAAGGCCATACCTTATTGATTATAAGAAAATTCTCAAATAAATAGAAGTACCTACGTTCATAGTCATTATTTTATTTTCTCAAAAGTGATCCCTTATAATACACAATATTGTTCATTTGTAAAAAGATATAGATAATAAATTATCAAAAAATGTAAAATTTTGTTACTTTAAAAACACTGAATATTAAATATTTCTTCATCAATATAATAGTAATTAGATATGCTGGATTAAATTGAGAATATTAATATTTTTTTAATATAAGCTTTTATTTTTAGATTAATTTAATTATTATTACTATTAATTAATCATTTGACTCTTAGAATTATATATTTACTTTATTGAAAATAAGATATAAAGACATAGAGACTCACTCAAAAAATGTTCTTAAAATAAGAATCAAAATTAGAATTAATCTATATTTTTTTTAAATTAGATAAATTTAATTAAGAAATAAATTACAACTTTTTTCAAATTACTTTCTTAAATTATAATTTTCATTTAACTATTTTATAATACAATTCTAATATTAATTACTTTCTAAATTTGAATGTATGATTTAAATTTATCTTCTATTGAAATCATTGTACAAAGCATATCTAATATTTCTTAAATTCAATTTATAAAAATACAAAAAATCTTTTTTTTTAAATCCTATTTATCTTATCTATTTATGATCTGAAATTATATCATAATATTATTTATTTAAACAGAAAAATTAATATTTATATTTAAAATAATCTATCATACAAGATTTTTTATTAAATCTAACAATTTAATGGTATTTGATATGAAATAATCAAAAATTGATAAAATTTAATTTATAATTTAAGGAATATGATTAGCAATTAATTTTTAATAAATAAAAAAAATGCTAGAATTCTAAATTAAGGCATAAATTCACCATTAGTGTAATTCATAATCTACTTTTGATTCGATATCAAAATTCTTTAAGGTTACTGGTGCATTAAGAGATGGTCGTAAAATCGCTCTATCTGAATTTATTAATTATGATAAAGAATTTTAATTCATTACTTATAATTTACAGAGAAATTTACATATGTCTATATAAGAGCTTTATGAATATTCAAATTAAAAAGAATTTAAGTAGTATATAAATTAGAGTTAAGAAATACTAAAAATATAAATAGAAAAATTTTAAGATAATGATTTACATAATACTTTGTCTATATAGAATTTAGATTCCTCAAAAATTTGGTTTGAATTTAACAAAAAGAAAGTTATAGATGTATATATACTAAATTTTGTGCCTTTTGCAAATGATGGCAAGACTATAACAGATATATTAAATTACTTTGATTATTTAGTATAAATAAAACCTGAGGAAAAGAAAAAAACAAAAGCAAATAAAAATGATGTTTAAAAAATGAACCAAGATTATGAATCTATTAAATTACAACCATATTCAATTAGGACTCTAGAGATGAATAACTTAAATAAAGCAATAAACTCATTATATTTAGGCATTTCAGATTTAAATAAAAAAATAGAGTTTAAAGACTAATTTTAATTTATTGTGAAAAATTCTAAAAGATAAATTACTAAGATAATTGAATAACTAAAACCAATTTAAAAACAAACTTATCCAGAAAAGCTTTTAAATTAATTACAAGACATTATTAATAATAAAAATGGATCTGAGGAAAAATTAGAATTTATTATTATAAAATTAATTTAGTAGAATAATCTATTTGATGAATTCTTCTTCAAAAATTATGATGATAATAATTAAATTATAAAAATTATTAAACATTATCTAAGAGAGTAAATCTATAACTGTATTTTATAAGAAAATTAAGAAATCATTCCATATGATAAAATTATGATTTATTTAGTAATTTTAAATTAAAAAAAATCACTAGCAGACTTGGAAAATTAAATTAAATAAATGTTTTCATATACTAATGAAAGATTAGCTATATATAAGCATGAATGGTCTGGTAAAATAATATCAGATTAAGAAATACTAGATTAATTTCTTATTACACAAACAAAAATCCTTAAGAGTAAAAAGTATAAGATAATTAATAAGAATTTGTTTCATTAAACTATAATGTAATTATAAATTTACAAAGAGAGAGTGTAATATCTTAAGAGTGGACTTGATATTTTAAAATAGCATTTCTAAGTTGATATTGGCACACTAGCTAAAGATTATTTTCAGTTATATTAATCATATATGATGAAAAATTAAAATAATTTAGTAAATGGAGATAATATCATGAGTACATTATTTTTAGACTTGGTAAACCAATAATTAAATGCAATAATAAATACATAGAACAACTTTTGAATTAATTATTATTAATGTAGATTTAATTTTTCTCATCATTCTTTAATGTTTATTTATCTTTTTATTCTTGATGCATTTAGATTAGAAATATTTTATCACTTTTTAATCGATATTTATTTTTAATAATAAATTAAATTAAAATAAACCTTGATTTTCCTATAATTATAGAATTTTAATTGCCTTAAATTTTCATAAAGAGAAGATAAGATAAAGATTTTAATGTATAAATATGAAAAAAAAACAAGAAGTTTGGATAAATTTAATTAATCATTTATTAAACATAAAAATTAGATAAAATCAATATAAGTCTTACTAATAATCTTTAAATCTTATAAGAAACAATAAATAAATAATCAAATAGAAAATTAAAATAATAATAGTCATAATTAAATAAAACTTTCTAATATTATAAAGAAAATAAATATTATCTCTTAACATAGAGATAAAACTTGAATTTGCATCAAATAAATTGAGAAATGAAATATAATTATAATTGATTATGATGAGTAATTAGAGTATTATTTTATTCTAACTAATTCTATTATTTTATATTATTTAAATTAAATTAAAAAGTAAACAACAACAAATGAATTAACTATTAGGTTCATAATATATATCTCAGAGTAACTTAGATAGGATTAATAATATATTTTCATATTTAATCGAAGATTAAAGAATTATTTTATCAACATTACAAGGATCTTATTTTTCTTATATCATCTTTAATCCTTTATACTGCATCAACTTAAAATCATTTATTAATATAATTGCTTCTAATTAATCAAATAATTAATAAGAGAATATATATTATTTAATAATAACAATGATCTTATTAATAATTAAAGAATACAGAAAATTATAAGATAAAAAATTATATCATAATAATTTAGAATTGCATAATATTTTTATTTTTCAAAAAGATTGTCTTTCAATTACAAATCTTAAATTCGACCAGATTTAAATCAAATTTTATAATTTTTAAGATAATTCACCTAATAAAAGTAGTGATCTTTAATAAATTTATTCATTAATTAATGAAATATTGATAGTAAATGAAAAGATAAATAACATATTTAAATAGAGAAAATTTTTATAAGAGAAGAATTTGAAATCTTTGGAATAAAATTTGACAGATTAAATAGAGAAAATGAACTCTAATAAGGATAAAATTTAAAGATTGATTAACCCATCTAAATTAGAGTATCTTGAAAAAGTTTATTAAATTTTTTAAGAAAAGCTAAAGGAAATTGATAAAAGTAATTTTACTTAAGTTTAAATTTGGCAATATTATTATTGTTATACTTAAGAATTTTAAAATACAGAATTTTAATTATCTTCAATACTAAAAAGATTAGATATTTATATTAAAATATATCAAGAAGTTCAATCTAAATTATAAAGTGATTTAATCTATGAGATAAGTTTATTAAAATAATTTTATGAAAGTTAATTCAAAGAAATTGTAGAATAATAGTTATAAATTGAAAGAATTTAGAATGAACTAAAAAGAGGGATGGAAATAGATATTTAAAGTGAATTTATTTAAATTATCTAAAAGAAACTCTATGAATTAGAAAAAGGATAGATAAGAAAAATTACAGAAGAATTTATTAATTATATATGGTAGTACTATTAAAAAAAGATTCAAAATGAATGTTTTGAATTATTTTAAACAAATATATTGAAGATTATAGAAAGATATGCTGAAATTTGAATGTTGATCTCAAATTTTATAATTATAAAAGTATAACTCATAATCAATCAGTTATTTTTTGATGTTACAATTAACATATAAAAAAAGATAAAACCTCTTTATGAGATAAAAAGAACAAAATATTAATACTATCTAAAATTTATTGATATTAATCACAATCTAATAAAACTGAATTTTTTATAAATCATTAAAAAAAAACAAGCTTAAATTTCTTCCTTGTTATGGATAAATTTTTATTTTTGTAATAATTCCTCCTAATACTATCCTAATTATTAACCTAAATTATAATATAAATTAATATGTCAATAGTACTTAATCAATAAAAGTCAAAGACAATATAAATACAATATTGAAAGTATTCTTAAAAATAAAGTTTGATTTACTCCTTAATAACGTTTTTTATCATCTTTTGAATATCAATACTCAATAATATTAAAACACTAATTTTATAATCCTGCTCCCTAACTTTATAACAATTATTTATACCAATCATCTTAAATTAGAATTCACATCTAATTCAATCCATCTCATTTTAAGGAAAACAAAAAATATTAAAATAATTTGGAAATACTATATTCATTTTATTATATAAATTATCTTAGATCTATGCAATCATTTATTAATTAGTGCCAAATAGTTATTAAAATTAGTACAAACTATGTCTCTTCAGAATTAGAAAATTTGAAATCAAAAGAATTAATTCTGGTTGAAGAGTATAATATGGGAAATGAGTATGAATCAGAGGACTTAAACTTTTCAAACTAAATAAATTAATTGATCATTCATTTTAGAAACTACATTTTGCATAATTATTTAAGAAAGTATATTAAAAAAAATTGATAGAATTAGGCTGGTAGAAAAAGTTCTTTAACTTTTTGAGAAGATATTTTTGAAAAATGATAATAATTAAGACTAGTTAGAAGATATTTTGGGAAATTTAATAATAACATTAGAATATATACAATAAAAATTAGTTAATTATGGAGATTTATAAATATTAAAGAAATAAATCGATAACCTCTTAAATTTCAAAATCTAATCGACTAAATTATAGGTAAGTCCAATTATACTTGATCTATTTAATTTACAAGTTCTCAGAGATATTTATTTAACCAAATTTTAGAAAAAATACGGTATTGAATTTGAAAATTTTTATAAAAATTATAGAAAATTATCATTTGATTTTGAAGATGAAAATAAACCTGCTAAAATAGATACCAATAATCTCAATTAAGAAACAAAAAATACTAAATAATCCAAAAAAATTGAGTAAAATTATTCAATTATCATAACACCTGATTCTGATTCTTGTATCCCTTCATAATAAAATTAAATACATAATTTATTAGAGATGAATTCGATTAATTTAAAAAGTAAAAGTGAGTTAAAAATAAATAAATCGTAGTTATATTCACCATAATCACAAGGATCCAGAACTCCTAATTCAAATTAAAACAAAAATTTTTTTAGTTCTTAATTAAAGATAAATTAATAAAAAGATAATTAGAGCATAATAGAATAATTCATATAATAAAAAGAGAAGGATTCAGATTCAGATTAATTACCAAAAGACATATTTGATATTGGTAAGATATTTAATATGAATTCAAAAAAATAGATTAAAGGTTATGATATGTTTGATGAATAATCATTATTTATATTGAGAAATTATTTAGATAGCAAATATACATCAAATAAATTAGAAATATCAAATGATTTATCATAATTGATTAATTATAAATAAATTTAATGATTATTAATTTTTTTGATCCCTCATCAAGAATTTAATTTCATTTAAAATTGAGAATATTTATATACATTTAAAATTATTATATTAGTCAATTTTAGATGTTTTTTATCTTTTTCCCTTCTATCCATTCTCCTTTTTTTACTGATCCATCTAATAAAATATATTGCCCTCTGCCATGTTATTTTCCGTTTATCCATTCTCCTTCATATTTTCTGCCATCAGCCCAAGTATAAATACCATAACCATGTTTCTTATCATTTATGTATCCTCCTTTATAAGATCTACCATCTTGCCATGTATAATGTCCTTATCCATGCATATTATTATTCAACCACTCTCCTTCATACCTTCTTCCATCACTCCATTAATATACACCCTTTCCACTAATCTGATTATTATCCCAATCTCCATCATAGAAACTTCCATCATTCCAGATATACTTTCCTTTACCATGTTTCTTTCCCTGATAATACTAACCCTCGTATTTAGAACCATCTGCCCCTATAATCATAATCTAATCATAGATTACAAGTTTCTACTCCAAATCCATGTTATAAATCATTTAGCCATTCCCCTTCATACTTTGCTCCATTAGCATGGATATATATACCAAATCCACAAGCCTTATCTTCTACCCAGGTTCCTTCAAAAACATCTCCATCTATATGATAAAATATTCCTTTGCCATGAGCCATATTATTTTTCCATTGTCCTATAAATTTAGCACCATCATTCCATAATTATGTGCCTTACCCATCTCTAGAATTTCCAATCCATTCACCTTCATATATAGCACCGCTCTTATACTTAAAAGGAGGCCTTTATTCTCTTGTTTTTGAATTGCTATGTTATTGGGCATAATCTTTATCACTGCTAAAATATTTATTAGCAATTGGAGGAGCACTTGCATTATCATTAGTACCAATTGACTTTTTTATTTTATTCTTCCTAACTATATATCCTCTCCAATGTGCTTGTATTGATATTACTGCCTTAATCTTCTTATTTTTGCTTCCTTGATCACCACTCACATTTGATAATCTTTATTTGCTATTCTACGAAAGCTAATAAAAATTATACTTGACTCTATTATTAACTAGTTCTGTAAGCCTAATACTTAAAATTATTATTATACTTGTTGATCAACTGTTAGCTCTCTACCATCAGGTTTTTAGCATGATTAACAGTTATTACACTATCCCATTTTAGATTTTAAATTTATATATATTTTTTTTACTATTACTGGAGAAAGGTCGAATCATTAAAGATCATTAAAAGACTAATATTCAAATATTTAAGATATTCAAAATCCAATTAAACTATAAACTTGAAAAAAATAATCCATTATTATAGATTTGATTGCTCAGTTTAGTAATTCTTAGGTTTCCAAATTAATTAATTATTATAATAAAATTTGAAACTTTTGAAATACATCTTTTGATCTAGATTGGAATCAAGATCAACACAACATAGCATTTATATATTAAAAATTTCTTATTATTATTATAATGAAACAAATATAGAATAATAAGAAATAATGAATTTTAAAATAATTTTGTAAGAAATTTGATTCTTAAAATAAACAAATAAAATTTAATTTCAGATAGGATGTTCTATATTGATACTTTCTATTTAACATTTTAATTCTTTCATATCTTCTTGGATCATATCGAAATTAGGTTAATGATGAGCATACTAAAAATTAATAGGACTATATTCTAATATCTTTCTATGTTAATTAAAGGGGGAAACATCTTATTCTTCCATCCCTCCAAATTATTTAGAATCAAATGAATCTAGAAATAAATCATAAAAACGACCTTATATCAAATTTATGGATGGCTGGATACGATGGGATGGTGTCTAGTTTATTAATAATGAATCATTTTTTGTATTATCATGTTCCTCTTTTAAACTTTAAATGGTATCTAATGGTTGGTAAATAGGCTAAAACAAATTTTATATAGAATTTGGAACTATTTTTTATGGTTGTTCTGGTTCTGATTCTATAGATCGATCATCATCATCATCATCTGATCCTTCATTTAATATTTACACTCTTTTTATATAAGAGTAAAATCGATTCTTCACTTAATTTTCCTAATGATAGGTCCTCACTGTACTGGTCTTCGATTTAACATCTTTGCAATTTCGCTCCACTTAGGACCATATATTCGATATTGTTCTAAAATTATTTGATCTTCTTATAAAGTGAATTTTTCTCTATTTATTTCAGGATCCAAATTATTTAAGAACCTTTCTCTGATCTATTTACTTGAACGCCCTTCCATAAGTCCTTCAATGAATTTCCAATTACGTCCATTTTCATTAACTAGCCTTATAACTTCTTGATCTTCTTAATCTGTCCACTATTTTCGAAGTTTATTCAAAAAAATAGATGCAAAAATACTTTATTTGGATTAATTCTCTTCCATCTTTATTAACATTAACTTAGATTTCGTCCTGGAATGCCTTCAGCAATTAATTTCCAGTTTCCGTTATGCCGATTGTGCAATTCCATTAATAAGGAATCCTCATTAGGTTTCCAAAATTTGCCATATCTCCTCTCAGAGGAACTTGAATCAGAGTCTTTGCTTTGCTTATGGATAGATTTTGAAATCTGGGGTGATCTATTATAAGTCAAATTTTAAATGATACTTAGAACTTGTTTGTTTTCTACTCATACTTGATTTTTAATTTAATATTATTATTTAAATATAAATAATTATTATAAAGATATAATAAGAAAATATAATCAATAAACAAAAAAGTTGTCACAATATCATATTTTGATATTTTCATTCCTGTAATCTCTTTTTTTTATTAATTATTTTCTTGTATATTAAATCAAAAAGAAAATAATTTATGATTCATATAAAATATATATGATCAATTATATAAACATAAAAAAAATTCTTACATTAAGAAAAATATATTAATTTATTCATATACATTTAATTCATAATGAAAGTTTTATAAATATTGAAACCTTAAATTCCTTTGATCATTTAAAACTGGTTTATCACATAAAGCTATCTAATATGGATGAAATTTGATCCTAATTTACTGACAAGAACTTTTCCAAACTTTATTTTTATTTATTTTAATCATACAACAAAATATAATAAAAAATAAAATTGGTAACTAATTAAAAAGTAAAATTTTATTAGATAAGACATAATTGCCGATTTTATTTTCCAAAATAACAATCAAATTTATAATCAAGAAATATTTAATTTAGGAATATAATTTAAACGATATTTACAATCTCAAAACTCTTTTTTTATACAATAGTATCTAAAATTCTTCCCACATATAATTTTTTATCTCAAACCATCATAAATAAGATGTTTAGATGCTTAGAGAAAATTAGGAAAAATAATCTCAAAATATTAAATAAAGTATTCCAAAAGCTTGTTTCATTGTTTACTTTTTATTTGCATTAAGCATAATGTTATTTTTATATTCCTAGTCATATATCAAAAATGTCAAGAATTTGCTGTAAATTTATTCAATATAATTCAATTTCATAGGAATAAAATAGAAAATCTTTTTATAAAAAAGAAAAATTATAAATATATCATCATCGTATTTATTAATAATTATTCAAAACTATATCTTTATTTTCAAAATTTATGTACTATCTTAAGATTTCTTTACTGTCTTTAAATAAAAATAATTCATATAAGGATGCCAACAATAAACTAAAAATTTGACACTTAAGCTTTATTTTATTGATTTTTATAATCAAAATGTTAAGATTTGCATTATAAAATGATTTCCTCATTCTATTTTTAATTTAGATTTAGTATATTGAAATTTAGATTTAGAATAACGTATTATCATAATTTATTTTAAGTTGATTTAATTAAATGATTTTGTTAAGGAATTTCATAATTTCAAAGCTTGTTTTTTTATTTTATTAAATTTGTTTCTTAATTTATATCTTTTGAATAGTCATAAAAATAATTTATTAGGTAAATGGTGCCAGTCAAAATATTTCCATCAAAATTTTTTATCTATTTTTCTGTTTTGTGATATTATCATTATTTATAATAAATACCAAAGATACGATAAAATTGACAAGTTTTGATCAATTCTTTAGAACTAAATGAATTTTTAGGATTTATATTTATGATATAATACAATTATTAGAAGTTGAAATAAAATTTGATATTTAGACTAAAAAAAAATTTGAATAGATATTTTTCTTGTATTTGAAAAATACTAAGATGAAATTTCTTCTAAACTAAGCATGATGAATGATCTTCTTTTCTCAGATATGAGAAGAAAAATAGATTCTTACATCTCATGGGGATATTTGTAATTCATCATAATAACAATTGTAGTTAAGAAGAGTTCATATTCTTACTTTAGAGAATTAAGAGCAAAATAGCAATAAAGTCATTATTTCAATATATAAGGTCAAATTTATTTGAAATTCATCAAAGTAACAATTTATATAAGGAAAATATCATTTTATGATGAATCAAATAAAAGCAACTTGGTTTATATTTTATATTTAAGGAATTTATAAGATGGACAAGAAAGATTTAGAAATAATTAGTTAATATTGAAGAAATTTCATATTAAGATTATTTATATAATATAATCATAGTATATAATGATAAAATCCAGTGAGTATTGAATATAATTCTTATTTATTCACATTCATAATCAGTTTTTTAATCTATTATCAGTTATATTTTATTTAAAATACTTAAACATGCTTTAATAACCTTCAGAATCTCCTCATAAACAGGCCTCAAAACGGTTTGCTTTGAAAAAAGAAATACCTATTTTAAAACAATTTCGAAAAATTTACAAACAATATAATTAAAAACCTCATCCTCATTTAATCTAAAAAGAGCATACAAAAGAATAAGTAAAATTAGCAGAATTAGAAGTTGAACGTCTTTCGAATTCTCTGACACTCAACTTTGATATCATTTTTAATAGATAAATCCAATCAGAATAAAATAAATCTAACAATGATGATTCTGAATATTCGCCATTTTCGTAAAACACTTTCACCCAAGACATAATTAAAAAGGAAAAAATTTAAAAAGAATTAGATTTCGAATTGTTATATTAAATTTATTTAGAGAAGCAATTTACAGAAGGTAATTGCAATAATTTACATTAGATAAGAAATAAAGATGTATTGAATGGTTATAAAAAAATTGAACCAAATAATTTGACGTTTAAGCATTATCAAAATTACTATATAATTACCACGAATTGATAATTTGTAGTAGGTTGATGAGTGGATTTTAGTGATTTTTATAATGCTTATTTTTATTTATTCAATCTTTTCTCATATTTTTGAACTCATAAACTATTAAGAATTAGTGATGAAAATTAATTAATCATTACAAATTCCATTCCAATCAAATGATTATAATATTAAACTGATTATTTTGTAATGAGAATTAATTATATAAGTTAATTGCATTAGAATAAGAATATCTGTAGGAAAAAACTTTCAAAGTTGATTAAAACAATTGCGTTTATCACAAATTAAAATAAATTGTACATATATAAAATTTAATCTAATAAATTAAGTTATGACATAAAATTAATCAATATGTAATGCTTTACTTAAATCAATCAATTAATAATAAATCATAAATTAATCCAATTCTTATTTCAATATGTAGTTTAAAATATCTTAAAATAACAATTAGATAAAAGAATTCTTTAATTGTAAATGTAAACTAAAAATATTAAAAAATAGAATAGAAATAAATGATATTACAAAATAAATGATCAAAAATTTTACATTCTCTTTATTCTTGCTCAATTTCAAATTAAATATATTCTTTTATATTGTAAAGTCTTTTTTAAAAATTACTGAAATTCATGAATATAATCATATTAAAAATGATTATAGTTTGTTCATTTTATAAGAATGAATATTATTGTATTAAATGCTGAAGAAATATATAGAATAAAGAGTTAGAATATTCTTTTTTCAATAATTTATTAGTTTTATTTTCTTAGAGGCTTTTCAATTAATTTTTAACTTTTTTTTGAAACTATAATTTCTTTGGGATATTATATTACTCTAGTCTTTATAATTATCTATAATTTTATAAACAATAAAAGGTTCATTGGAATTATAAGTAACTCTTGAATTTCTTATTATTATTAATTATATTGATATTTGTATAATACATATATAAATGATTATTTTGATAAATTATTAGACATTATAATTAATAATTGTATATGAAATAAGAAAAAGACATAATATTTAATGGAGAATTTGAAGATAGTGAAGAAGAAGATGAAGATTAATCATAAGATTATGATAGTGATGAAGATTTAAATAAAAAAAAGAAAAAGAAATCACTTTTAAACACAAATAAAAATTTAATAATGAATGTTTCAGGTATCTCTAACATAATTAAATAGACACTCAGTATCCTGTAGTGAAATTTGTAGGAAAAATGATTTATAAGTTTAAATTACAATATGTTCCTTATTAAGAAATTAATAATTGGGATTTTTGTTGGACTGACAATGCTGTTCTTCCTGAAACTTTGTCCAAAATGCAATGTAACATAAATATTTATATTATTTATAATAGCTCATTAAAAGATTAATCATTTTCCAGGTATGTATTCATTAGCTCGTAAAAACCATTTAGGCAAAAATTTGAACAAAATGCAAAAGTAGTTCCCAGATGAATATGATTTTTTTCCAAGAACTTGGATGTTACCAAATGAATATAATGATTTTAAACAATAATTTGGTAAAGCTAAAACATTTATACTTAAACCTGAAGCATCATGTTAAGGCAGAGGTATAATTTCAACTAATATTAATAGGAATCTTTTTAACTCGCTCTATAGAATCAATAAATCCTACTGAACATTATGTTGCATAAAGATATATTCATAAACCACTCCTTATTGATGGATTAAAATTTGATTTGCGAATGTATGTATTAATTTGTGGGTGTGATCCTTTAAGAATATATTTGTATAAAGAAGGTTTAGCAAGATTTGCAACTTAAACATATATTGCTCCTAATACAAATAATTTAGATGATGTTTGTATGCATTTAACTAATTATGCAATAAATAAAGATAATCCAAATTTCATTTTCAACTCTGATGAAAAGAAAATGGATGTTGGACATAAAAGAAGTATGTCTAGTGTTTTTTAACTATTAAGAGATTAAGTAATTTTTATTAATTATAAATAGAATCATAATGTTGATTAATTATTGGATGATATAAAAGATTTAATAATAAAAACATTTTGTTCTGTTTAACCAATTTTACAATAAAATTACACATAAGTTGATAATTATGCAAATAATATGTGTTTTGAAATACTTGGCTTTGATATTTTGATAGATAGTTCTTTAAAACCATATTTACTTGAAGTCAACCATACACCTAGTTTTACTACAGATACACCATTGGATCAATATATAAAAAAGAATTTAATAGCTGATACTATTACATTGATGAATATCAATGTAAAAACTAAGAATGAGGTTATTTAATAGAAAAAGGATGAAATGTAGAAGAGAGTATTAACAGGCAAAAAGACAAAGTTATCACCTGAAGAGAAGAAATAAATAAAATTATAATATTAAAAATAAAGAGATGATTATGAATAATAGAATAAGGGTAATTATGAATTGATTTATCCATGTTCCAGATCTTATGAAGAGTATTTATAGCATTCATTAAAAATATATGAGGAGTGGACTGGAGCAAGTAAATTATTATTTAATTATCTTAGATATAAGAAGAAATTAGAAAAAGGAATCTATTTAAATAAATTAAGANTATTATTTATAATAGCTCATTAAAAGATTAATCATTTTCCAGGTATGTATTCATTAGCTCGTAAAAACCATTTAGGCAAAAATTTGAACAAAATGCAAAAGTAGTTCCCAGATGAATATGATTTTTTTCCAAGAACTTGGATGTTACCAAATGAATATAATGATTTTAAACAATAATTTGGTAAAGCTAAAACATTTATACTTAAACCTGAAGCATCATGTTAAGGCAGAGGTATAATTTCAACTAATATTAATAGGAATCTTTTTAACTCGCTCTATAGAATCAATAAATCCTACTGAACATTATGTTGCATAAAGATATATTCATAAACCACTCCTTATTGATGGATTAAAATTTGATTTGCGAATGTATGTATTAATTTGTGGGTGTGATCCTTTAAGAATATATTTGTATAAAGAAGGTTTAGCAAGATTTGCAACTTAAACATATATTGCTCCTAATACAAATAATTTAGATGATGTTTGTATGCATTTAACTAATTATGCAATAAATAAAGATAATCCAAATTTCATTTTCAACTCTGATGAAAAGAAAATGGATGTTGGACATAAAAGAAGTATGTCTAGTGTTTTTTAACTATTAAGAGATTAAGTAATTTTTATTAATTATAAATAGAATCATAATGTTGATTAATTATTGGATGATATAAAAGATTTAATAATAAAAACATTTTGTTCTGTTTAACCAATTTTACAATAAAATTACACATAAGTTGATAATTATGCAAATAATATGTGTTTTGAAATACTTGGCTTTGATATTTTGATAGATAGTTCTTTAAAACCATATTTACTTGAAGTCAACCATACACCTAGTTTTACTACAGATACACCATTGGATCAATATATAAAAAAGAATTTAATAGCTGATACTATTACATTGATGAATATCAATGTAAAAACTAAGAATGAGGTTATTTAATAGAAAAAGGATGAAATGTAGAAGAGAGTATTAACAGGCAAAAAGACAAAGTTATCACCTGAAGAGAAGAAATAAATAAAATTATAATATTAAAAATAAAGAGATGATTATGAATAATAGAATAAGGGTAATTATGAATTGATTTATCCATGTTCCAGATCTTATGAAGAGTATTTATAGCATTCATTAAAAATATATGAGGAGTGGACTGGAGCAAGTAAATTATTATTTAATTATCTTAGATATAAGAAGAAATTAGAAAAAGGAATCTATTTAAATAAATTAAGATCTTTAGAATAAATCTTAATCTTTACCAAAAAAGATTTTACTTGAGAAGAGGAGTACTTTATATAAACACATTTAGAGTAGAATTAATACAAATTTATTTCCTATTAATAAAAATGAATAGAATAAAGGGGATGAAATTATTTAAGAAGGGGAAGAACAACTTCCAAATTAAATAAAAACCATACCTGAGGTTGACAATGATAATTATGTTCCTTATGAAGATTATTAACAAAAATCATTAGAATCAATCAAAGATTTTTGTGGTTATACAGAAAAACGAGGAATAGAATTATAGATTTTAGATTTGATTTAATATAGGAAGGCTGATAATAGACTAAATAATTCCCTTATTTATTAACAAAATGGACAACATATTTTATCTCCATTATCATAAATTAAGGGAGTCTTATAAGGTATGGGGGTTAAAAATGAAAAACAATTTGCTATAAGAAAGAATAATAAAAATGTTAAATCTATATAAAAATAAAATTACGAATATGAATAGGATAAACTATAAGAAAATTCAATGAAATAATAAATAATACCATCTCTATAAATATAATAATAGAATAATTTATAAGGTGTTAATGGTGCCTATATTAAACCAAAAGTTTTTAGTTTAAAATTATAAAATCCTCCAAAAGGATACAAATTACAATCTCTCCCATTATTGATGCAATAAAATTATACTAAATTTAGATATGAATGATTTTACATTTCTATATATTATATATATATATATTATATTTCTTTATTAGGAATTAAGATTATATAATATAATTAAAAAATGATTTCATATAGTTAATAAACAGGATTAGGAAATTTAGGAAACACTTGTTTTATGAATAGTGCCATTTAAATTTTATGCAATACTCCAGGTTTTGCAGATTACATTTTAAATGATATTTATTAATTTGATATAAACTTAATAAATCCATTAGGAAGTTAAGGCGAGATTATTTCAAGTTTTGCTACTCTAATCAAGGATTTAAAAAGTAGAAAATATCCATACATCATTCCTAATTCATTTAAAAAAACATTTTCTAAATTTTATAATATTGTAAAGAGTTAATAATTATTAGCAGTATTATGGAAATGAATAACATGATGCAGCTGAATTCTTATTATATTTACTTGATGCCATAAATGAAGATGTAAATTAAATTAAAAAAAAACCATATGTGACTATACCTTCAAGTAAAGGCAGGGAGGACTTAGTAGTAGCTATAGAATCCTGGGATGTCCATAGTCAAAGAAACTAATCAATTATTACTTAATTATTCTAAGCATAATTTAAAAGCAAAATTGAATGTCCTAATTGTAAAAATATGTCAATAACGTAAGTTTTAATTACTAATTAGATTTGATCCATATATGATGATATAATTACCATTAGCTACAAAGAAAAATGAAAAAGGCATATTCTATTATATATTAGATGATAAATATAGATAAAAGTAAATGATTCTTTCAGTCTATAAAAATTATAATTTTGAATGGATTTAAAATGAAATCAGGAACTAATTAAGAACCTAAGATTTAGTTTTCAATTTATCAAATTAACAAAAGAATATTGAAAGTATTTAAATAAATAATTAAATTAGTCAGACCAGAAGATGATATTCAATATTTAAGACAATTACTATAAAATTCTAAATTACTTGTTAGACCTATGAATATTTAAGAAATATAAATACCCTATAATTATAGATGTCATACACTCATAACTCATATAAATCAGGAACTTTTAATCTTAACTGATATTATAACTATTGTTTTTGATTTTAGAACAAAAATATTTGAAATTTATGATTATATTGAGAAAAATTATAATTAACAATTTAAATGTTAATTTGATCTATATTTGGAATCAAATTCATAATAAACAGAATAATAATGCTACTTTTGTCATAAATAATATTGCAAGTATTGTGAATTAAAGAAATGTTAACACAGTTTAAAATATTATTATAATTTTATTTCTTAACCAAATTTTTAATTGAATATTATAGTTAAATGGTATGGATAAGGTATTCCAATGATTTTTAATATAGATACCTCAAATTTTAAATAATAAGATAATAACGAATAATTTTCTATTAATAAATCTTCATTAACAATTTATGACTGTTTAAACTTTTAATAACAATAATAATAATTGGATGAAAATAATTCATGGTACTGCAATCAATGTGATTAACATGTCAAAGGAATTAAATAGTTATTATTATATTCTACACCTCAAATATTAATATTTTAACTCAAAAGATTTAAATCATCAGATGATGTTACTTAAAAAATAAAAAACAACATATTTGTTAAATTTCCATTTATACTTAATATGGTTAAATATGTTACAAATTTAAAGGTAATATTAAATTAATATATTAGTTACCTAATGATTATCTAAATGGTAATGATGTAAATGAATTGAAATATAAATTATTTGGAGTCATAAACCATTATGGAGAACTTTAAGAAGGTCATTATAATGCCTTTATAAAAAATTTAGAGGATTAGAAATGGTATTGCTATGATGATTCTCAAGTTACAGAAATTTAATTACAAGATATTATTACAGAGCATGCTTATGTAATATGTTATGAAAGACAAAATTGAATATTTAAGTCTTCATATTTCGAATATTTAAACCAAAACGAAATTTGTATCGTTAGAATAATTATGATAATTTCATAATAAAATATCGATAAAGAAACAATGTCAATTTAATTTTATAATAATTTCATTCAGATTATAAAATTTATAATTATTATATGCTCTTTTCAAAATAATTAACTTCCTTTAAAAGTAAAGGTGTATATTATAATTGTTAAACTTTATCAAAGAGATTTTAAATGATAGTGACTGTTGTAATGCCATTTTCATAAATTCCATAAGTTATTTATAATTTCTAACCTTTAAAGATAATAAAAAATAATAATACTTTTTTCATCATATTTCTAGAATTATTCATATTCTTAAATATCAAATTCTGGTTACATTAAAATTTCAAATTTATTTTCCTAATTGAATAAATCAATTATTTACATTTATTATAATTGTTTCCTATGAAAAAAAAACTACTTTTTTAAACAATTATTTATCTTACCATAAATATGTTTCTGCTATGACATATTTGTTATCATTTATTTTTTTTAATTATTATCTTGAAATCATAGTAGCCACCCATTTCTATTTAGCTGTTGTTACAATCTCAATTGCTTTTTCTAAATTACATTTCAATGGATGAATAGTCTTGACTATTTATCCTTAAATATGCTAGAAAGAATGGTTCTCAAATTCTTGAATCAATCTAAATATTTACCTTAAACTAATTTCCAAGATATAGATGTTGATTTTATAATTTCTTATAGTAATTCTAAAGTAGGATCTTACTCTAAAAGACATTGTTGTTCTTTCGAGCTTGATTTCGTTGGTAAATTATCTCTTTAAATATCATCATAGTAATTGTTGTCAATAACTAATTAAAAGGGTTCCTCTTTCTTTTATTAGTATATTTCAGAAAAAGAATTAAATTCTTACAAAGCATCTTTATCTTCTAACTTAAATTTTTTGAAAAACTTACTAAAAAGTTTATAAATTCAGTTTTTAAATCATTTCCTTTAACATATTTATAAATCAATAATAATGTATATTATTTGCATAATTAATTATTTGTACTACAAATGTGAAAAGATAAACCCATTTTCTTAAATTGTTTTATACTTAATTCAGAAAAGATTTTCAAAAAAAAATCAGCGTCTAAATTTCTTTAAAATACTAGTTACTTGGGTTATAATCATATTCTAACATTTTTCTCAGAAATTGAAATCCACTAACACAAGAGATGTGAGATTGAGAATCTTTGGATGGATTTCTTAATAATTCAATTATTCCTTTCTATTTACAATCATCTCCAAGTAATAAGAATTTCAATAATTAAGAATTCAAATATTAAGTTTTACCAAAAAAGTATTATTCCATTTTACTATATAAGTATTTATATCTTACGAAAATATTTTACTTTTTTCATCTATACGATCATTTAATTTAGCAATATAATGAAATATCATCTTCTCTAATTCATTTGAAGCAGTTAATTTTGCCGTTTCTTTTAAATCAATTAAACCTAATTCATCTCTACTCAATTCATGAATTCTTACATTTTAACCAAAACCTCCTTTTAAAAATTATTCTAAAGATATCAATAAATTTACATTGAATGTTTAAAAAATTCAAGAAACTATGCATTTAATTATTGAGATTTTTCTATATATATTTTAAAAGTTCTAATTTGTTAATTAATTTTTTACCTTCAAGCATTTCTTTTCTTTCTGCAATATTTTTCTTTGAATTAGACTTAATTAATTTTTTTTCTGGAAATTTTGGTAATTTATGTAAAATAGGTGAAACCTTAAATATTAAATATCTAGAATTACTTATTCATATAGTTTTTCGAATTCTGAATATCTTTTAGCAACAGTATAATCAAAATAGTCTGTTTTTATTTTTATTACATAATTAACATAGTGTTTTTTATGGATTGATATTTTATCAACCTCTTTATATGTCTCAATAATTGAAATATCTTTAATTATTTGATGATTAACAATCATATTAAAAATGCTCTTAATTTAACAATATCATACATTTTGATCATTTAAGGGTCTTTCTGATTATTATCGTATTAATTCATTAGAATCATGATTAGAAGCATCCCAAGATTACGATCGTTATCTTTTCATAAATTTAGTTGGAGAAATAAATTTGTATTTATTTTTATCACATAAATTAGATTTTAAGTTAATAATTTTATTTATAGGATTTTGACAAAATAATAAAATAATATTAACAATATAAATTAGTTTGAGTTCAAAATTATGATTAAATGAAGTTTATTAATATTTTTCTTCTAATCTTTTCAATTTATATATATATATTTAATTAACTAAACATAAAATATATTATATATAATAAGAAAATTTAATTTATAAAATATTAATATATTATTGATCTTCATAAAGTCAATATTTTAAAACAAACAATTAAAAATTCTCACAAATAAAAGAAAACTATCTGAACTTTCTAATATTTTTTAGTTCATATATTGAAATAGATGTAAATTCTATGGTTAACATATTTTCTGATTAGATCACAAAAAACGCACAGAAATTATACTGTTAAGTGCAAATTGATATGTCTTCATTTAATATAATAAATAAAGAATGAATTCAACAGTAAAAGTCAAAGGAACAAAAGGAGAATATGTGATCTTTGAGAAAGTCTTAGGAAAGGGAGCTTATGGTGTTGTGTGTTTAGCTTAATGTGAAAATAATGGTACTTATTTAGCTGCTAAAATTGTATTAACTATTTAATTATGAAGGTCATTAAAAAGTGTCTAAGTGTTTAAGACATATAGAATTTGAGGAATGAAATGAAAATATAATAAACCATATCCCATCCAAATATCGTTTCTATGATAGATACCTTTGAAGATGACTTATTTCTATATATGATGTTAGAATATTGTAGTGGAGGGTGTTTATTCAGTAATTTATAACTGAATGGCCCTTTTAAAGAAGAGAGAGCTTTCCATTATTTTTCATAGATCTTATCAGCAGTTTAACATTTACATAAAAATAACATATTACATAGAGATATCAAAGTATTTAAATATTTTAATAGTAGCTATCCAACATTCTTCTCACAGACTAAGATGAAGTTAAACTTGCAGATTTTACTTGGGCAACAAATATGTTTTATGGGGAAGTCTCTCCTTAATTATGTGGTACAATTGAATATATGCCACCTGAAGTTATATAGAATAGAACTTAAAGTGAGAAGCTAGATATTTGGAGTTTAGGCATAGTTTTATATGTATTTCATTATAATACTTAAGGAATTATTACATAATAATTTTCCAAATGTTGATAATTTATTTATGAGAAACCATATCAGTTTTGAGTGCAAAGATCAGATACTTATGATGCTAGAAAAATCACCTTATAGACGTCCAACAGTTCATAATATAGGTTCTGGAGTATGGTTCAAAAAAATGAGAAATTAAAAATAGATGATGAGACATAATATTACAATTCAAAAAACGAACTCACCATTAAGTAAAGTAAATTTAAGAGCCATAATTGGTTCACCATTGAGATAATCATATGAAAACTAAAATTGTATTTCTCCAATGGATTTAAATTACTCATCCCCTAAAAGAGAAACTTCGACTTATAGTGCTTTTTGAAATTAAAATTACGTTGTATTATTATGTTTCTTAAAATTAATAAAATTAAAATTTTTCCATTAATTGAATAATCTAATAACGCAGATTCTCATAAATATATTATTTCAATGAAAGTCTAAAAGAAAAAGACTCTAAAATCAATAAGAAATCAAAAATCTTAATTATAATTTTATAAAAGAAATGCTAAATATTAAAAGTTCTGAATTATTATATTGATTATATTTTATGTATATCAACCAGATTTACCTGACAAAATTTCCTAAATATCATTAATTTTCTCTTATTCTTCATCTCTGCAAATATATTAATATATTTCATTCGGAGTAATCAATTGAAAAGGATTCCTATTTTTGTTTTACAAAATTTTTCTAAAAGAATTTGTTACTGTATTCAGATCAAATATTCGATTAATTAAATGGCAAATTGTAATTTTCAACAATAAAGTATTATATTTTAAATGTGGTTATTAAGCAAGTTTCTACTCACGTTCTAAAAATTTGTAAGTAGTAAGAATAATTTATCTATATCCTTTTTTCAAAAATTCATTAGAACAAGAATTATAAATAGAATTACTTTCTATTTTTTACTTTTGAAAACATTCTAAATCTGCTTATAATTCATTTCGAATAGCTTATTCAATTCTTTCATCTTCTAAATATATTTTACAATGCATAAAATAAGCCTCTTTGAGAATAGGTTCTAAATCTTTGATTTTTTATTTGATATTGTTTTCTAAAATAGATTTTTAAGTTTCCTTCTTAAAATCTTTCCATTTTTATTAGTCTTCTTGATTACATACCCAGGGACAAACATCTTCATTTATTTTTTTTAATAATTCAATTAAAATTAGATAACCCATTTTTTTAAGAAAGTAAGCACAAACATGTTCCAACTAAAATTTTTTTTTTTGCAATTCATTTATAAATTCCACAGCAGATAATTCCAAAAATGTAAATCTGAATAATTCCATTCTAATATGTGACCATATTAAATAAAATCTAGATTCCTATATATATGGAATGTATATATACATATAAACTTTAAATTTCATGCACAAATTATTTTTCTATACTATACTAATCTTCTATTTAAGAATTTCTCAATAATTCTGACGTATCTACTGGAAATTATACTTTTAAATTATTATTTTCTAATTAAAAACTATCTAAACATAGTGGAGGAATACTAAGAAGAATTTGATGATTTTTTTACATGTTTTAATTTGCTTCTAATGTATTAGTTACTGTTGATTGTATTATTGGTTAATTACTAACACCATTTAAGAGGAATCCAGTACTCAATATTCTAGAGCCATGATCTTCTCTAATATTTATTTATTCGTTCAGCCCTTATTCATTGTACAATTAATAAAACTACAAATATTTTTCATAATTTGAAATGCCTAATTTCTTAATAAAATTATGTTGATAAATTTGTAAAAAGGAAAACCTTTCATCTGGGTTATATGTTAAAAGTCCTTATATAAATTAACAAAATTCTGGCGAATATCTACCTGTTATCACATCTATGCATTTTTTTTAGTTTTGGATTTATTTTGATAGATATGAAAAATATTCATGAGCGTCCTTTTAAAGCATGACTTTGCCTTTCCCTCCCTCTATTTCTATTGTATTTATAGGACTTAATTTGACTAAATGATATAATACTGCTCCTAATAACCAAGAATCAACTTTCATATTGTATATTTAATGACCTTCTTTTAAAATAAATTTAAATTTGATACCTTTCTCAAGGAATCTTATAATTACTTCAGGTGGAGCAATTAAATCTAAGTTTTATTCTATGATGTTTGGACCAAATCCAAAGTCCATGAATAAAATTTATCCTTAGCAATCTAAAATATTTTTAGTTGAAAAAATTCTGCCTAATATATTAGATTAATGAAGCTTTTATAATGTATCAAGCATTTAAATTAAATAAAGTTTAATTGTCTCAAAATTAATAGATTCTTATCTTCCTCTAAACTAAAAAATTTTTCTATCTAGAGATTCCCCATCCTAATATTTAAAGAGAATATATTTTTTATTTTAGTAATTAATTTATTTCACAAATTGCCTAATCGTCTTAAAATTTTTAATTTTTTCCTCATCTTTAAGGTATGTTTCTTAAAAATTGGAGGATAATTCATAGGCATAATAATTTATTGTTATTTCATTTTCTTCCTCTAATTTGTATAATAATCCAGTATTAGATGCTAAAACTTGGTATTTTAAATTGAAAGTGCTCATTTTTTTAATTATTTATATATAATTACTTAGTTTTAATACTATAAGAAAAGAAATAAAATTCATTAAAGTATGGAAAATTAAAAAATGAATTCTAAATATAAAAAATGTTTTTTTGGGTTTTAGAACACAGACTCTTAATCAATATAATAGATATTTTCTATTATTATTATATTTTAATTGAATAAATAATATAAATAATTAAATATGCAAGCTAATCCAATCTGTGTTTAGCCTGAAGCCTAATATTTAGATAATTATGACAATTTTGAAGAAGTTACAACAACTTTTAAGTGTCTCTAAAAAATCAATTAGCCACTTGAACCTGAGGCTACATTTTTTTTGATACGTGCTCCTACAAAAGATAATGTTCATCGAGCAATCAAATATGGTATATGGACTAGGTATAATAATCAATATGAAAATAGCTCAAGTCGAAATAATAAAAAACTAAATGATGCTCCTCGTCCTGTTTACCTATTATTCAATGTTACTCAAACTTCACATTTTATTGGATTGGCCAAAATTATTACTGAATTTAGGGATAAAATGCATTTCAAGTATTGGGCTGAAGAAAATAAATGGTTTGGATCATTTTAAATTGAATGGGTATTAATTCTAAACATTAAAGGTTTTCTTAAAAGATTTACCATATAACGAACTTAGTAAGATATAACAATCTTGTGGCAAGTGTATTCATGAACTCATAGATTGTACTCAAATTGAAAATGCTGAATCAATATATAGTTCATTTTAATAATAACCACAAAAAAGCTGTATGCTTAAAAGTTTCAAGGAATTAGATATTTCTGAAGTATTAAATTATTTAATGATTTAAGAAAAGGAAGAGAAATGAAAGAGATACAAATCCAAATTTTGATATCTAATTTTAAGAACACATCTCCGTTTTTGAATAAATGCCTTTCTCTTTCTCTGTCTCTTCTTACTAAAGAAGAAAATAATAATAATTTCAAAATTAGTAATTCTAATAATTCTAATATTATTATTAAAGTCCTTGGTATGGTGTAGGTATATCTTAAATCAATAATCCTAGCATAACCTAATTTTTGGAATGCTCAGTCCTAAACTTATCCTCAATAAGAACAATTATAATCACAGAAAGTATCAAATAATACTGCAGGATTTTATTAAACTTAAAATTATAATAGACCTCAAACTTAAAATATTCAACAAACTAAACATTTATAAAAAAAATAACTCATTTATAACAAAAATTCTAATTAAGAGAGTCCGAAAAAAAAATGATTATTTAGTATTTAATTATTATTAAGTTAATTAAATCATTAATAGATTGATTATGATTTTAATTAAAATTAACAAACAAATATCTTAACTCATATGTAGGAACTTTATTAATATAACATACGCTTGTATGATTAATTAGGATAGGAGGTCGAGAAAATATTCTATGAATTTTAGTAGGATTAACAAAGAAAGACTATAACTTAAGAGAAGTAAGAAGAATATAAAAAGTTTTTGTTAATGACTCATGACAGAATAAATTAAGAATAAAAAAAGGTTGATACTATTGAACTTAAAGAAATAAAAAAGAAAGGAATTAAAAAGACTAAATAAAAAGCATCTCGATGAGGTGACTATATAATATATATATATATATATAAATAAAATTGAATTATATTTTTATAAATTTCTATATATTTCTATTATTAAATTACCTTCAAATATTACTCTTCAACCATTTCTTAATAGAATTACATACATAATTATTTTTTAATTTAAACCTTTTGAGAATAGATGCAACAACAATAAAAATAAGAAAATTAACACTCTAACATTTCTTCTTTTAATGAGAATGAAGCAATTCTATAAAATTTCATCAATCTTTTATCAAATAAATAAAGAAAACCCACATCCCAAATTAAACAAATAAATAATGAAGATGAAAATCACTTTGATTCCATCATTGAATATAGAGAGAATGGCTCTCATCTATCATAATAATAATCCACAGATACTTATTAAACTTACATTTCAATTAATATTTAAGATTATGAAGCTCAGATATTAAAAAAGATTCTTTAGAATCAATTAAGAGAGATTGCGTTGTAAAAATCAGATTATGAGAAAAATGTATAAGTGCATTCAGATTTATAATATTAATAATTTTGTCAAATTAATGATCCTAAATAAAGTAGCAATTCAGATATTATTTAATTGAAATAAGCTGAAGATTCCACTGAAGAATCAAATTACTCTACATAGAAAAAGTAGAAAAAAAAAGAAAAACTCTAAAATGAATAAGAATTATTAAGGAGTTTTCGAAATTTTAGATAAAGATTTCAAAGATATTTGAAAGAGTTTGTCAATGATACAAAAAAAGATTTGTAATCTATTCGTGGTAAGATTTAATAGAAATATTTAAAATAATAAGTTATGATGAAGGAATATAGAGGATTTATTGAATAAATTAGAGAAGTAATTGAAGAAACTTAATAGATAATTTAAGAATATGATAAACATTTGTAAGAAAAAAATTATCTTTTTTAAAACTGAATTGTAACTATTTCTTACAATTACATAATGATATCATACATTTATTATACAATATTATTTAAATAAAGCTTCATCTATTTTGTCTGATAGTTTTATAAATACTAGCTTGTTATATTTAAAAAAAAGAGTTGTCATTTTCAGAAATTAACCATCAACTTATGTTTATCTGACTTTTGGGTTTTAGTAGGATTAACAAAGAAAGACTATAAATTAAGAGAAGTAAGAGGAATATTTAAAGTTTTTGTTAATGACTCATGACAGAATAAATTAAGAATAAAAAAGGTTGATACTATTGAACTTAAAGAAATAAAAAAGAAAGGAATTAAAAAGACTAAATAAAAAGCATCTCGATGAGGTGACTATATAATATATATATATATATAAATAAAATTGAATTATATTTTTATAAATTTCTATTTATTTCTATTATTAATCTACCTTCAAATATTACTCTTCAACCATTTCTTAATAGAATTACATACATAATTATTTTTTAATTTAAACCTTTTGAGAATAGATGCAACAACAATAAAGATAACAAAATTAACACTCTAACATTTCTTTTCCTAATGAGAATCAAATAATCCTATAAAAATTAATCCATCTTTTATAAAATAAATAGAGAAAACCAAAGCCTCAATTTGAACAAAAATATGATGAAGAGGAGAATCATTTTGATACCCTTTTGGAATATAGAGAGAATGGCTCTCATCTATCATAATAATAATCCACAGATACTTATTAAACTTACATTTCAATTAATATTTCTGATTATGAAGCTCTAGTGTTAAAAAAGATTCTTTAGGATCTATTAAGAGATGTTTTATTGTAATAATCAGATTATGAGAAAAAATAATAAGTGCATTCAGACTTATAATATTAATAATACTCTTCTCTTATTAATGATCCTTAATAAAGCAGCAATTCAGATATTGTTTAATCTACAGAATATGAGGATTTCGACTAAGATAAAAAGACAAAGAATTTAAAAATCTTAAATACAAAATAATTATTAAATAGTTTTTTAAATATGAAAACAAGATATGAAAAATATTTAAAAGAGATTCTGAATACAAAACAGACTAATAATAGTATAGTTCGTATTAATAAATTAAAAAGTAATATTCCTAAATTTTTAAATTAATAAAAAATCATGCATTAGGAAAAAATAATTCTTGTGTAATGTAGATAAATGATGGATGAATACGAATTGACATTCTAATAATTTGATTAAGAAATAGAGGAGTTAAATCAATTATATATTAAATGAATTACTTAAAATATTTATTAATCAACATGTAGTACATTTTCTAAATTATTTAAATAAAGTCTTATTAGACAAGTCCTAAACAGTCAGTCTAATTACTGTATATTAAATTAGTCTTCCTTTTTTATATTTACACTTAAAGTTCAAAATCAAAATTAGATAGAGGATTTGTACTGCTCTCTAGATAAAAGTTACACAAAATTATATCAAAATAATTGCTTAAGTGTCTATTTATTTTATACATAAATGAGTAAGGAAATAAACCAAGAGATTTGAATAATAACTCCAAGACAAAGAATTATATAATCTAATTTTAATTTCTCTCATGAATTGCTTAGTAAATGTTATACAATTATTGAATCTATCCATTTATGAATAAAAGAATAGAGTCCAATATTCAAAAAAGCTCATATAAAATAATGAAGTAGTTTATGCATTTTATAATTAATTAATGAAGTTCAACAATTAATAAGAACAAGTGACTTGACTAAATTAATTTTTTTATTACATTTGATCTTGCCAATTTTTTCTTGAAATCAATCTTATTATTAACCTAAATTTATATAAAAATTCTTATTTTTTATTCAGCATTAAATGTAATAATTAGAAGTATTTTAAACACTGTCCAAAATTGTTTCTTCCTCAGACTTTAATAGCAAATCTATATAATTATTCAATAATTAATAAATAACAAAACTTTAAAACTAAAAAACAAAAAATTCATAAGTAATTAATTAGTGATTCGGTCAATTATACTTTGTAAATAGTATTCTAAAAACTCTAAGTAAATAAATTCATTGTAAAATGAATACATTATTCTAATTTTTGTATTTAAAATAATTTAATAACTTAAAGGATTAAAATAAAATGTTCAAAAAATGCTTTGATATCCAAATTTGCATCATATTTATAAAAAAATCGTCAGCTGCAGGATTCGAACCTGCGCGGGTAAACCCAGTGGATTTCAAGTCCACCGCCTTAACCACTCGGCCAAACTGACTTCTATGCTAGTATATATTTTCAAAATTTAATATACACCAGGTAAATTAAGAATACAATTATCAGTATATCTACTAGATATAAAATATTATTATGTATAATGAATAATTTAGTATAATATTATCAAATTTTCATATATTTTTATCCCACTTAAATATTAAGCCTTTATAAATAATCTTATTACCTAGATATTATAGCTTTTACTGCAATGATTAAATTAAAAAATATGCTTTAGGTTTATGTATTTAATTAATTATTTAAAACTTAAATATCTAAATTGATATCAAGAATGAATAAAAGAATTTTAATGAACTTTTATATATTCTTAGTAGCAATAAGTAGGTCTCAACTAATTTATAGTAATTTTAATGGAATTTTTACAAGTACAGCATTTGGTATGTTATTTTTTATAAAAGATTGGGCTATTTACTAAAGAGATTCTCATAGTTACTCAGTGACAGCTTGTGGATTAATAAACTTAGTAGTCATTAACGAGTGCACATCCTACGAATATAATAGTTTAATAACAAAAACTTTTGAGCTTCCATTACATAAAAGAATAAATGTATCATTTAAATTTTGGATGTAATTATTCAATTCTTAAGATAGTATAAACTCTTCTAGGAATGGTTATGAATTTTATTTGTACGTCGATAACTAAATTATACATGTTGTTTAGACATCTCTATATAGTCTAACAAATTCATGTTCATCGATTGGATTATATCAGATATTAGAAATATCTGAAAATATTTTTCATTAGAGTAATTCTATTTAAATTACTATGGTTTCTAAATAAGGAAGGTGGGGTTTTTCAGAATTTTATCTAAGTGCAGACCTTTTAAATAATTACTAATAGAATTTTGAATTAATTTATTAATCACTTAATAATTTAAAATTTACTTCAGTAGCATCAGAGGATGGATGGATGACTAATAGTATTATCTCTTTATAAGTATTTTAATGTACAGGTATCGATAATAATTGTATGTAGATTTCAATTATTTAAAGTCAACAGGAAATAATTTAATGAAAGATTTTGTTTTGAAAAATCATTTTAAAATTAGTTTTAATTTGAAAGTTTTAATATTCAATTAAACTCCAACAACAATAGAAATCAAAATTGATAATTAATTAGTATCCACTTATCATTCAAATTCATTTGTAACTTCTTCCTTAATATTATGCAACAATTTCATAGTTATAAAAGTATAAGTAGAAGATTTTATACATAATCATAACAATCTACGAATTGAAGTGATAACTTTAGTAAATGGTTCTAGCTCTTGGTTTGGCATAAGAGATTTTTAATTATTTACTACTAAGATAGATTATTTTTGTTAAGACTTAAACAATTAACCATTTGATGGGTGTTTCTCTAATTATTACGATTGTAATTTTGGTTGTAGTAATTGTATAAAAGGAACCTGTATCAAGTGCTTAGATGGCTTGATACTTGATATTTAAAATACTTGCATTCCAATTTGTGGTGATAGAAAAATAATTTTAAATGAGGCTTGTGATGATGGTAATTAAATTCCATATGATGGTTGTCATCTATGTTAATTTTCTTGTCCATTAAATTGCATTCTTTGTAATTTTGGAATTTGTTAAGTTTGTGAACAATCTTATTTTCTTTAAGGGAATAAATGTATAAATGATTAATAAATATGTGATACCTTTATTGAACTATTAGAAACAGGTTTTTTTTATCAAATGATAAATTATAATGAAAATGGATATCAATTTTAATAATATCATATTCTTTAAAATATTTAAAATTGTTATAACTTTAAAGATTATTTTGGAATTTTAGGATATTAGTACTATTATTGTTAAATAATTGAAAACTGCAAATTAAGTATTTATGAAACAAGTCAAGAATGCTAAGTTAGTTATAAACTTTCATTAAACAATAGATAATGCATTTAAATTTGTAATTGTGAAGATTAAATTAATTTCTAATATAATGATTGTTATAAATGTAGACAAAATTGCTAATTAGAATGTTTAATGTGTATTTAATATAAATGTTATCAATGTCTTGATGGGTGGTAATTAATTGATCATAAATGTTAACAAATTTGTGGAGATAAATAAGTTGCATTATTTTCTCCAGAATAATGTGATAATGGTAATGATATTATTGATGATGGGTGTCATGAATGTTAATTATAATGTTAAGCATATTGTTAAATATGCAGTTAAGATTCAATTTGTATCATTTGTCAATAAAATTTTGAATTGATTAATAATAAATGTCAACCAATATGTGGTGATAAGATAGTCATATATGGATTTGAAGAATGCGATGACGGAAATGATATCTAATATGATGGTTGTTTTCAATGTTAATTTTAATGTAATTATGGTTGTTAAGTTTGTGAATCTGGCAAATGTTTAATTTAATGTAAAGAAGAAGAAGAATTTAAAAATGGTGAATGTGTTTTAATCCCATAGACAGAGAATGAAGAAAATTAATCAGATTTAATTTAATGCCAAGATAATTGTTTAATTTGTTAGGGAGATCTTTGTTTACAATGTAATTAAGACTATATTTTTGAAAATAATATGTGTCTAACATGTGGAAATGGAATTATAAACAATGACGAAGAATGCGATGATGGAAACAGAATGAATAATGATGGGTGTTCAAATTTATGCAAAATTGAATAGAATTGGAATTGCATTGAATCTATTTAATTATAAAGTCATTGTTTTGCTATTACTAAAATGATTATAGTATTATTAAATACAACTTTTAACACATAATATGTAAAATTATCATATACAAATAAAGTTAAACTAGATTAAGATGATATTAACTTTTTAGATTTCAATATTAATTCAATTAATATTGATCCTACTTATTATAATATTAGTGTTTTTAGTGTAATCTAAATAATTTCAAATGAGACTAGAAATATCAATTATGAATTAAAAATTCAAATATTAAAACAACTAATTCAAAACCCAATTTTAAATGTAAATGTCAATCTAAATTTATGGGATTAAAATGACTTACTTGTACCTCCATCATCTTAATAAATTTAATTAAAGGCCCCTATAGTTTTAAGTAAAGTTTAATTAAAAGTTTCTGAAAGTGTTAAAAGCTTTGGTTACAATCTTATGATTGTTTTAGGATGTATAGCTATTTTTGCATGTCTTATTGGTTCTCCCTTTTAATTTTTAGAAATCTTAGATCTGTTACAATTTCATTCTTATCTGAAGTTTATAAATGTAGAATATCCACAAAATATTTATATATACTTTTAATCATCTGAATTTTTATCTATTGAACCAATTTTAAGCTTTTTGGGGATCAAAGATAATCTTGAAAATTATTTAGGAAATAATCTAATTTAAAGTTTTGGTAAGTTTTAAGAGTATTAAATTAATGCTGATTTAATAACTAATATTTAATGTTAGTTAATATAATCAGTTTCATTTTTTTCATTACTTATGATTCTCCATATTTATTTGATGTTTTGCTCAAAATTTTGTTTTTCTTCATCTTTCATTTATTTTGTAAGTAAATATAAGTCAAAAATTTTTGAATGGTTTATAATAAAATTATATGAATTTAATAAGTACATAAAAAAATATTAAAATTTTGACAATGTAAATATGATAATAAATTGGTTTTATGCTAATGCTTGGGATTTAAGCTTTAAGGTTTTATTATATTTAACTTTTAACAACTAATAAGGAATAAGAAATATAATTTCAATAATTTTTTGTCTAGGATATATCATTTTAGGTATATCCATTGTGTTGAGACATTTTAAAAGATAAAATTATAAAATTTTTATTAAAGAAATAAGAAATGATTAACATCAATTAATTATTTTAATAAAAAAGTTTATTTTTCTATTAATTCTAATTGGAATGCAAGATAATTCTGTAGCATAAAGCATTGCACTTTCATTTTGCAATTGTATATATATTGGGTTTATACTAAGTATAAGGTTTACAAATACTAAATTAGATTAAATAAATATCTTGTTTGTAGAGTTTCCAGTAATATTATTTACATTAATTAATTTATCATTTTGTAAAGATTTTAAACATTTATTCACTTAAGATTAAATATTAACAATTGGCTTTTTATAAGTAGGGTGTTTAATGATGGGATTATTAAGTCCTTTAATTAATTGTGCTTATTAATTTTATTAGAAAGCCTAATTATTTTATCTTAGAATCAAACCAAAAAGACCTCCAATTAAATTAGATGTTAAAAACATTTTATTTGAAGCAAAAGTTTGAAATAAAATTGAATTTATATAATATTTTTCATTTCTTATAAATCTTGAGTTTTAAATATCCTTCAAGAATTAATTATATCATGTAAATGATATTTTTAGATATAAAAAAATGAAATTTAAAATTTTAATAATAAATTCCATTATGCATATTAAGACTTTGATATTTTATCCAATAAATTTCATGATTTTCAAACTCATCTATGAACAAATTATATTTATTCATATAATAATTGAAAATCTCAAGATATTTGTTAGAATTTATTTACATTATCTAAAAGTATAATAATATGAAAAATATTGAGAAAATAAATAATCTTTTTCATTTATTATTAATAAATCAATCATTCAGATTTTTTATTTATTAATAAAAATTAATTTAATATATATATATATATATGAAATTTAGTTAATTTTATTAATTGCTTAAGAACTTTAATTTAAGTAAGCTTTTTACAAAAATGACGCAATTTAATCCAGAAATAAAGAGAGAGAATAAAAAATGGAAGAAAGGGATTGATTTAATTTCTAATTTCTTTTTTTTTTTCTTTAATTTGATCCTTTCTCATTTAGATGATGATGACTTGCGTGACTAGCGTTATTTATTGCTAACTGATGATCTGGACCTTGAATTGCTTTGTGATCTTCTGCAACTGGTACTTTTCTTTCTCTTGTTATCTCTTCTTGGGCTTCTACTTCTTCTGCTGTACTTGTTTCTCTTCTTTGTATCTCTTCTTCTTCTTGAATGAGAAGATGAATATGAAGAATATGAATGAGATCTTGAATCAGATCTTCTTGATCTTTGATGTCTCAAAATATAGAAATTTTAAATACCTTGATCTTGAATTAGTATATCTTCCTCTTCTCATAGGTGATGTACGATTAGGACATTCTCGAGCCCTTTAATAAGTATAAAAGAAATACCAATGACCACCCTTTCCACATTTAAAACATTCATCCTTTTCTTAAGGACCAATTCGTTTGCCTTTGCGGTTGTCAACGATATCTACTTTAAACTTTTATCCATTAATTAATTGTCCATTAATGGCAGAGATAGCATTTTAGGCTTCTGTTTCTGAAGATAAAGTCTGTTTATAGAAAGTGAAATTCATACAACAAATGAATATGAGCCTTTATAGGCAATATCTTTAATGGTTCCATATTTCTTGAAAATATCTTTGATTCCCTTTTCATCTTATATTTTGCTACGACTATAACCAGCAACAAATAATTGATTTGGCACTATCTCACCCATGTTGTAAGATTTAAATTTTTTAATAATTTAATGAACAATTTACTTAAACGATTTGAACCATCTTTAACAGATGTGATAAAGTAATATAAGTTATATTAATTTAGGTATTTGCATGAACATTAAGACATGATATTAGTAGAACGTAACCCTTATTAAGCAGATAGATTGATGATGATGTTAGATAATGAAAAATTGGATGCTTTGGATAAGGAGTTTCATGAACATCCAAATGGTATTGAGTTACCAAATTTTATATGGTTGATGAAATGTGCAATTTCTCATGCTCCAGAAGATAAATATGAATTAGTTAATGGATTGATAAAGTTATTTTAAGATATAGATATAAATGGTGATGGTCATATGGAATGGGCTGAGTTCACTTAATATATTATTGATGCAGTAATTGGTTCAAAAGATGCTTAACTTTATGATACTAGATTTGAGAAAGAGAGAGAATTAACAGAAATTGAAGTATTAGATAGGGCTTATTCAAGAAAATCTAAACGATATATTCCTATGGCATAAGTAGATGATTCTAATCATAAGAATCCTATTAAGAATGTAAAATTAATTAATAAAAATATTAGATAGCATATTGTTAATAATTGGATAGTGTTATCTGTTTAGAATAGAACTCTTAACATTTGAGATTCTATACACCTGAATGTTAAGATAAGAAATTTACTTTAGCACCAGAATCTGAATCAGGAAAAATATTTATTATTCATTTTCATACAGTTGATAATTATATAGCAGCAGTTACAAGTGATAGATAATTAATATTTTGGGATGCAACAACTTTTAAAGTTATTAAATAATTTAAATAAGAAGTCTTATAAACTGGTATTTGGTATTTTCCTTATCATGAATTATGGGTAACAGCTGGATCTGATTATAATATTAGAGGATGGAGTATTCCTTGGAATGAAAAAGATTCAAAAGGATAAGTAATTAAATTTTTGAATGCTCATACTAAATAAATAACTGATATTGTTGAATTAATTAGTCCTAAATTATTGGCATCAGCAAGTTAAGATGGTAAAATTAAATTATGGGATATGCAAGATTAAAAATTTATAACAGAATTGAAAACACCTGCTCCTTCTAAAAGAGGAGTTAAAGGATTAAGTTATAATTAAGATTATGGATCAAATTTAATTAGTTATGGATTTGAAACATTTATTAATGTTTATTGTCCAGAAGTATCTATAACTAGAGCTTATATTGGAAGATTAGAAGGTCATTCTTCATTAGTAGTTACTTGTAAATTTATTCCTTAATCACCTAATTGTGTTAGTATTGATGATCATACAAATATTAGAATATGGGATATTAGATAAATGAGTAGTGTTTAAGTTATACCAAATGATTAATAATCTTTAGTTACTGATTTATGTATAATAACAAGAACTGATAGATTTGTATATTCTGGTAAAAGATTAAATTATTTCTATAATGCTGCATAAATGAGTAGTAATTAGAAATAGAAAGGACCTAATGAAGAAGTATATCCAATCTATGTAGAATTTAATATGTATTTTAATTAATTTATTGTTTTAACTAAATTTGATTTAAGAATATATGATGCTATGGGTGGTAAATTAAAGAAAGTAATGAATGAAGTATTTGATGATAAAATATAATTGGATTTATCAACATTTTGTTTTGGAGGAAGATAAAGAAAATTATTTATAGCTGATAATGCTGGTTTAATTAGATAATATAATATGAAAACAGGAGAGTTTTTAAAAAAAGTTAATATGCACAATGAAATTGAGAATTCAGAATTTGCTAATAAATTGGCTAATATTAAAAAAAGAGATACTTTAGATATTAGTTCAATTATATTTTTATAAGAAGAGAAATTATTGATATCTGCAAGTTAAGATTCTACTATTAGAATATATGATGAAACAGATCCAGAAGAATCAATCTTATTAAAAGTATTTTGTGGTGGTCATTAAAATTCTGAAATCTTATCTATGTCATATAGTTCTAATTTTACTATGTTAGCAACTGGAAGTGCAAATGGATTAATTTCTTTATGGGATTTTGAAACAAGTAAATTATGTGGAGTTCTTAATACACCATAACCATTAGCAGAAGTAACTGCTTTAGAATTTGCTGATCCATATCCTGTCTTAGTGAGTTTATAAGGAATACTTATAAGTATTTGGAATATTAAAACAAATAAATGTCTTTTAAGAATTAATACTAATCCCTTATCTCCTATGTTATCTGTTGCCATATTCTCAGATATATCATCTGGACCATCGAGATAGGAATTATTACCTGAATTTGCAGGACCACTTGTTGATAAAACTGCTTAGGATAAAAAATCAAAATTAAATTTATAAGAAGAATAAGAAGGTTTAATGAAGGATATTTAATAATATGATACTGAATAACATTAAAATAAAAGGAGAGCCTTACTTTATATGGGTGATTAAAAAGGATATATGCATATTTTATCATTAACAGAATTCTTATAAAGAAAAGGTATTACTGAAATGGAAAAATTAAAGAAGGGTCATTCATATTAATTAAAAAGAAAAGATTTAATTGATGTATCAAAAAGTGTTGAAACCTTTTTAGTTTAAGAAGAGAAATAATAATCTCCTGTTCTTACTTGCAATATTTCTGCTTTACTTATTAGATAATGGGTAGCTCATAGTTCTGCAATAGTGAAAATTAATAAAATAAGGGAATTAGTATCATTTATTAGTTCATCAATGGATAAACATTTTAAGATATGGTCAATGAAAGGAGAATTATGGTCTGATATAAGTTTGGCTAAATATGATGGATCTAATTATTGGAAATTTCCATTTGATTGGGTTGGTTAAAAATTAAAAGACATTGAATTAGTATTTGATGCATTAAAATTGATTGAAAAAGAGAACTTATCTCCTTATGAAAAAGAAAGAGTGAAAGTTAGATTTCTAGTGAATAAGTATTTTAATGAAGCAGCATTAGAAGAAATGTAAAGAAATTATGCTTAACCTGAATAAGTAGTTGTTTAAAGAGAAAAAAAGTAAATATTTATATAAATATAAAACATAGACGTCTTATTTAATCTTAATCTTAACCAATGAATATTGCTTTAAAATCAATTGCTGAACCATATAAAGAATTAACATAGAAAATGAAAGATGATCAATTAAAAAAGAAGAAATTAGAATTGCCTGAAGTTTTAGAAGAACCAAAAAGACCTTAATCTTAACATGGTCTTGTTTAAAGATTAATGTTAGCATTCAATGATAATAAAGACATAGCTAAAGAAGATGGTATAGATTAAAAAAAGAAATAACCTAATAAAAATGCTCATTAAAAAAGAATTTAAGAATTACCATAAATGAAACCATCTACTAGTCATTCAACATTTTTATAAAAATATTAAAGAAATTATAGATTCATTTAAACTTAAGTATAAACAAGACCACATACTGAATCTAAGAAATATAAATTTGTTCATGATATTAAATATTAATTTGGAGAATCTCAAAGAGCAATGAAAATTAAATATTATTAGAATTCTCTTAAATTTTAATCTGTAAGTCCATAATTATTATGTGATGATAATGAAATTCTATAAATGAAATGCAAATTTTATAAGAAATAAAATGAAGATCTTATTGAATCAGAATCATCAGATAAATCTTATGAAGAAGATGATCTTGGACATCCAAAATAACATAAATAGATCATAGCTAGTCATAATTTCTTAAATAATGCTTAAAAAAACGATCATAAAGTATTAAATACAAAAAAAAAGATATTTGTTGTCTGATCTATTATTATTATAAATATTAATACATATATATATAAATTTGTTAATAGTTATTTCTAATTATTACTAATTTTATATTTTATTATTTATTAAAGTATGTCATTTTTTAGTATTTGATATTTCCTTTATAAAAATGAAGTTATTTAAAATTGATAGACTATATATTAATTGTTTTAACAATCTTAAACAAGAATGATTATGAAGTGAGAATAGATAATATATAAGAATTATTAGAATGATAATTATAAAGCTGGATTTTAATTGAAATTAACAGTCGTAATTTTGAAATAAATTAAAATTCAAATTGCACTTCGGAATAAATGGATCCCCAAACAATTTAGGTCATAGGTTTTAATGAATTACCATAAATTGATCCAAATCAATTAACCTAATTGGCAGCAGAGACTTAATAACTATTTACTTATGGAACGAAAGCATGGTTATAGTTATTTTAAGCAATTACAAATCTGAGGTGTATAAATAAATATGTGCCTTAATATGTTAATCAATTATTCGAAATGTTTGGATAATAGGTTATGATATCAATAGATGATTCTAAAGTAAGAATTCATAATATAATTAGCCTAAAATTTAAAGGAATGTTGTGACATTAATTAATGAAGTGTTTTCACTTGGCAGAAGTGTACAAATCTGTCCATAAATCTTTTAAGTATTTGTACCAAAATTGATTTTGAAATCTTAAAACTCTGAACACAAATAAATTAAAGAAGAATGTTTAGTATAATTTTTAATCACTATCAGAGGTTGCTGTCAGTAATTACATACTTAATTGTTCATAATATGAAGCAGGTTTATTTGCAGTGATTTAATTAACTGGATAAAAGAAATCTACAGTTCCACTTCAAAAGTTTTGTCTTTAAGTTATGGCAAAATAAATCTAAACAATAGGTTCATTTTTGTAATCTTTCAGTGTTAATACACTTACCTTGCTTTTATAAGCATTAAGTTCATTTTTAAATTCTTAAGGAGGTGAAATATAAACATACGCATTTTAAATTTGTATGTATTTACATTAATTGGTTGGTGATTAAAATTTTAAAAATTGGATGTCAGTTTCTTTAGATCCATAATCAACTCAAATTATGGTCAATAAAATTTAAGAGGTTTTAAGAAAGAAATCTAAAGCTAAATAACATACAACAATGACAGATATGAAATAAAGAATGACATTTGGAATATACGAAAACCAAGAATAAGTTGAAAATTAAAATCACTTTAAAGAATTTGTTAAAGATAAATAAAAAGCTAACAATTTCTTGGATTTGAATCAAGTCTAACCGCTATAACCTTCTGTGTATTATAATGAAAATTTGAATTACCAATAATAACCTTAACATTCAATGTAAAACTTGAGTCAATAATAATTCATATAATATTAATGATTTATAAATATTATTATCTAAATTATTTTTTATAAAAGAAATAAATTAATAGATTTATTATTAAATCTAAATATTATTGATATTTATTAATTTTAATCTATATGTATATATATATTACAATTTGAAGATTTAAGATAAAAATCTTAATCAATTTACATTTAAAAATATATATCTCTTTGTTTTTAAATATATAATATAAAGCAAATGATAATATGATTATAATAAAGAAATATTAAATTTGATTTTATAAATATCATAATTGATTTTTAAACTTAATTATGGTTTATATATACACATAAATAAAATTAAATGATTTGTTACATATGTTTAGCTGGTCTAGCAATCTTCTTATATGTATATGTCATACATATATATGCTAAATTGTTGTTTTTAAAATTGAAACATGGAAAAGATTGTTAGATTTCCTTTCTCCCTTTATTTGGTGATTACTTTTATTTGACAAAATCTTTTAAAAAATACGGTGATGCTACAGAAATCTTTAAATAAAGATATTAAAACAATCCAAACATCAAATTTATTGCTTCTAATATTTTGAATAAAGTATTCCTTTTTGTACATGACCCTGAATATTACAAATCAATTCTTGTGAATCATGAAAACTATACAAAAGTTGAAATTCTATATCATCCGTAAAAAATTATTTATAATTTTAGCAAATTATCATCAACCTCAATATTATTTGGTGAACCTTAAAAAGTTAAATAATAAAGAAATTTATTAGGAGAAGCATTTACATTTGAAAAGTTGAAATAAAGAACACCAATAATAAATTAAGTTTTATTAGAAAAATTAGAAAAGGATGATAAAACAAATATATTAGACTTTTTAACTAAAACATCAAGTGATATAATAATTAAAACTTTCTTTTGTAAAGAATTATAAGACATTATAGTCTAAGGTAATGATATCACTACAGAAATGATTGATTTAATAACAGAATTAGGAAATATGCAAATGAATGATTTCTATGTAAGTATTAAGTTAGCATTAATGGGAAGAAAGGCTTTTGGTTTTTTACCATCAAAAAAAGAAAAATTATTAGATGCTCGTATAGATAGATTAATAGATGATACTTTAATGCCAATTATTAAAAATAAGATTGCTAATTATAAACCTAACTAAAATTAAGATTTTATAGATCTTTATATTAATGCATATCTTAATTAAAAACCAAATGAACCTAAAATTACTGAATTAGAATTATGTTAATTGTTTGTTTCAATTGTTTCAGCAGGAACTGATACATCATCTCATCAAATTGCTATAACACTATATTATTTAGGTATTGAAAGGTAAGCATAAGAAGAGATTAGATAAGAAATCTTTAATGTAGTAGGGGATGAAGTGGAGATTCAACCATAACATTTAGGTAAGTTAGTATTATTGAATGCTTTTATTTAGGAAGCATTTAGAATGAAAAGTACTGTTATTCAACCATTAACTAGAATAGCAAAAGAAACCCATTATATTAAAAACTTGAAAATTGAGAAAGGTATATTTATTTAATAATAATTTATATTAGGTACATATGTATCTGCTTTTACTACTGCTCCTAGTTGGAATGATAAATATTTTGATGATTCAAATAAATTTGATTATAAAAGATGGTTAAATTAGAGACCGATTAAAGAAGATAATGGTTATGTATTTGTACCTTTTTCTGCTGGTGGAAGAAATTGTATTGGATAACACATGGCTATGATGACTATGAAGATTATGATTGGTCAAATCTTAAGAAAATATGATGTCACAGTAGATACAAGTGTTAAAGTAACATTCCCTTTAGTATTATTTATTTAATATTCCCCAAAAAATCTAGTTAAATTGGAAAAGCGCAAGCAATGAAATAATTTTACATATTAAATAAATTTTAAATATGTTATTGTATATATTTATAGGATTATTTGTCCTATTCATTTACTTTACATGTTTGAAAACATATATCAAGTTGATTTAATTGAAATTAACACTTGGAAATAAGGCTATTATAAGATTCTATCCTTTAACAGGTGATTTTGCATAAATACCAAAATCCAACTAATTATATGGAGATGGATTAAAACACTTTTAAAAACGAGTATTTGATAATCCCAATGTTAAATTTGTATTAAGTAATCTTATGCATGAACCTTTAATTGAAATTTATGATCCAGAGTATTATAAAGAAGTATTTATCAATCATGAACTTTATCAAAGAGCAGATGTTTTATATCATGAGTATAAATGTATAATAATAAAGAAAATTAACATCAAGAGGAATATTATATTCAGAAGGATAAAAATTCAAATAATAAAGATCTATATTGGGTAATCATTTTACTTATGATAAATTAAAAGAAAGAATTCCTAAAGTTAATTAAGTTGTATAAGAAAAAATAAAAAATTAAGATATCAATCAACTTCATAAATTTTTAGTTGATTTAACAACAGAAATTGTTATGAAATCTTTCTTTGGAGGTGAAACTTTAGAATTTAAATTAAATGGTTAAAGTGTTCCAGCTGAAATCTTAGATTTAGATGAAGAAATGGGTGCCTAAAATCTATTTAATCCTTATGTAGTTTTAAAAAGATTGATATTTGGAAGAAAAGGAGATAAAATATTTCCAAGCCCTTCATAAAAACATTTAAATCAAAGAGTTGATAGATTAATTGATTTTATCACCTCTTAAATAAATTAGAAATTATCTAATTAAAATAATAAAGGAAATGATTTTCTAGATATATATGTAGATGCCTATTTAAAATAATAAAATGATACTAAAATTGAAATTTTAGAAATATGTTCCATGTTTATCACTATGTTTGCTGCTGGTTCAGGTACATCAGTAAATGCTTTAACTATGACATTATATTTCTTAGGATTAGAACAAGAAGCTTAAAAAGAAATAAGAGAATAAATTTTGTAAGTTTTGAATGGTCAAACAGAAGTCAAAGATATTCATCTTTAATAATTAACTAAATTAACAGCCTTCATTTAGGAAATGTTTCGTTTCAAGGCTCCTCTATTTGCACCATTTATTAGAAAGGCTAAAAAGACTCATTACATTAAAAATTTAAAAATAGATAAAGGAACTAATGTACTAGTTCTATTTGCTGCTCCAGGATGGTCAAATAAACATTATGATAACCCAGATAAATTTGATTATAAAAGATGGTTAAATGCTAACCCAATAAAAGAGGATAATGGATTTGTATATATGCCTTTTTCAGCTGGAATGCGAAATTGCATAGGTTAACATATGGCTTAATTAAATATGAAAGTTATTCTTAGTCATATTTTAATGAATTACAATATTACATTGGATCCTAATTTATAAGTTAGATTCCCAATAAACTTTTAGATAGATATTGAACCAGATAATATAATAAAATTTGAAAGAATCAATTGATTAGAATAAATAATAAGATATTATATATATTTTATTTTTCTTAATAAGTACATAATAAATAAAAGAAAAAAAAATTCAAAAATCTTTTTTGGTATTCATTTAATAGTGTAACATTTATAAATATATATTGTTATATATTATAATAATAATATTAAATCTCTTAAGAACAATATTGAATATAAATTATATTATTTAATATTATGAATAAGTTTTTATTGCTCTCCTTAATTATTTCAATTTCTTTAGCTTCTCTTGATGATTAAGATCTCATCTAAAAATATTCAATCAAAATTCATGAAAGAGGCAGCAATTCTAATTATCCAGAGAAAGGTGATACAGTAAAGGTTCATTATACAGTAATATTTGTATATATACATTAGGGTAAATTACTTGATGGCACTAAATTTGATAGTAGCAAGGATAGAAATTAACCATTTGAATTTAAAGTAGGAATTGGTTAAGTCATTAAATGTTGGGATGAGGTTGTTTAAAATTTAACACTTGGTGATAAAGTTACAGTTATATGCCCATCTGCCACAGCATATGGAAACAGAGGAGCAGGTAGAGTCATTCCACCAAATTCAGATTTATAATTTGACATTGAAATGCTTGGATTTAGAGATTAAGAATTATGAGCAATAATTTTTTATACAAAAAAATAAGGAGTATATTTACATGAACATAAACATTAATAAAAAATAATAATTATTTTTTCTTTATAAATTTCTACAATTTATTCAGAAAAATAAATATTAATTAAATTAGTAACTTAAACTAATAGGTTTATTATATAAATAAGAATAAGCAATTCTATTTTGAATAAATAAGTAAAATAAATGATGTTTTATTGTAGATTAATACTTCTTTCATAGAGTTTAAGCATTAACTAAACAGTATCTTCTTTTATATAAATGCCTAATTTCTTCAATGAGTTATATTTAAAATCATTGAACATATATATATTTGTTTTTTATTAAAGTTAATATCCAATTTAATTTATTAGCTCTATGCAGATAGCTTTAATTAAATTTTATTCTAAGAACATTTAATTGTAATTCATTTATTCAATGTAATTTTTTAATTTTGAAGTTAAATTAATCTTATTGAGCTGAAAACTCATCTCATTAAATTACTAAGATAATTTTAAGTATTCATTCTAATTACTAAATTGTTTTAAATAGATATTTCAATTGATTACTGAGCTAAAAATGAATTAATAGTTAAGAATGAATACAAATTAACTAACTTTAAATTTGAAGTAAAGTTTAATTATTGATAAGTTGTATTATCTAAATAAATAAAATGGATATATAATGAGAATGAAATGAATAATAATTAATACTAAAATATTTTGAAAGAAGTGATGAATATCAACAAAGAGGTAAAATATTTTTGATAGAACTTACTGTAGAAATAGAAGAAGTATAAATAGTTTAGTAAGCAGTAAGGAAATCTTAAAAAGACACAATGAACTTTATTTATTTTTTGAAATTTATAATGGGAAGTTTTGATTAAATATATAATTTATGAATAATTGATTAATCTAAGCTTTCAAAAATATTAAATTGATCATAAAAATTGATGATTGTTTAGGTAATATACATGAGTTTGGTATGAATGAGTATGTTCCAAAGTTTAAGCGTTGATTTGTTAATAATCATAAAAGAAATTAATTTTATTTAGTCATTTTAATTGAAAGCATAAACTTGATAAGAATGTTATTATATATTTAAAATTAAGATCATGTAAAATATGGATATAGAATTTCAATAATCTCCTGTCTTAAATAATGGAGAAGAGAAAAAAAAAAATAATTATGTTCATATTCCTGTTTATGATGTGAAACCAACTTAGAATTACCCAAATTCTGCTTAATAAGTAGAATCAGAAGAATAACTAGTTTAAATTGATGAACGATGGTATGCTAAGAATGAAAACTATAAACCATTATCAGCAGATCAAAGACCTGGTTTTATTAGAAAAGTATTTATTCATATAATATTTAACAAGGTTTATAGTATAATGATATTACAATTAATATTAACAGTTGTAGCTTGCTGCTTCTCTTATTTCTATATTCCTTTTAGAGATTTCTAAAATGAACATTCAGGTTGGGTTTATTTAGCAATTGCAATAGCAATCATTATTGAAATGATTTTATTATGGATACCAAAATATTCCTGGAGAGTACCTCATAATTATATATTTCTCTTTGTTTTTACAGTTGCTGAAAGTTACATTATATCTCAACTTTGTAGTTATGTTTTCAACAAATATAGTGATGAAGGAGGTATACTGAATTCTTAATTAGGATTTATCGTTTTAATGGCTGCTGCCCTTACTTTAGCTGCTGTAATTGGACTCACTCTTTATGCATGCAAAACCAAAAAGGATTTCACAACTAAAGGTATTATATTATCTAAGAATATTTAAGGTGCATTTTTATTTATGGCAAGTACTTCTCTATTTCTTTTTGCAATATTATCAGGAGTATATTATGATTAAGCTATGAGTTTACTATATTCATTGATTTCTAGTTTACTATTTGGAGTCTATTTAATATATGATACTCAATTAATTATTGGAGGAAGTGTAATTATTTAATTTCATGTAGACTCACAAATTATCAATAGATGATTATATTATTGGTGCTATGTTCATATATATAGATATTGTATATCTATTTGCTCATATTGTTTTAATTATTGTAGCATGTTTCAGATGAAAAACAAGAATGAAACTCATATTCATTAAAATTTATTATTATTATATCTTTTTCTATCAATTTAATCTTAAAGTTTTTTAAATAAATAAATAAATAAATCAATTAAAATAAACAAATCAAATATCTGATTTAATAATTTTATTATTCTCTCCCATAATCATAGTATATAGATCAATTTAATTACGATACCATTTATTTTCATTCATTAATTTACTTTATACTTCTATCAATCGATCAATTTCAGCACAATGTAAAATTATTCTAATTAATAATATCTATTATTTATTTTAGAATTTTATTTATTTTTAATCAAATTCTTATTATTATTATTTGATAACTTCATTCATACGATCCAATTCAGTTGTTAAAATAGTCAATTTCTATTTACAATCAACATATTATATCATTTTACTTTTTATTTCTGTCTCTTATTACTATTTCTTTTCCATAATTTATTAATAATTCTATTCTAATTCTTTATATTAACTATCAATTCTCTTTAATTTTTCATTCTATAAATTATAATTTTCCAGTAAAGAATTATAAACTTTAAATAATTCTTCATAATCTTTTTGTTACTTTATTATTTATTATTAATTCAATTATTCATCATTTATTTTATTATTTAAATTTTCATTCTCACAAACTAGAAATCCTAATTTACATTCCAATTATTTTATTGTGTATTATAACTATTAAATTACTTATAATTGCTAATTTATTTATTAATATTAATTTTGTATCAACACCTCCTTTTGAACTATCATTTTATTTGCATCAGTTAATTTGTTTTCTAAATGTTAACATTGAAGTTCTTTCTTTTTTAATTGTTCAGATTAATCTTTTAACTAAATTTCATAATTTTTATTTTTATTTTCCTAATCACTTTCCTTCTCCTCTTTTTGTTGATATCTTAATCTATCATTCTCTAAATTCAATCTTTCAAGTTCGACTCCCATTAAAACATCCAATTAATGTTTGACATTACTACTTCTTCCAGAACTATAATTCATAAATCATACTATACATTGCTCTTGATGTTCTATCAACAGAAAAATTGATTTTTGGTTAATTACAATTTCTAGTACTTTAACAAGTATTCAATTTTGCATCTAAGTTTGAATTATAATCATCAAGTGGTATTCTATACATATTTGATAGCTTAACAGCTAAATATTTATAATAATAAATACAATTTATTAATTCATAAATAATCTTGAAATCCTTAATGTATATCATTAAGTATTTAGTTATTTCACTATTTTAAAGTGAAAACATTATTGTATTTATCATTCTTATAATTATTTCAAGAAGGAATGAATATAGTATATTGTATATCAAAAATAATCAAACTAACAATTTAAATAAATTGATCAATTAAAATGAGTATTTTTATTTAATTAAAGTAAACATTCTTTTAAATAAGATAGATAATATATTAATATATTTTATTAAATTTATATTCTTTATAAATAATCAACTGTTGAGAATTATTAAAATTTTAAAGTATTTGTAAAAATTAATAAAAAATAATCAATCATTGTAATTTCATCTTATTATTCCTAATGTTTAATAAATATAAAAAACTAAATTTCAATTAAAGAATATTTTTTATTTTAAGACCTGTGCAAAACATTTTGAAATAACTATTAAATATGTTTATCGCATATTTTTTTTATAATTTAATAACAAATATATGAAGTGTTTAATAAAATTATTACAAACAATAACTTATTTATATCATCTATTCTTACCATAACTAAAAGTGCATACTCTAATCTATAGTATAGAACATAGTGTAAAATGATTTTATTTTGGAAGTTCGTTAACATTAAATAATATTCTTATATTAAAGCAAAATTGAAATTAGTCAGTGGAAGTTCTAATTCAAAAATTATTTTATTTTAATGTTTACTATTAACAGTAGGATACATAAAAAATAGTAAACTTTTGAATAATAATTCAGCATATAAGATTCAATAAAGTATTTAATTTGATGGTTACTGGTTTTATTGGTCATTTGATTTTGTTTAGAGTTTGGTTAATTAGAAAATGGAATCTCAATCAGTGAAGACATTAAAATTATAAGAATCAATCAAGATGTAAATGCATTTACATATTTTACAATAAAAAAAATATTAATTAGAATTATTAATAATTGCTTATCTAAGTAATTTAGTTTAGCCTATTTATAAATTTAATATTGGATAAAGAGAACAATCATTTAATATTATGTACTTTTGATATTACAATAATTAGTGAGCTTTAAATGAATTAAAAATAATTATAAGGTATTATTATATATGAAGAAAAATTTGGCAATAATCATTTAGGTAAAAGAATTCATTTGAGTAATGACTTAATTAAATATGATGTTAACGATAAAATCTTTTGAATATATAATGTTAATTTTTTTAAGTTAACATCATTAATAAATATATTTTAACTTTTCAAATATTTACTATGTCTTATCGTGTTAATAATGCAGAAATAGAGGGACAGCATCCACTTCTAAAAGTTACTCCTGTTAGATTCCTTAGAATCAGACTTATTTTAACTGTAATTGTTTATAAGAAAATTTAGATTATTATTTCTATAATGACAGGCTGTATGTTTGCTTTGGCTTTGAGATGGAGTAAAAAATTGTATAACTGGTTTCTATTTACTCCTTGTAATGTTGAAGAGACGGGAACACATTATAGGGTAGATACATAGAATGGTCAATAATTTACATTAGAAAAACAGTAGATGAATGGCATTTATTATTTCACATTCAGGTAGTATGATTTTTGAATTTAGACTTCTTAAATATGCATTTGATCCAAAAACTTAATGTTATTAACCAATTGAATTTGAAACTGATGGAAAGTTAATCAAAGATATAATAGCAAATCGTAATGTATTAACTTAAAATTTAAAAATACAATATTATGGAAAATGTCAACTCTAAATTCCCATTTAACCTTTACCTGAATTTTTATTTGAGCACCTAACCGGTCCATTTAATATTCTTTAATATTTTGCAGTTGCTGTATGGTTTGCTTAAAATTCAATAACATTTCCAATACTTATATTAGCATTCACTGCAATTGCAGTTATAGTCAATTATATATTATATAGAAGATCAAGAAGTCTTTTATAAAAGTTAGCTAATATTCATTAAAATGTAATTTTGAAGAGTGAGACTTTAAAAACTGTAAATGGATCTGAATTACTTCCAGGAGATTACATAATATTATAAGAAGGATAATAATTGAATTGTGATTGTGCTATACTTTAAGGAGATGTTATGGTAAATGAAGCTACATTGACAGGAGAAAATGTTCCAATTCCTAAAACATCATTACCTGATCATTCAGCCAAATTTAATTTTGAAACACTAAATCAACATTGTTTATTTGAAGGAACAAATATAGTAAAAGTAAATTCAACAACAGAAAATGTAGCAATAGTACTTAGAACTGGATTTAGTTCTTTAAGAGGATAATATTTTAGAAATGTTTTATTTCCAGCACCTCCATCATAAAGATTTTATATATAAGCTGCTAAATTTATTTTATCATTTGCAACAATAATTGCTGTAGTTTATGGTTTTATGTTAATTAAATATATACCTATGGAATTTAAAACAAGTTTATTAGTATTAAGATTTCTTGATAATATTGTTTGGTCAATACCTCCATCAATGCCAATATTTTTTAATATTTGTAAAACAGCTAGTTTAGTTAGACTAAGTTCAATAGGAATTAATGGTAGTAATGCTGATAAAATTGAATCTGCTGGACGTATTGATACTTGTTGTTTTGATAAAACAGGAACTCTAACTACTTTAGGATTGAAAGCAATAAAAGTTTGGACTCATGATCAATCATTAGTAAATTTATATTTATATTTTATAGGAATAAATAGCTAATTATATTTTAGCATGTTGTCATCATCTTTTATTAATTAATGGAGAATTACAAGGTGATCCTTTAGAAATTGAAATGTTAAATTTTATTGGTTGGAAAATTAATTTTGAAGGCAAATCTTTCTTTTCAGTTAAAAAAGATTAATAAGAATTTGAAATTATTAAGATCTTTGATTTTAGTTCAGCAAGATAAATGATGAGTGTTATAGCAACAGATGGAACTAATTTTTATTTATTTTCTAAAGGATCTCCTGAAATGATTAATTAATAATCTTAAGATAAAAAGTAAGTTGTTTTAGATGAAGTCAAAAAATATGCATCAAATGGATTTAGAGTTTTAGGATTAGGTTATCGTAAATTAAATAACAATCAATTAGATTTACAGAGAGAAGAATTAGAAACATAATTAAATATTGTTGGAATGTTTGTTTTAGAAAATCCATTAAAAGATGATACTCCTTAAGTAATATAAACTTTAAGAAACAGTGGATTACATATTAAAGTAATTTCTGGTGATAGTCCTTTAACTACTATATATTGTGCTAAAATATCTGGAATAATTGATATTAATTCTGAAGTTATCATTTTAGATTATAATTAATCCAAAAAATAAATAGTAATAATTGATAATGATAATTAAACTAATTATGATGAAAATGTAATAGAAAATTAAAATATAATTGATGAAGTTATTCGAAATCATAAAATGACAGCAATTACTGGAAAATTCTTGGAATTTATTTCTAAATTTTTAACTATTGTCAATCCAAATAGAGATACTAGTATTAGTATGACTTAAAATACTTCATCAAATCAAATCTTTACTGAAAATAATGCCATTGAATATGATGATACAAAAATGAAAGAAATAACTATGAAATTAATCTCTAAAACTAGAGTTTTTGCCAGATAAAAACCTGAACAAAAAAAATAAATTGTTGCAATGCTCTAAGAAATGGGAAGATAAGTCATGATGACTGGAGATGGTGCTAATGATTGTGTACAATATTTCATTATTTATTAATTAGTCTGCTATTGCTTAGGCATAAGTTGGAATCTCATTTAGTGAATCTGATGCTTCTTATACTGCACCATTTAGCTCTAAATCAACTTCATTAAAATGTTGTGTTTAAGTCTTAGCATAAGGAAAAGCAGCCATAATGACTATTATTGAAGTTTTCTAATATCAACTTAGTGTTAATGGAATTAAATTTGCAGCTGTAACTATTATGTTTTTAGAAGTATAAAATTTTTGTAAGTTTCAATTTTACTATTATTTTAGCTGAATTTTAAACTGTTTACGTTGGATTCATTTCCAATATTCCATTGTTGATTTTCCTATGCATTTCTTCTCCTGCCACAGAATTAGCAGAATATATACCATTAGATGATCAATTTTCCTATTAAAATTAAATTCAAATCTATACTAACATTTTCTTTGCTGTTTTAGGGTATTAATATAATTTCTATAATCTAGTTTATGTATTAATTATGGTATTCTCAATACAACAGATAGATTCTTTGAATATTCTAAACCTATTGAAAAGTTTTAAAGAGAAGGATACTTGAATTCAATTATGTTTTTAAGTTTAATGTATTACTTCATGTCTTTTGGAGTATCAATATACATATCAAATCCTTTTAAAGTCAAATACTATAAAAATATCTTACTAACATTGTGGACCACTCTTGGTTTTGTTGTTGCAATAGTATCATTTATATTCCCTCAAAGAGCTACTTGGTGTGATGTAATTGATATTAAAGAGGATACGTAAGAATTAATTATAATTTTAATTAAGTTTTGAAGGATTCAATTGGGTTGTTTTAACAGTTGTCATAGTAACATCTTTTCTTGGATTCTTTTTTCAAGCCCTTCTTTAAAGATATATACCATCAATGTATAAAATAACACATAAATCATGAATAATAATTTCATAACAAATATTAAAACCAATTAATTTTTTATTAAAATCATTTCTTATTTTCATTATACTTTGATCTCATTCTAAAAATAATTCTATTAAAGTGTTTAAGTGTTCAAGGATTAAAACAAAAAAATTTTAAATTTATTATAAATCCGTTTTATTAATTTTTATATAAATGTTTATTTTGTTTTTATTGGTAGGAACTCTATGCCAAAGCACTTAGTATTTATGACTAAAAATTATTAGAGCTTTTTAGTTACATAACTGTTGATGATGCCTTATCTGATCTGTTAAAAATATAGCCTAAAGGATATAAACCATGGCATCCATCATTGAATGTGAGATTACGTGTATAAGAAGAAGAAAAAACATAAGAATTTTATTCATTTGTCTAATAGCAAATCAAAATCAAGTAAAGAGGGATCAACACATAACACCCAATGCAATTTGTATAGGTTTAAGGGCCAGAATTTTTTGAAAACTTAGTTTGTAAATGCAGCTTTTCTCCTGCAGAAGCAGTATAAGAGGAAGAAGAAGGTGGAGAAGGAGGAGGTGAAGAAGCTGAGGGTGGAGCATGTGAAGCTGAAGGTAGTGGAGAAGGAGAAGGAGAAGGAGAAGGAGAAGAAGTTGAATTTATTGTAAAAAAGACCAAAGCTCATGGAAAAGATTTCAGTTTTCTATAAGTAGGAACCTAAAGTAATTTAAATTAATATATACCTCAACCCTAACAAGTTGATTAATTATCCTAATATGATTAAAGACTATAGGCTCAAGAATAATTAATAAAGCAATTTATGGAAAAATAAAATTAGTTGACTTAATAAATATCTATGTTACAATAGAGTTAGGGGGTTTTTGTACCTTCCCTTTTTCCATAAGTTGTAGATCCTAATTTTCTAACTCCTCAATAATAAGCATAAATGGTTTACTTATTGTAGCTACAATAACAATAATAATAATAATAATAACAGTAAATTCAATAACAATTACTTTAATAATAAATGCTGAACCCATTATCATTCTAATCAAGTCCAACTATAGTAAAGAATGACAATATTTAAGCATAATAATAGTTTCAAATTCCATTATAATAACCACTTGCTTATTCTTAACCTATAACATAGCCTATTTTGAACCCTTAGTAAATCTTACTGTAATAATAAATCCTTTAATAATAGTAATTAAATCAACAATAAATTCCTTAATAATTAAGTTAATAACAACTTCTTTAACAATAATAGTAATTATTGAATTAACAATAAATAACTTAAGCATAATCTTAACAAATTGGATAATCTTAAATTCCTTAACAAATACCTTAATATTAATAATAATAATAAATTCCTTAAATACTTACATAGGGTTAATAATAGTTTTAAGGTATTCCATAATAATCAATGCAATAATAGATTCCTTAACAAGTTCAATTGTAAAATCTATAATAATAATCTTATTAATAGATTCCATAATAGTAGGTTTAGCAATAATAATAATAATAATAAATACCATAAATTTAATAATAATAATAAAATGGATTTTTGCAATAATAATAATAATAATAAAATATTCCTTAATTCGATTAATTGGTATTTAAATATTATTTATTTTAGTTGGCTTAATAGATGACTTAACCCTTAATGCAGCCTTAATTTTTACAACAACAACCACAAATAATTGGAGGAAGATGATATATGAGATAAATTTGATAGAATATAAATATTAGATATTATTTCAATTTGTTCTGAAATTATTATTTCATTACATCTTATTTTATTATTTAAATTAATAAATTTTAAAGTATAATGAAATAATCAGAAATTCTTTATATGAATGTTGCAAATTGCTTAAGTATCAAGTTTTATTTTCAGGGATCACATCCATCATATTTAATCTATTATTTTAAATAAAGAATTATAATTAATATTTGGTTAAAGTAAGTAAAATATTATATTAAAATCTTAAGGATTGATATTTGCATTCTTCATTAAGATTATTCATCACAGCATTTGCTTTTTCTTGAAATTTCATTTTGATTAGCTTTGTTACTCAGTTCAATATTTAATAGCAAATTATAAATCTTAATGTAGATTTTAATTGTGATAACCTTGCTTTAACCATTAATCTATCCTATTTACTTTTGTTTTCTCTTAATATGATAATTAGATGATTATAATGAATAACCAAATTGATATTTTTATGTTATGCAAAATAATTGAATATTATCAATTCATCTTAATAAACCCATAATATTTAATTTTATATTAAATTATATAAACCAAAATTTTTAAATATAAATTTTACTTACCTGGCGAGCACTGCTGATGATCATGCAGATCAGTAGTGTGGGGTTAAGCTGGCCATCGCACAACCGGCGTCAGTGAGGCCCCAAAACTTTCCGTTTGGAAAGGCTTTATCGCTCAATTTCTGCTAGTGAGGGGAAACCCTCGCACCCTATTAAATTTAATTAAACAAACGAAATAATATATATTATTATAAATGAATTACACAAAGTTCTATTCTATCAACTATCATTTCTTATTTTCTTACATCATAATATATATGATTTTATACTTTAATTTTTTATAGATAAAAGTTTAAAAGAGTCATAAATAATTAGTATACGTGACAATAATAAATAATTAGATATTTCATCTGAAAGTAAATTAGAATTTGACTTTATATGAGTATGATATAAATTCCTAATTTTTATATATATAATAATATATTAGCCATAAATAAAGATGAGTTTAAAGGAAATAACCTATTGAATTAATAGAAATACAAATAAAACTGGTAATTATGAATAAATATTAAATTTAAAGCATCAAATAATTTAAGCATATTCAGCTTTATTATTAAATTTAAAATAGTAAATTAGATGGGTTGTTCCTTATAAAAATCATCTGATCACAAACTGGCAAGTAAAAAATGTTCTGCAAATGAAAATATATGTAACTCAGTATGCATAATACATTTAGAAACACCAGAAAAAAAATCAAATTTGGAAGTTTATAATCCAATAATAGGGAAAATGGTATCGGTACCAATTCTAGTGCCTGCTTCTAAAAGTAGTATATTAAAGAGAAGAAGTACATAAATGACAATAGGATAATGAATCAACACATATTTGATTATATTTATATATATAATATTGTATTAGAAATTAATGGAACTGAGGCTTCCTCAATATACTTAATTTTTCATAACAATCAATAGTTTAGTGAGTGATAAGGTTATTAATAAACAGTAAAAAACTGAATTAGAATAAAGCATTTTAAGAAAGGAGAAAAGCCTAATGGAGATTGTTAGCAAATATGGGAGTAAAGATATGTAAAATAAATACAGAGTATAAATTTTAGGGAATAATAATTTCGTGAAAGAATAGTTTAGTACTCTAATCATAAATAAAACGATACCTTTATACCTCATATCAAAATTGCAGAAAAAAATAAAAGTAACAAATTTAGTGTAAGTGCCAGACAAATTTAATTTTAGTAAGAAGATCCTATAGTTGAGACCAATTAAGATGTATTACTTGAATTAAATATAAAAAGTCATTATCTCCCTTCATTTTGCAACTGATTGAATAGCTTGACACTATGCTCTCAATAAATATGTCAAATGGAGGACATTTAATTCCTACAGATATCAAGAAGTTAACCTAACTAAGGAATTAAATTAACAAATATTTAGGAATTCAAAATTAATTAGAATTAGACAATGAATCACCTATAAGGTGTACAGATATTAGTGTTTGTGGAAGAGTAATCTAAGAATAATAAGATGAGAAATCTGATTAAATTGATACTAGCGTTCAGTTAAAAAGTAAATATTATATTCAAATAATCGATTAAATTAAATAAACTTATGCTTAATTAAAAGTATAAAAATAATTATTATTATCTTTTATAGAGTTTATTTTTGGGAAGTTTACATACACATTATTTACTAATGTAAGAGGAATTATCATACAATAATTTAGTAAATGTTGTTAAATCACTTATTAAAGAATTAACTGATTCTGATGATATATATTTTCTGATAAAAAGAAATGAAGAGTGGGATTTCTATTCAACAGAAAAAGATTCAATAAAATAGATTGAAAAAGATAAACAATAAGTATTCTTCTTAAATTTTTCACATCTTAAACCTAATATTGTTTATAATTATTAGAATAATGAAAATCAAACTAAGATATTAGAATAAGTATTGGATTTGAATTCTTAATTTACTGAATTATCAATAATAAGATTCATCAATTAAAATAAATAAGAGACATTCTTTTTCTTTTATTGGAATAAACCAGAAAGAAATAAGTTATTTAGAAGATTTATAAAGTACAATATTTTATATTCTTTAAAATAGTGAAGCTAACGAATACAGATTCAAAGATGAAGTCTTATCCTTAACAAATTTCTTAATTGATGTAATATTATAAGCCAGAGTTCAATATTTTAATCCAGTGTAATTTGCAGATTAGATTTTGGATATAGTTTTAAGTTTTGTAGAGTCATCACAATATATCCTATTTGATGAAATATTTAGAGCTTTAAATCCTCATTTTCAAATTAAGAAAGATTATATATCCTCTGGGGATGAAATATAGTAAGTATAAATGAATTCTGTAAGAATTGAAATGAAATGTAGAAATCCTATTGCTTTGATTTTGGAAGAGTTTTATCTTAATAGATAGGATCATTAATACATTTATACAGAAATATTTAATTTGAAATCTAAATATTAAAGACATTTGAGATTGTGTCATGAGAAAATAGCATATTATAAATACTTTTTAAGATCTACAGATACTATTCTATTTGATTTTGATAAAAATGGAAGACTTGTATTTTTGAATCACTATATTTGGGAGACTCTCAAATAGAAATATAATATTTAATTTTCTTTAGATAAAAGGACTCCACATTACAAAGAGTTATTTACAGATGAAAGAATCTTAAAGTATATAGATTTAGATGAATTTATGATGAAAAAGAAAAATGAATACATTTAAAATGAAGATTTTGAAATATTTTTGAAGGTGGTTGATTAAGTTTATAAAGGATTTGTGATAATATTTCATCTTTAAGAAGGATCAAGAATGACAGATTACATAAAGAATTTAAAAAACGAAGAATCATTAGAAGATGAAATCAAATAATCAATTCAACGTTCATATAACAAACATTAAACATTTAAATTCATTTCTTAATTACAAAAATCTAATCCAAATGTTAAAAATTCATACATTTCATTATTTATACCAGAGGAATAATCTTTAGATAATTAAGAACAATATTATTAATCAAATAATTCATTATAATCATGTAAAACCAGAAAACCTAGATTGAGTATCCAAATGTTGGGTAAAACAATCAAAGCATTTCATTACTAAGCATCTAAATTACGTATAAAATCTATAGAATCAGCATTGGAAATAGAAGAAGATGATGATTTGGATACATTATATGAAGATAAAACAATAGATAAATTTGAATTTAATATTTTCTCTGTAATTATTTACATTTATTGATGAATAGTATAAGGACAACATGAAAGCAAAGTTAGTGTATCATATTATTAAGAAAAATGAATGGATTGATAATTACGATATAAATGAAGATGTTCTGATGAAATTTATAAAAGAAGTTGAAAGAAAATATAACAAAAGGAAGAATCCCTTTCATAATTTTGATCATGGTATTACTGTAATGCACAGTTGTAATTTTTTATGTTCTTTGCCAAAAGCACATGAATATATAAGTGAGATTGTGTATTTTGCAACAGTGATATCTGGATTATGTCATGATATTTCACATACAGGAAGGACGAATCAGTTTGAAATCAATAGCAAAAGCAAATTGGCTACAAGATATTTAGATAAGAGTGTAATATATTTGATTTTAATTTATTAGCCTTTGGAAAATCATCATGCAGCTGTCACTTTGAGATTATTGAATTAGGATAACTATAATATATTATCAGGATTAAATGTTGAAGACTTATCCATTTTCAGATAGACATTAGTTGAAAACATTTTATTCACAGATATTAAATAACATTTTGGTTTAATTAAGGATTTTGAGTAAAGAGTGAAAGAAAGTAAAGATAATTAGGATAGAATGTTTGGTTAAATGGATGGTGATGTAAAATTATTTACAGGAATGATTGTTCATACTTCAGATTTTAGTGGTGCTGCAAAAGTATTTGAATTATCGAAAGCTTGGACAGAGAAAGTTAACATGGAGTTTAAAGCCTAATTCGATGAGGAAGGAACTCGTAAGATTACTTAAACACCATTTATGAAAGACTTAGACAAATAAGAAATAATGGCTAAAAATGAAATGGGATTTTTTAAAGTTATTGTTAGACCGTTATGGGCTAGTTTAAATGAATTTTATGTATAGAATGTATATTCAACATTAATAGGATAAACAACTGCAGAATGTTATTGATAATGTAGAAAACACAATAATTAATTGGGAAAAGATATATCATACATAAAATAAATAAGAGAAATAGGATTGAACTGTATATTAAATATTTCGTTTTTGATATATTTATATATATATATATATTAATAATAAATGAGTGAAAGAAGAGAAGAAGATACCACTCTTGTGTAAGCAGCAATCCCTGCAGCTTTGGAAGGAGCCAAAAAAGCTGAGGAAATGGAGAAAAAGATAAAGGAGTAATAATGATAAAAGATATATTAATTTATAGATAAGGTGGATAAAAGCTTTAAGATGCTGAGAGATAAGCAGATGAATAAATTGCTAAGGCTTAAGAGATGATAGGCTTAACTGGAAATTTAGCTTAAATAGCTTAACAAAAATCTTTAATTGTTGCTGCTTCATAATATCTAGTAGGAAGTTTATTATCAATGGTGATACTTCAACTTGGTTTCTTTGGATCTATTCTAACATTTATTCCATTTTTAGAATAATTGACAATAATTTTATACATAGTTTCTATTATAATAGTGTAATTCTGTCCAGGATCTGTTGATAAGGTAGAAAATTTATATATTTTTTAAGGTTCCTAAAAATTATGGATTTTGTATAGTTCATTCTGTAAGTAAAATTTTATTAATGGTTTATCTTACAATTCATTTTGAATCAATAAAATTTGAATTAATATAATTAGTATTTGGAATTGTCATTCTATTTTTATTATTTTTAATTAAAAAAGGAATAAGTATTAAAATAAATATATTTTATAGCTGAAAATTAAGATATTGCTTTAGTAGTAAAGAAATAATTCTTCACAGTTTTGATAGTATCAGCAATTATTTCAGGATTTTTGGGATTATTAACAAGATCAAATTTATTTATTACTCTTCTATTAATAATTGTAGGAGCTGGATATACATATTATTTATAATTGGCTTTGTAAAGATTTTGTGATCACAAATACTTATTAATTAATAAAAATGATTAATATATGGGAGCTGCTTAATTAGATGCAGATTTATTCTTATGGTGCAAATTGGTTGGATTCCATTGCATGAAAAAGAATGAAGGAGGAGCATATATTCCAAATTTAGATTTTGATGAAGAAAATAAATAATAAGAACCAGAAACTTAAGAATAAAATAAAATCTGATATTTTCATTAAAAAAAATAAATAAAATATTATTATTTTACCTTTATATAAAAATATTATTGATATGATTTTATTAATTATTTTTATATGTTTGATAAATTTTGCATTAGACATTAAGATTAAATTCTTACTCATTTTTGTTCCAATCAATTGTGTCCTCAATTTCTTACATTTTATTGTACTTAATGTGAGATCAAACAATGTAATAAAAATTATCATTTGCAATAATTTGAGAATTTAAGCTATTTCATCAATAAATTAGTTTTACCTAATTTCGGTATTTATTATGGGATCAATCATAGACACAAAATAAATAGAGTATTGTAAACAATAAATGAACAAAATAATTAGTAATTTCAATACAATATAGGATAAGATCATAAATGATTATGATAAAGCCATCGAGAAAATATTAGAATAGTATAATATTATTTTAATTAAGCATTTAGAATAGAAGTAGTTCATTTAAGACTGAAATTATAAGTTAAATAGATTTCTAAAAATAATTTATGATTGATAAATTAGTAGAATTCTAAAACACAATGGATAAACATTATAATACATACAAATAATCATATGAATAGATTAAATCAATTATAAATGTTTAAGAAAGTAATGTTCATATAGAAGAACATTATAAATAGATTGATATGAATTCATTATAAGAATATTATAATGTATTATTAAGAATGCAACCTGAATTAGAAGTTTTGGCAACAGAAAATAGTTTATAAATTACAAAAGAATAATAAATTATTGAATCATTTAATCATAATATTTACAAAGAATTTTAAGATAAAATCATAGAATATTCAGAAAATATATTAACATTGCTTTGGAGTAAATATTATTCAATGACATCTAATATCCATTTGTATGATAATAAAAGTATACATAATATATATTATTATTATTAGCTTAAAGTATTGCTTAATCTGAAATGATTGAAAATATTAGAATTAGTAGATCTTCATCATCTAATTCTTATTCAGTCTTTAATGAAATCGATAATATTATTGCAATGGGTCAACAATTCAATAATACCAACACTTCTATCAAGTTGAAAAGTCAAACATATGGTTATACTAAATTTAATTTGATGACTTAAGGATAACTTAATATTAAACAAAATCATATGGATAATTATTAATAATTACCTATCATTACTCCTTATTGTATTTTAGTAATTAAGAACTAAAATGTCATTTTAACTGCAGGAGATAATAATATAATTTATGTATGGATTCATAAGAAAGAATCTAATTTATGGAAATTAGAATCATAATTAGTATTATAGAGTAAAGAATAACAATATATTTAATGTATGGAATTACTCTATAATCCATTTATTAGTGAATCACGAAATAGTAAATAAAGTTTTGCAAATCTAAAAGTTCTATTAAATCCAATTATTGCAATTTGTGGTTAAAATAATATTTATATTGTTCAATTCGATATTATGACTAATTAAATTACTATTTAATGTTAATACTCAATTAAAGATTAAAAAGAATAAGAAATACATACTATTTAATAATGTTAAACTATGGGTAGTTATAATTATTTTATTGTTGGTATGGAAAAAGGAACTATGATATTATTTAATTATATTATTAGTATTGACAACACATTTACAATCAAAATAGATTAAATGATCAAATAACATAAAGATTGCATTACTAGTATTGACATAATAGGTGATCAATTAATTGCTGTAGCAAGTAATGATAGATCTGTTACTATTTGGTAATATTTTAATAATAAGCTTAAATTATTACCAATTAAAATGAACAGATTCTGGGAAGATATTCCATGTATAAGATAAGTTTATACTAATTCATTTATCACCTTTGATTCAAATTACAATATTACATAATGGTATCTAGAAAATCTAAATAAAATTGTTATTATTAACAGTCTCTAGTCTAGTAAATTGAAATAAGAAGTATAAGAGGCAGTTATAATAAATAATCCAGATAATGCTTAAGATTTTTGTATCTTATTACTCATTAGAGAATAGACAAATACCAACAAAATTGTTATTTTAGATAGATATTTCTCAATTGTATCATAGGAATCTTTACCTCAATAATTTCAAAGTTATTTGTGTATCCCAAAGAAAAAACATAACCATTATATTACCAATTATAAAATGAGGATTATTAATGATTTTATTCCTAATAAAGCATTCAGTTCCTTTGTAGATGTTAAATAGAATGAGAAATAGCCAAATTAATAATAATAATAATCTTTTTCTTAATAATAATAATAGAATTAGAATAAGAAGGTTAATCTCGCTATTATAAACAATAATAAGACAAATTAACATTTTATTGAAATTTCTTTCATAATAGGAACTGATTGAATTGATGTTTATTATGTATATTTTTATAATAATAACATACAATTAATATATATTGTAAGTAATCTTTAATTTATTATAAAATCTTTCTTTACTAAAATTAATCATGGGAAAGTATGCTAGCAAATAAAATTTAAGTATATAAAGATTTAGATTTAGTTAATATACATATAATAGAATTAGAAGAATCTAAAATATAAAATTTAGGATAAATTATTATAGAGAAATGTTATGTAGAAAATAATCAAATGGAACTGATTATAAAATTAATTATTAAAAATCAATATGAGTGCAGAGTAATGGTTGGTCTTACGATTGGATCTATTACCTAGCATAGCATAGGAAGTAGAACAGATTTGTATACACTATATTCGTATTAATATATCATATATAATAAATAGATTTGTGTGATGAAGTCAGAAAAGGAAATAAATAAGCATATTAAGATTTAATTGTACTATAAGCTAGAGTTTAATTTAATATAATAATAAAAATAGATACGAGGGAGAATGGATGATTTTGATAAATTTTATGATAGAAATTATGCTGATTATCGTATTGGTTATTTTGAGAAAATGAAATTGAGATTAAGAAAGTTAATAAGTCCTCATATTGATGTTAATAGATTAATTTATGAAGAAACTTAAAATTATAATCAATAGTATATGTATAAATCAAATTTATAGATCATCTCCTATTAAGAATACCACACCTCCACCTATTAATGATAATTAATTAAATGTTTAAAAAGTTACAGAATTTGTATCAATACCATCTAAAAGAGTTTAATCACCTCCTAATAAAATGAATACTTCTAGTAATTATAATAGCACAAATAAATAAAAATAAGCAACTCCAATTGCATAAAACAATAAAAAGACAAGTAAATAACCTTAATAAATGAAATCTTCTTAAGTTAAGAGTAAGACATAATAGGATGAATTAGTTTTTACAATAAAAATGAGCAAAGAAGTATTATTTAATGATTAAATAAAATTAGGAATATTTGTAATATATACAAGCTAAATAAAAATAGAGATGACTGTTTGAATTATTTATATATAATTAAAAATTACGTTAAAAATTATGTTTCAGAAGATGCTCAATTAATAATTGAAGAAATAAGTAGATGAATGTATATAAATGATAGTCGGAAGAATAAAACAGAAGAGTAGTTACAGAAGTTGAAGAAATGGATAAAGAGATTAAAACATTATAAGATATTTCAAACCTGAAAGCTCGTTTAAAAATGAATCAAATGGTAAAATAACCATTTAAGAAAAACAAAGAAGAACCTACAACTTCTATTTATGTGGGAAAGTTTGAAAATTAATTAAAATCATTCTAACAATAGACAATTAAAAAATAATCTCGTAAACCTCTTTCGATTGAAAAGAATAGTACTAAGTCTGTATTAATGCCAGCAACAACTGAAAGATATGATTATAGCAATTTTACTTATACAAATTTAAAGGTTGTTGGAAGTGGATCATTTGGAGTAGTATACAAAGTAAATTATATATATTTATATTTGCAGGCTAAAGTGAATGAAACTGGAGAAATAGTAGCTATTAAGAAAGTATTACAAGATAGAAGATATAAAAATAGAGAATTATAAATACTATAAGAATTAGATCATTAAAATGTATTAAAGATGAAATATGCTTTTTACACTCCAGCAGAGAATAAAGATGAAAGTTATTTAAATGTAGTTATGGATTACTTCTCAGACACTCTTTATTCATATAATAAATCATTTATAAAGGATTTTAAGAGAATGCCTGAACTTTTAGTTAAAATTTTTAGTTATCAATTATTGAGATCTATAGCGTATTAAATATTATTAATTTCATAGTTATATTTCTATATTAGGAATATGTCATAGAGATATCAAACCACATAATGTATTAGTTAATCCAGAAACTAATAAATTATAATTATGTGATTTTGGAAGTGCCAAGAGATTAATATCAGGTGAACCTAATATAGCTTATATTTGTTCAAGATGTTATAGAGCTCCAGAACTTATATTTGGAGCTACTGATTACAATACTTAAATTGATGTTTGGTCTGTAGGTTGTGTTATTGCTGAATTAATAAATGGTGAACCATTATTTTTAGGAGATTCAGCTGTTGATTAAATGGTTGAAATTGTAAAAGTGCTTGGTACACCTTCTAAGGAATAGATCTTAAGTATGAATAAAAATTATGATATGCAGTAGTATTAATTTGCTACTATTAAATAAAGAGATTGGAGAAGAGTATAATAATTAAATTAATTTTATAGGTATTAAAAACTAAAGATCCAAAAGCTATAGATTTAGTTTCAAAATTATTAACTTATTGTCCTAAAACTCGATTCACTCCTCTTTAATCGTTGGCACATCCATATTTTGATGAATTGAGAGATTAATTTAAAACAATCTAAAGCACAATCAAACTTAGTGCTTCTGATCTATTTGAATTTTCAAATGGTATTAATTTATATTTAAAATATTAGAAGAAACATCTAAAATGACTTAATAATAAATGATAACATTAATACCAGATTGGTATGCTAATACTTCGAAACCTTTAAAAACAATTTGCTGATTAATTATGATTATTTTTAAATAATGAATATATCAATTAAATTTTGTGTTTAATTTATATAAGAAATTCAAAATATATAAATTTAACAACTTATAAAAATAAATTTAGAATAAAATATCATTATATATTTGGATTATCATAAAAAATCATTAGATATTTTTAATATTATAATCTTTCAATTAATATGATAACAATATAAAATAATTCCTTTTTTTTTATCATAAAAATATTTATTCATTTTAGTTATGATTTAAAGATAATTTAAATTTTTTAGAATAGTTTACAATAGATTATAAAGCTAATATTATAATTATATTAACTAAATAATAAAAATTCAGTATATTATTTTTTCAATAATTTATATCAATGTTAATAATATTATTATTAAATGGGAGGAGTTCTGGGTATTTTTGGTCTAGATAAGAAAGCCTAAGCTTATGGTTACACTTATTTTTAATTAATCTGTGCTAGACTATCAGCTATGAATGGACCTTCTAAATTAAAATAATAATATATTATGTTTACATCCAATAGGCATTTTCTCTAATTGAGAATCTCTTAATTGTTCTTAATAGATACTTCTCTATTATAATTCTTTTTACATAATGGATTCCATTAATTATCTTTATTATTCTGCTTGTTCATTATCTAAAGCAAATTCATTCTTTAATAATTCTTCTCCAACAACCATATCATTATTTTCTAAATCATCTTCATCTTCATCATCAACTGGACATTCTTCATCATCTTCTAAATCATCTACATCATTATCTTCTTCCAATTATGATTGTTCATAATCATCTTCATTACTTTCTAATTATTCAATCATATATTAAATTTATTTCTTAAATCTTTCTTCACTAGTAGACAATAATTTTGGTAATTCTTAAGGTATATTTAATTAATATGCATAATCTCTTAATTCTCTTCTACTAAACATTGAATAAAATGTCCCATTAGTAAAAGTTCTTATTTAATCATTAGGAAATTCTATTAATTCAAATAAAACTTCAAAAGCTAATTCTTTATTCATAGATAAAGCATCACGTCCTCTTGAACTCAATGATAAATTCATAATCAATGCAGTTATATATTCATATGTATATTCACTAAGATTAAATTTTTCCTAAAATTTATTTATATATTATACTCTTTATAAAATTGTTAAAGCTACATAAATGATATCATTATCTAACATCCAAATTTGACTTTATTTACGTAATGATAATTTCTGTAATGTACCTATTGCATTTTTTCTTTTTATTGAATCAGTCTAATCTTTTTTTATTAATTCAATTAATAATTTTATTAGTTGAGAATTTGATATTAAATAAGTTCTACCATCATAATCTGAAGCTAAAGCATTCATTAATTTTAATGTTTAACATTAAATTATAGGGGCTGCTTTAAACATTAAATGTTATGCTAAAATAATATTTCTTTAATGAGTTCCTATCAAATCATGAGTTTAATAAGCAACTACAACAGATCTTCTTTCTAATGCACTTCTTGCTCTTGTAATTCTCCATCTCAATGCTTATAATACTGTTGCTATTAATACTGGATTCTGAGATTTTGTAAACAACTAAATAATTTTATTATAATTTAAAGGAATATATTCTTCTATTGATTATTAAACTGGATTAATTTCTATTAATATTATTATAATAATAATATACATTGCTAATTAGTAATTTCAGATAGATCATGATCTGGCTATGTAATATTATTAAATAGAGAAATGTCTTCTGATTTATTTACTAAGTCTTCTAAATTCTAACTAAAGAATTTATCATAAGATGTAATTTTCTTTTTGAATTATTATATCTACTCTGGTATTTTCTTATTATTTTCTATATATTTCAACATTTCTTTCTACATTTTTAACATTTCACCTGTAAAAGAGAACCATTTTTTTTAAGCTTCTGTTAAATTTTTTTATGCTAAATGATTTAATTCTTGTATTGCTTAAATCTATTGTTGATTCTTCTTTTTAAGTTCTAAATTTTCTTATTGTAATTATTTCATTTCTATTTATCTTTTTTGATCATTTTATTGTTAATAATTATTAGATCCTTCTTTTGATAAAAATAATCTTTTTAAAATAGAACCATATTAATCTGATCCATAGATTGATTGAATAAATTCCTTTAATTTCATTCTTAAATCTGATATCCATTCATGAGTAAATAAATATGAAAATGATGGATGAGTTTATATGTTTTTTACATATGGTAAAGCATAGAATGGAAGAACTTCATTAGTTTTCGATAAATCTCCACCTTTTGTCTCTAGATAGATTTTCAATTGATTAATTGAATGTTTATCAATTTAACCTTACTTTTTAAATACTGGATGAATAGGATAGATAAAAAAATAGATTTGGATGTAGAATTCTAATTTCCAAGAATAATGATCCTATCTTTGAGAAATTGGAATGTATCTACTCCATGATTCAAAAAATTTATCTCTTTCTCCTCTATCAAAATGTCCCAAAATAATATGTTCAGTTTCGTTACTTTATTCAGTTGCAAATTAAGATTCAATTTTAAATTGTTCTAATGTTTTAATACAATTTGATCTTAATAAATAATCCTACACTATAGAATTAAGTTGTTCTGTTAGATTTCCACTTTAATCAATCGATTTATCACCCTATTTAATATAATAATATACTGATTAAACTGCAGATTATACTCTTTTTTAAGGACTCTCATTCCTACGATTCAACCCAGTATTCACTTTACTTCTCACATCTTTTTATGATTAGGGTTTTCGATTGTTGTTGTTAATCATTATAACAGATATTATTAATAAATAAATTTTAATTTCTCATTGCTACTCAATAACAACTATTTACAATAAATAATACAACAAACTTTTATGTATTTGTAATTTCTATATTCTCAAATGTCTAAAATACTTAATTTTATTTAAACGTATAGAAATAGAATGTTCTTTGATTCATTTTCTAATTTATTGAAAATTAAGGAATTAAGAGAGTTTATTATTACTTTAAAAACTTTGAAATACAATAATTTATAATAAAAAAATCTAAAAATGAAGTATTTACATATTCAATAATATTGATTAACTATTAAAATCAATCTAATTAAAAAATGAATCAAATAAAAATTAAAAGCCTAATGCAATTAAAATTTTTATAGAATGAAATGATATTTTTATATTTATACAAAAGATAAAAGATTATGAATTAAGTATAAAATGATCCAATTTATCATTTAAATTATTTGTATAAATTAGTTTAATATAAATTTTTCCATAGAAATGTATATCATTTCAATTAATTCATTAATGCATGTAAAACATCACTCCGACAATTAGGACATTTTGTACTATGATCAAGCCAAGAAAATAAACATTATTTATGGAAAATATGTTTACAAGGAAGTTATATTATTGTTTCATCTTAAATATATAGATTATTACCTTTTTAAAAATGATTACAGCAAATACTACACTCTCTATTGGACTTACCCATTTTCATCATCCTTAATTTCTATTATAATTTTTTTGGTACTCCATTATCCTTTTAAAAAACCTTATCAATATCCATCTACCATAATTGATTTTCTAAGGTCTAATTGTCAATATTTCATAGATTATACCATTATCTCTTATCTATATTGATTAGTAACTATATAATTATTATATTAATACCTTATTCCCATATTCTAAGTGGAATTTCATCAATTACAAATTCCTATCTTTATTATTCTTCTAAAACTTATTTCATTACATACCCTTTCTTTCTTCAACTATTGATAACATTGTCTTTGTAATTGTTCTTTAATTTTGAAACTTTATTAATGCTGTTATATTTATTAATCATAATTTATTATCATAAAATCTATTGTAAATTTATTTTTCATATTCAACAAGGTTACTATAATAATCTCAATTTAACTGTTAACTCTTTAATTATTAAAAATCACCATTTTCTATTATAAATTTAAGAACTTAAACTGTTCACATTTTTTTCTATTATAATTATATAATTGTTTAATAATATGAATCATAAATTTGATTATTATATAATAAAATAATATATAAATTTTAAAATTATCAATTTAATATGAAGTTAAAAAATGTGTTAATACGTATAATTAATGAAATATTATATAAGTTTTTCATATTTATAGATTGAGATCAATAATATTTTATGAAGTATATAATAAATATATATATAAAAGAGACAGATAAATTCTCTAGAAATACAATATAGAATAAATTAATAATATATTGATTTTATGATTTTTAAACAATTGAGATATCGAAAACTTTAATTAATATTTTTATCATCTATAAAAAATGTACAATAATTCTAACCAAGATTATTACTAATACAACCAGAATAATTAACAACAGTATCAATAATAATAATATCAATAACAATAACAATAATATTATAATCCTTAAGCATTTGACACATAAGATGGAAAAGTTTAAAAAATGAATGATAATTATGGATGTATTATAAAATTAAGATTATTTAGACCTGGCTGACTTCTAAGATGCTTACATTAGAGCTGATTTCGTTAAAAAAGTCTACACTCTTTTGACTTTAGAACTTTTAATTACATTAGTGATGATTGCCTTAGGGCTTTATACAGGGATGGCTTTTTGGCTTGTTTAACTAGAGGGCGGATTTCTTACAGAATGCTTTTATAGTGGTTATGGGCCTATAATATGCAACACAGGATATTACCTTTATCCTGCACCTACTTGGTTATTCTATGTTTCCTTTTTTGCTGCATTGATATTGTAATGTATGCTATACTGTGGTGGAAACATTGCAAGAAAAGTAAATTACATTTGTTAACTTAGGCTCCTACTAATTACGTAGTGTTATTACTATATATTATTTTCTTCGGATTCACTCTTACAACCTTTTGCATATTGATGGCTATCTATTGGGGATAAGCAATAGTTTGGTAAGCCTGGGGAATAACATTTGTAATAGTCTTTGCATTAACATTGTATGCTTGCAAAACAAAAACAGATTTCTCATTCAAAAGTATCAGTCATTCCATATTTTTAGTTGGTGCAATATTTATTCTTTGTCCAACCATATTGATGTTAGTCATTATGTCATGTATTTGGTGGTCTGCAGTTATCTATATCTTATTGTGCACATTGTTTATAGTATTCTATGGATTCTATTTGATATGGGAGACCTAATTAATTATGGGCAAAGGAGTAAGAATTATTTAAATATTATTAAGAAACTTAAATTATCAATTGATGATTATGTGATTGGATCTTTGTTGCTCTATGCTACTATAATACAGTTGTTCTTAAGAATCATAGAAATATTAGCCATAGCCCGTGGAAAATGAAAATAATAATAATCATATCAATATTAATATAATATTATTTTACCTGATCATTCATTATTATAAGCATCTAGTTTTATTTTCCAAACTATTTAATTTTATTCGATTATGCTTTCTAATTTAAATCTTTATTTTTAAATAAAAAGGACATTAAAAGTAAGAAAATAAAAATATTTTTATTAGAATATTTATGGATCAAGCTACATAAGATTTATAAGAAAATTGGATAGAGGTAAATTATTATCATAAATTAATAAGTAAGTCGAAACATTCGAAGAATTAACCTTAAGCAAAGATTTATTGAGAGGCATCTTCTCATATGGTTTTGAAAGACCATCAGCCATCTAACAAAAGGCCATTAAACCAATCATCCTAGGAAAAGATGTATTAGCATAAGCTTAATCAGGTAAATACTCTAATTTTATTATATTTTATAGGAACTGGAAAGACAGGTACATTTACTATAGGTGCTTTACAAAGAATAGACCCAAATTAAAGAAAAACATAAGTCATCATATTGGCACCAGTTAGAGAATTAGCAAAGCAAATTTATGATGTTGTCAAAGGAATAGGATAATATTTAAATATAGAAGCCTTTTGTTGTATTGGTGGAACATCAACTTAAGAAACTAGAGAAAAATGTAAATAAGGTGTACACATCATCATTGCTACACCAGGTAGATTGATTGATATGATGAAAAACAAATATTTGGATGCCACTTTCATGAAATTATTAGTAGTTGATGAAGCTGATTAGATGTTAGATTAAGGATTTAGTGATAATTTTGCTGAAATTCTTAAAATGGTACCAGGAGATATCTAAATTGGTATATTTTAATCATATATTCTTCATAGCATTATTTAGTGCAACATTCCCATAAGAAATTATTGAATTAAGTAAATAATTTTTGAGAGAAGGAACAGCAAAGATTTTAGTCAAAAAAGAATAATTGACTTTGGAAGGTATTAGATAATTCTACATTGCCATTTAATAAGAAGACCAAAAATTCAAAGTTTTGGTTGAATTATATAAGAATCTTACAGTTTCATAATCAATATTATTTTGCAATTCTAAAAAAACAGTTGATGATCTCTATGATAAATTGACAACAGAAGGTTTTACTGTTAGTAAAATCCATAGTCAAATGGAATAAAAAGAGAGAGAATAAGTAAATTAATTATATATCATTTTAGGTTATGTAAGAATTCAAAAAAGGAGCTGCAAGAATTCTAGTTTCTACAGATCTTATGGGAAGAGGTATTGATGTTTAATAATTATCTTTGGTCATCAATTATGAATTCCCAAGATTAAAAGAATAATATATTCATAGGTATCATAAATATAAAATATATTTTTTAGAGTTGGAAGAGCTGGTAGATATGGTAGAAAGGGAGTTGCTATCAATATGGTTGCTTAATAAGAAGCTAATCTTTTATTAGAAGTTGAAAAATATTACAACACTAAAATTGATGAAATGCCCAAAGATTTGGCTGAAGTAGAAAAAGAATTAAGTTGAAAAATCAGTATATGTAAAAATAAGAGTATATTTATATTAAATTAAACCATTATTAATATATTCTCTATATATTATTTTTATATTAAGAAATATGGAATATAACAAAAATGATATAAATAAATTCTAAATTTAATACAATTCACTTAATTATTCTCAAATGCTATGAACATAATTTAATCAATGTAATAAATACTTCAATTGTATACAAACTCATCATCTAAATTTTTAGACTACCCTAATATCCCAAATATAACAAAATTTGTCAATTAAGAACAATTTCTTAAAAATGTTTAAACTATTACGTCAGAACAAAATACTTAAGATAATGAAAATTATCCTATAATCATACTTATATTTTGTGTTTTGATACTGATTTGTGTCTGTGGTGTCATTTTTGAAGTTTCAAGAAGAAAAAAACTCAAAAAAGATATAGAACAGAAATTAATACAAGAGAATTTGTGCTCTATTCAAAAAAACATAGTTAAAATAAGTTAAATCTAAGATTTAATACAAAATTCTCTTTGGAATCTTAAAACGATAAATAATTAAAAATGTAATACTAAATTACTTAAATTCAAAACTATATAGGTACACCATAATAAACTAGAATTATAAATTACACAACAAAAACAATAAGATCTATGGTCTGCTGAAGGAAATATTATCATATAATCTAATTAAGAAATATAAATTTATCTTAGAACTTCTCTCGACTCTGATTTATTTTAGATGATAGATTCTATTGATTGTGTATATTTACTTTAACAATATTAAGGATCTTTTATTGAATAAGATAATAAGTTTTAAGGAAAATGGAAAGTTTATGGAAGTTAAGGAATATATGATCAGAATTTTTTTGGATCGTTTGAACTCTAAAAGATATCTCAATGAAATTATTATATTTATATATAAAAATCTAAAATTAACTAATAGATTTCTTATTTACAATAGTGCCATCTTACGTTTTCCAATTCTATAATTGGAATATAAATTATTTAATTTTAATTACTTTCTTTTAGTACTATTATGAATTATATTAAAAATTAATTAATTAAAAATAATCAATAAATATTCAATTATAAAATAGTCATCTGACTTCGAAAATTTCGTCCATATAATAATAATATATAAATGAATTATATATTATCAAATATATCTTTTCAATTATTATAATAAAATTAGGAAACTCAATTTTCCAATTTTAAGAATTTAGAAAAGTTATTTAAGAAATTTTAGAGTATTTCTAATTTGAATTTATTGATAATTAAGTTATTTCTAATTATAATATATCAATTGTTCAGTAAACATACTCCTAATTTATTAGGTAATGCATTTAAATATTTTTACTCATTTAAAACAACCAATAATATTATCAATAAATATATCAATATATTGTTTAGAAAAGAATATAATTTATATATATTACTTATCTTTCCTTTTAAGGTTTGTTTAATTCATATGAACTATTATTAAATCTATACAAAAATTGCATAATAAAGTTCAAGACATATTTAAGAATTTGTACAATATAAAAAAAGAAATATTGCTAAACCTGAAAAGTATTTTAAAAAATCAAAAATGTAAAATTAAGATTACCTAAAGAAAATTATTTAATTTATAATAATATTTAAACTTTGTTAATTAAAAATCATATAATAATGAAAGTAATTATTTTATAAAAGCTTATCCTAAATATTTTGTAGATTTTTAATAAATAATCAATAAATGTTGAGATTATAATATTTTTTTTAATTTATAGCTTAATTTAAATTATGATATTATTATTAAACTTCTTTTAGGTGATAAATATATATAGTAAGATCACATTTTTTATAGATTATAAAGTTATAGTTAGAATATCATATTATTTGAATATTCAAATCAATAATCATAACAATTAGTTTTATTTAAAACAATTTAATTAAAATTATATTTCATCAGAATGATGTGCAATATATTTTGTAAAGATTAATTAAATACATTAATTTAATAAAAATGTAACAATCCCATGATTGTCCAATATGTTTAAATATTGCTGTAGATCCTATTCAACTTTCTCAATGCAAACATATATTTTGCTCAGCATGTCTATTAGATTTACTAGATTATAATAATCAATCTTATAAGTGTCCATTATGCAGATAACTTTATTCTAAAAATGAACCATTGATTATTAATTAAGATTTGGCTAAAAAGATTAAAGAGAGCAATCCTGAACAATATGCATAAAGATAATAACAGATTATTCAATAATAAATGATGTTACCAAATTAAATTAAAGTGAATGTTGTATATGGCAATCTATATAAACGAATTGATAATTAAGAAAAGAAAAATGTTAATTAATGGACTTTAATTGTGAAAATGGAATATAATAAGGATTCAGATAGAGCTGCACTTAAGAATTTTGACATTAATGATATGATTGAATCAGTATTAATAATAATTAAATATAGGTTACTTATTACTTACATGAAACATTTCATCCTAATAAAGTTACAGTTAAATAAGCTCCATTTTAATTACAAAGATTAGGTTGGGGAGTATTTAATATTCCTATTCTTATCAAATTTAAGAAAGAGTACAATATTCCTAATTTGGAAGTAGATCATTACCTTTCTTTTTAGGGAAATGGATCAATGCAAAAATAAATAACTAAATTAGATATAAGTAATCTAAAAGAATATTAATAATTATAATAATAATTGTAGAATCAATAATAATAACAATAATAATAGTAAAAATAATAATGATTATTTATATTCTAAATTTTAAATATATTCTATTATTAATTGATCTATTATATAAAAGATATATAATTTTAACAGAAAAATTAAACGTAAAATTTATTGTCTAAATATCAAAATTTTACTCTATTATTTATGTATTATATTAACTTAAATTTGATCATTTCAAATAATTTAAATTTAATATTACATGCAATTTGATTAATCTAAAACAAATGAAATCTAATAAAATCCAAAATACAACATGTTATTATAATGGGGTCTAGAAAATGGAGTATTAATGAAGGGTGTACATTTTCCAGCTTCATTTGGAAATGTCATTGGAGTAGTTGCCTCTGAAGACTTACCATCAGATACTGTATTATTATTAAGTTTATAAATTAATAGGTAATCATTTGCATACCTTAATCATTAATAATATCACCTTAAAAATGCAAGTTGAGTATTCTTAATACAGTTTACAATAATCATCCAGAAATGTTTGATGAGGAAGAAAATAATGAAGCAGAATTTAATATTTTAAGTATCAATCTCTATGTATCTGAGCTTTTTATATGTTCAATGAAAAGAAGAAAGGAGAATCGTCATTTTATTACCCTTACATTTAAGCAATATAAACTAACAATACATTATTAGCTTGGTCTAATGATGATTTAAAGAACATTGAAGATCCTATTATTTTAGAAGAATTCTAATTAATTAAATAAGATTTCTTAGGATTATGGAGCAAAGCAAAATTAATCTTTGATAATGCTTAAGATATATTTGGAGCTCCAAGAATAACAGATAAAAGTGATTTTTACTGGGCTATAGAATGTGTTACAAGTCGATGTTTTGGATGGGCACTTAAATCAACTTGTCTCATACCTATAGCTGATTTTCTTAATCATTCAAATCAAGCATGTACACATTATATGGTTCATTAAGGATTGGAAAAGGGGAAAGATCTTAAATCAGCAGTATTTCAATAATAATACATTATAAAAAGAAATTAAATTAATCTTAGTATTTTAGGTATAGAAGATTGTAGAGAATAATAGAAATGGGAGGATTAGAAAAATAAATTTGTTATATAGAATAAACATTATATAAAAGATTTGAGTATAATATAAGATTTGGATAAAGTATCAATACAGGAAAAAAATAATATAATAAATATGATTCATTAAGAATAGATACTCTAAGATAGTTAAATGAATATATGGGATTTGATTTCGATTAGTTCATCTGATAGTGAAGATAATGATTCTGATGAAGAAGTTAAAATGGCAAAATAATAACAATTTGAGATTTTAAAAATTAAAGAATTGGCAGAATGGAAGATTAGGGAAGAATAAAAAAGAATTGAGAAATAATTTTAATAAATAAATTTGAAAAATCAACCTATTATTACTGTCACTTTGAATCCAGGTATTTTATATATAAACAAAGTTAGAAAAGAAAAATAAAGTAATAATTAGAGGATTACCATAATATCAAATTGAAGCTATAAAAGTAAAATAATAAATGATAAATGGGAGATTAAAAAAGTAATAAGATGAATCAACATAATCTAAAGATAATGAAAAAGAGATAAGGGAAGAATAATAATGGGATTGGTTAGATGAATATGATAAAGAAGTATACTTTTGTATTACAACTACTGTACCAATTAAGAAATTTGAATAAGTTACAGTCTCATATGGAAATAGAACAAATAGATTTTTGTTATGTTGGTATGGATTTGCATTACCAGAGAATATTTACAGTTCATATAATTTTAGAGTAATTAGATGACTAATTAAAGTTATGGTTGAATACTGAAATCCTTGAAGATTAAGAGAAGAGCATAGATTAGATATTGAATACTATAATAATTAAAAAGTTAATACATGAAGAAGAATCAATTATAGAAAAGATTTAGTATAATGGTTATGAAATTCCTATTTCATCTTTATCAAAGGAGTTTAGAATAAAAAAGGATAAGTTAAATATGGATATAATAAACTTTTTACGATTATTATTATAGTTAAAATATGGAAATGACAAAGATTTGTTAAGTACAATTCCTGTTTCAATTGATTATGAAATTTTGGTTATGCAATTTTACAATTCATTATTATAGTACCTAATGAATTCTTACTCGTAAGATTTGACTTAAGATCTTAAGGAATTAGAGTAGACATTTGAATATCCAAAAAGATTTGCTGTATGATCTATAATTATTTAGATATATATAAATAAAGAACGAAAAGAAATATTAATAAAACAAAGTATAATTGTTTAAGAAGCAATCACAATATTAAAAAAGTTCAAAGATACTTAAAATTTGAGAGATAGCTATATTTCGAATCTTAAAATAGATACATCTTAAAGAATTTCTATAATTAAAGGATTAAAGGAATATCTTAAATTATTAAATGAATTTTTATGATTTAAATATTATGAAGATCTATATGATTATCTTTTATATAGAATTATTTAATAACATTTTAAGAATATAAATTAATATTAAATAATGCTTTTTTTATTAGTAATATAATGTATTACAGCTACTTCTATATTGAAGAATACTAACTCCTTATATGAAGAATGGAGACATTAAGCATAAGTTTTAGTTACAAGAACACCAATAGAAATGATAAGATAAACTTTAGGATTAAGAAGATTAGATGGGGATAATGAAGAATAATATGATATTCCAGACTCTAAAATAGATTTAAAACATGATAGATAGTTTAGAATAATGGAAGAGAATGGAACATAAAAACCTACAGTTCCAGTAGTTAATGTTACAATTAATGAATATCTAAGATAAGGCCCATTGATTCCACTTAAGTGTTATCTTGGCTAACCTATTTTAATTAATGTAACTTAACATTATTGTTTCAAATAAAGGGTCACTTATATTTAATATAAAGATATTTCAATTAATAATTCAGCTAATTGTACAATAAGATATCGATTACATTATGGATGTTTATGTCCTCCTGATTTTTATGGAGAATATTGTAAAAATTGGAATCCTATAGTTTGTGAAATAGAATAATCATCTAAGGATTGTAAATTAGTTGTAGATGAAGATTATTATAATAAAAAGATAGATGGTAATCCCCCATGTAATTAATTTAGAAGTAGTTAATTTGTAGATGTAAAATTATTTAATCTATTTAGAATGTGAGAACAGTGTGTTATAATTATTATTAAAATAAATTAAATAGTAGTGTATTTCATCCTGAAGAAAATTATACTATAATATGGAGTAATTATACAAAAGGTATCAGTGCATTATTACCTTAATAATACAAATATTCAGCTCCTATACCTGATAATCCTAATGATCCATAATAATATATTCAATATGCTACAGCATCAGAAGAAGCAGAAAAAGAATATTTTAAATATGAATAAAATTCATGTATTGGAACAGATTCAAATATATTATGTAGTTCATTATTCTTCAATGTAACACCATATGTAAGATTTATCAATTGGACATTCTTATCATAATCTGAAACAACTTATCTAGATTATAATTTGACACTTGTAGAACTAATTGGATAGAAGTATATTTAAGTTCCTATAACAATGACTAAATCTAATCCTTTATTTGGAAGATATTCATTAGAAATTGGATTTATTCTACATCTCTATGGATATAATGAATTATATTCAATAAATGGATCTAATCAAACAATATAAAGTAGTCCAAAAGAATATTAACCATAGTTGTAACCAAAAATCTTATTTTTTGAAGACTAGTTTTATGAAGGTATTTATATTTAAATATCAAAGAACCTACTTCTTCAATTAGACCATTAGGTAAAAATGCAAGAGCTGGATTGATAATTTCCATTATTCTATTACTAATTGCAATTATATTGATCTATAAATACAGAAATACCTTAACAGAATGTTGTTTCCCTCGTATTGATAGAGTTGTTCCTGAATAATATGAAAATTAAAAAAGCTGTTTTAAAAAGTGTTTTGATTATTTCAAAAATTATTAAGTTCGTGATAATATGCCTGAACCTGAACCTGAACCTAAACATACACATTAAAATTAAAGTTTAGAATGATTAAATAAATACATAAAAACTTCTAAATTTAATATCTATTTACTATTCATAAATTTATTTAATTTTAAAACTAAATAAATATTAATTATATTATTAAATTATTCCTGATAATTATAACATTCATTAAAAAAAACCTTTTATTATAATAATATCTTATTATTCTTGTAACTCTAATACAAATAAAATTACTTATTCATTCTAATTATCCTTCAATATTTATTCTTTTTCCATTCTCCCAAAATCCAAATTTAACTTTTCCATCTGCCATTAAATATTTACCTCTTCCATTCTATTTTCCTTCATACCATTCTCCTTCAAATATTTTCCCATCTGGCCAATAGTATTTTCCTTTACCTTACTTTTTGTCATTAACATATTCCCCATGATATGATCGACCATCACTCCATTAATATATTCCATAACCATGCATTTTATTATCCTTCCATATACCCTTATACTTTCTACCATCCGCCCAAATATATTCTCCCTATTCTCTATTAAACTTATACATAACCATTAATCTTATTATCAAACCACTCTCCTTCAAAATAACTTCCATCTGGCCATTTATAAATCCCTCGTCCCTACTTCTTACCTTAAAAATAATCACCCTCATAAATCGAATTATCAATCCCTATTTTTTTTATAATATTCTTATACATTTCTCCTAACCTTATCCATGTTGATAATCATCCTTCCAATATCCTTAGTACATAACTCCATTTGATTATCTGTATATTCCAAATCCATTTGCTCGATCATATTCCCATTAACCCTCATAGATATCTCCATCAACATGATAAAAGGTTCCCTATCCACAAGCTTAATTATTTTTCCATTAACCAATATATTTAGCCCCATCTTCCCATATTTGTATTCCATATCCATCTCTCTTATCTCCTAACCATTCTCCTTCATATGTTGATCCACTAATAAATTCATATTTTGATCTAAATTCCCTTTAAAGTTGTTCAGGATTTATTTTTACTTGATAAATATGTTAAAATACGTCCATACTCTTCTTAAATAAAATATTTCTATATATTTCTCTTACTCTTGCTATCAATAGTTGCTTAGTCATTCTATGGCTTTTTTAAACACTGTTTTGTTTATAAATATGTTTTCCTTGCTTTATATCCTTTCCATTACTTTTATATCACAATAGCCATTTTCGATAACAACAACTATTTTTATGATTGTTTCTAAGTTTCATCAAAACTTTAAATTGATTTTTACTATTATAGTTAAAATCTTATAAACTTTGTGAAAATGGCTATTATTTTAATAAGATAATTAAGAATTAGAGGAAATAACTATTTTATGGCTTTCTGATTTCTTGGTAATGGTGACTTCATTGATCTATTCCAATTTATCTTTTTAACATTAAGAACAATTTGAACAGTTTGATCCCATATAAAGTTATTCAAATAAACAAATAATTAAATATTTTCATTTTTTTGGTGATAAATTTGATGAAATTCATAAAAGTTAATCTTCATTATAATCATTGCATCTACAATTCTCATGATCAAAATTATTAGGATGAACATCTAATTAATTGTTGGCACTCTTACTATTTTTAGTTCATATTATTTCTATATAATTTTAATTGAGTACGTTTTAATTACATATATATATTTATTACTTTTTTCATAATTAATAATCTTAATTAATTTTATTAAATATTACAATTATATCATTTTCAAACTATGGTAGTATGGTTCTGCCAGTAATATTCAATCCTTTATCTCTTATAATTTAATATATGTATTTAATGAGGATTCTACATAAATTAAATATTATTAATTATGATACTAAAATATATAACATTATACTCACTTAAAATACTTTCGATTTGATATTTATATTAAAAATGAGTATTATGAATTTTAGAAATATCATTAAGAAAGTTTCATTAAAAAATTTAGCATAACATAAGTTATTTCCAACTTAAAAATTTACTTTTATGATTGAATAATTTTAATGATTAAGTTGAATAATTATTAGAAAAATAGATGAGAATTTAATTTCAAATTATGATTAATAAAAGGAATTATATATAAGCATAATTTAGAATAATAAAGACTATACATCCTTAGTTTTTCTAAAATATAATAAAGTTTCTAATTGTTTTTTTAAAAATGAATACATTTGAATTCAACAAAAAAAGGTGGATATTTATACAAGATATATATATAATAAATATATTAATTATTATAATTGTAAAAATAATTAGGATGACAATTTGATATTAGATTTAAGATACTTACTTATAAAATGAGAAATATAAAATAATATCATTAATTAAATTATAATCAGTTAAGAAATAGTTTTAATAAATCTGATCTCATTTATGAAGTACTCATAATAAGTGCTTTATTTCTACAATTACATCTAAGCATTCTAGCAAATATACAAGTGTAGACTGCACTATCATATGTATTATATGATTAAGGAATATTGTCTTTAATGATTAATTTTGATTAAAGTTTATGATTGAGTAATTTTTAGAAGAGTTAAGTAAGTTTATGTTTTATGTTTTGATAAAATGCATCACTACATTTAATAGAATCATATATATTGATATTGAATTCATCTTCAGTAATTTATACTTCTACAAAATACCAATGATTAGGATTATGTTCTATAACAAATCCAATTTTTTTATAGATTAACCAAAACTTAACAAATCTAAATTATTTAATTAGTTATTTAAATTCATTATATTTATCTAATTAACATGTACTCTAGAATATGATAGTTCTTTAAAATTTCTCTCTTTTTTATGGAGGAGTGTCCCAATACAATTATTCATCAAGTTATTAAAGATATTAAATATATCCATTAACAATATTAGGTCTAAGTTAATTTTTATCAGTAATAGAATTTATATCTTTATCATTTATAAACTTGTTGTATTTATATTGATTATTCTAGATTATTGATTTTTATGAATCTTATGGTTCTGTAATTTTTGAATCAGAGGTTTCATCCAAACATTCTCCAAAAGGTGAAATTTGTCCTGATTCTTAATAAATATCATTTTTAAACATTCCTTTCATTATAAATAATTTTTAGTTTCTATTCTTATCCACATCAATTAAATAAAGTTTTCCTTTTCCATTTTTTTAGTATTTCTAATTGATTTCTCCATAATAAACACTATTTTTTTAAAGAATTGCAAATTTATGACCTTTAAATGCAATTACATCCATCTTCTCCATATAAATGATTGGATAAGGAGAGTCTGGGGAAGACATAATTGATAAGTTATCCATATATGTATTAGTAGTATGTTCAACAGCATAAATTCCAGGTCTGGATTCTATTTTATTGAAATTAGCTTATGTGTCTTCATTAATTAATGAATCACTCTCTGAAACACAATTATTACCCATTTAAATTAAAATATATAAATAAATGAATCACATAAATTTAATATACATATAAGTATGATAATAAATAAAATAAGTTAATTCTATATGAATATGTGTTTCAATTTTTATTATCTAAATAAAATCTTTATTATTATTAAAAACAATAATTGATAAAATAATAGTTGATATATACATTATTTGATAATTTTTTAGAATGAAATTTATCAAAGAAAATAAAGATAATAAAGTTTAATTCATTGAATAAAAAAAAATCATTTATAAGGGTAGTGTTAGATTAGAAAAGTTTGTTAATAAAAAACCAAACATTATCACTTAAACTTAAAGAGAATATAAAAGTGATTTGAGTCCAATTATAAGATAAAAAAGAGCTTAAACAATTTTGAAATAATTACTTAATGAATAAAATTAACAGTAATATATATAAGTTATTTAAATTTAGAGTACTTGAAGCTAAATCATCACGTAATTTTAAATTAAAAAGAATATCTGTAGATTATAACTATTCAATTTAATTGCCTAATATTGAAGAATATTTTGATTCATAAGATAAACTATAATTGCTTAAAACAATTAAAAATGAAAAAAATAGAGTAGAAAATCATATAGAAAAATTAGAAAAAATTAAAAAGGAATTAGATCTTTCAGATTATGTATTTAATTAACATAAACCAAATACTTATCATTCTAATACACCAAGTAAATCTGCAAGAAGACATACAATTAAATTAAATACAAGTGGCAGTACTTTATTTGGAAAAACAGAAAATGTAAAAAGATAATTATCAATTATTGATTGTGAAGACAGAAAATAAATTGATAAAAATAAAGAAATTGAATTGTATAAAAAGTATGAAAAAGTAAGAGATAGTAAAGTTTTACCTTAATTAGTAAATTAGATTAATGAATCTTATGAAGAAAAGAATAAATTAAGTGATAAATTCAATAGATAATTATATTATTGTATACATAATAGAGATTATAGTATAAAAGATAAAATAAAAGAATATTAAAAAGATAGTTTATCATATTCTTAATTTTATTCAATATAAAAAAGACTTAAACAACATATGGAAGGCAGATTCAAAGCTACAGAAAATTAAGTTATAAAATTTGAAGATGAACTTAAGAATTTAGCCAAAACTAATAGACTAACTGAAAGTAGAAAGGAACAATTATCTAGAATAAAGATTTAATTGGAAAATGGTAATTACTTAGAAAATTATTGATATGATTATAAATTTTGTTTAAATAGATAATTATTATCATTCCTATTCTTATGAAATAGTTTAAATAATATATTATATCTAATTATATAAGATGAATATAAATAATAATAGTATAATTTTTAGAAATTATTATTATAATCAAATGAATAATGTAAATTTAAGAGTAGTAATTCAACTAATCTATTTTATAATGGTACTTACAATAAAATTAGTTAATCATAATTCAGAATACTTTTAAGTTATTTTTAGTATGATATTGACATTATTATTTATACCATTTAATAGATATACAAAAACATGTATTGAACAATAATAAATAGTATTTAAATCATTATGGTAAGTTTTAAATATATTTTGTTTGGGATGTATTGATTTTGGATTGAAAAATGATGGATTTTTAAGCAGATTTTAATATTTTTGGTTAGGATTAACAATTTAATTAGAAATAGATTCAACAATCTAAAATTAAATAGTTAGAGTTGGACATTTATTAGTTGTTATTGCTTCTGCAAATTTAACATCAATATATTTATTAATTGATTCCACTTCTATTGGAATTATTTTTGGAGATATTCTTTATGGTTTACTATTAATATATTAATTCATTATGACAGCAAATTTAGAAGTAAAAAAATTACCTTTAAAGAGACCTTGTTCTCGTAGTTTTACTGAGAAATTAGAAAGTCCTTAATAATAATAAATATTTGATGAAGAGTCAAATTAAATTAAATTTATGCCATTAAATTAAAGGATAGCAAAAAACTCTTAATTATATTCAAAAGATCCATCAATTCTTGAATAAATAGAATAATAAAAAACATTTTATGAGATTTTATTCAATTAATTTCCTGAGGGAATATTAATAATAAATGATTAAAATAAGATTGATTATCATAATAATCAAGTATATAACTTGTTAGGAAGAAAACATATTTAAAATAAACAAGATTAAATATTATCTTGTTTGTATGAATTAAAAAATTATAGTTCTAAATTTTAATTTGAAGAATAAGCATAATTTGATAAATTTTTTTCAACATTAGATAAAAAATTAAAATATCATTAACATTAATATTATTAACCTTTTGATTAATAATTTGATCAATAAATAAATGATGAGAATTCTAAAGAAAGTCTTTTCAATAATAATTTTGATGATAATCAAACAGATTATTATTATTAAGCTGAACTTAGTAAAGCTGAAACATTAAAATAAGAATTAGATAATGCTTTATAAGAAAAAGTATAAGATAAAAATGGATTGACTTCTCCATTTAAAAGATAATTATCTTATATTTCTTAAAGAACTTATAAAGGATAGGATAAAATAAAATTTTCACCTGAAGTTAAAAAGATGTTATGTATGATAGAAGAATCTAGTGATAATTAGGATAATGAATTATAAGAAGATAAACCAGAAGATGAATGTAATCCAGGATTATTAATTCAAATTACAATTAAACCTTATATATATGAAAATAAAAGAAGTGTATTATTATTAATAAGAGATGTGTCATTATTTAATCAATTCAAAGTATTATAATAGCAAAATAAAAATAAATCTAGAATGTTATCTTATGTTTCTCATGAATTACGTAATCCATTAGGAGCAATAATTGAAATAAATTAATAATTGAAAATTCAATTTTAATAAGATAACAATTTGATATCAAAGTAATCAATACTAAAATAAAATTAGATATCTATAGCCTTTGTAAAGTTCTGCATTATCAATTAAAGGATTAGCTAATGATTTATTAGATTTAGCATAATTGAAAGCTGGAAAATTTAAGTTAACATACTAAGAATTTTCTATACATTAATTATTGAATGATGCTATATCAATTATGTAATATCCTGTAAGTTTAAGAAATT